ACACTGTTAAAAATGGGGTGTTACGGCAACACCTTTTGGGGTGCCCGTGGGACTGTGCCAGTTTGGCACCCTTGGGGTGTTAGGGTGGGGTGTTAACCATCACCCATAAGAGTGTACAGGAACACCCCTTCTGGGGTAATGTACACCCATAAGAGTGTACAGGAACACCCTTTCTGGGGCAATGTACACCCATAAGAGTGCTATTTAACCTTTCTATTGATGCTACAATACACCCTTTGGGGTGTTCATAAACATGCATTAGGTGCTGCTTCAATTCTTCATAGGGTGTTCGACAACACGCAGTTGGTGCTCTAGCAGCGCTGTTCATTGTTGCAGTAGCGCCATTGTTCTTACTCTTGAAGTGACGAAAAAATATTTCATAATAAAAGAGCATGACATACAATGAGCAATGATGCAAAAGAGCATAAGATAGAAAAAGAAAAAAAGAAGAAAATTCCTAATGTTTAATATTATCTAATGATGCTAGAGTCTATTTCTGGTATATACCTTTTGCTTGTCTACAATTCTTAATACAAAATGTTGAATAAATATAAAGTTGGTACAGTGCTTTAGGGTAAACAATGTTAAAAGCAAAATATGCCCCAATTAAACTAACTATTACGTTTATTGGACTCTTTGCATTTCCAAACAGGCATCTCTCTGCTGTTAGGTGCACTTTAACTAACTTTGGCTCTTCATTGGACCCCAAGGGGAACTTACAGCATGGTCTCTCTCTCTTTCATTGTTCCCCAATCGCCGTGATAGGGGTGGTTGGTTTGGTCGTATCGCACAAGGGTTAGGCGTATAGAGCTAGGGTTCCATATAGCTGCCTAGACCTCAACCCCTGTTGGCCCCCTTGCATTAAGAGGGGTCATTAGGATTGATATCGCTTAATAGGCATGGGACCATAAGCCCGCAGGGAGACCTTTGCCCGTTCTCACACGCCAACCCTTGTACGAAGGCCACATCAGAGATGGGCAGTAGAGAGGAAGGAAGGAGAGGAAAGGGAGGGAGGAGGGAGAAGAAAGGATTGCTTGAGAGCCGAGCTGGTGGGTAGCTTGCAGAGCACGTGGACTGAGAGCTTAGTGTGCGCTCTACTTGCGGTAGAGCGCCTGCGCTGAACCTCACTTGCATGCTGTGCGCGTGCGTGGGCTAAACCTGCGCGCGCCGGAGCCGGTCGCCTGTGTTAGTTAACCTTGTCTAACTGCCTTAAACATCATTGTATCGATGAGTCGGAAGTAACCACAGCGATGTAAACGTGGTTGTCAGTAATTTTCTTCACAGCTTCATCAAGGTCAGGCTCATTCTATAACGACAATTCATCCATAGTGATGTACATGATATTTATGTTGACTTACAGAGAAACGATGCATAAGTGATATTTTTGCTCTAGGGGCAAGCAAAAGCTCAGTCAGCTCCAAAGAATGGATCATTTGCAGCAGCTGTAATCCTGGGAAGTGGAAAGAACTATGTATGCATGCACTGGTTACCTCCAATACCATTATACATACTGGCATATAAATTATCTTTTCACACTCACTTGACCAAACTTGAAATATGAGAAGGAGTATATATTACAGTGTATGACTCCCGCAGTATGGAAGGATAGAAGGATAGAAAGATGGAAGGATGGAAGTTCGCGTAGAACGGAAGTATAGAATGACGGAAAGATGGAAGGATGGAAGTTCGCGTAGAACGGAAGTATAGAATGGCCCCAATGGGCTTCCGTAGAAATACGTACGTACGTGCGTGAGATTACTGTTGTGGCCGCGCGCCATCGCGAGACGATACTCCCTCTAATTACCCTCGGCGCCGGGAGGGAGAAATGGCGGAGTCTCCTCCTTCGCCGTGCCGTCTGAAGAACGGCTTCATGCTCGTCGTCGCGTTCACAGGACTCTTCCTCTTTATTTCGTACGTAAAGTATGCCTCAATAAAGAGCTGCGGTGCCGTCACAGTAAGGCAGGACTTTATGTCGGCGTGGGGCTGCACCAGACAAAGGCAAACTAGCCCCGCTACAATACGAGTGGGGCTTTCCCCGGCATCAATGGCCAGAAACGAAACAGATGGGCTTCAACCTGTATCAGTGGCCAGTAACGAGGCAGAGGCAGGTACAATTCAAAGGTCTATAATAGGTATATCTAACCAAGTCTTTCAACCACCTCCAGGGAAGATGTATAGACAGATTGGAATGAGTATGTAAATCACAGTCACATCGTGAATCAGAGCAGCCCACACTGCTCACCGCCGCCTGCGTTCCACTCCTGGGAGAGAGGAACGGTGACACAGATGTGGATGCCACTCAAAAAAGACTGCCACAAGTTGAGACAGAATCCAGCACAAGAGATGCAGACTTCTAACCTTACCACACAGCTAAAGGCCTGGAAATATAACCGTCTGTGGGAGTCCTTTGCCCTGAAATTCAAAAATATGAGCTGCAATAAAATCAGAGAACAGTTTGAAAATAATTTTTATGTCTCTCAGATTGAGAAGAATTTCCCAATAGCTTACATCCTTGTGGTCTACACAAACGCAGGACAAGTATTGCGACTGCTCAAGTCTATTTATAGAGCACACAATTTGTACTGCATTCACCCAGATGCAAGACAGGGTGAGAGTTTCAAGGGGTTTTTTCACGGCAGTGTCAAAGTGCCTGGACAACGTATTTGTAGTTCAAATCCGGTAAAGGTGTACTATGGGCACATATCATTACTGACGCACAGCTACAATGCATGCAGGACTTAGAGAAATATCCGCAGTCAAGATGGAGATATGTCATCAATCTCTGTGGAAGAGAGATTCCACTAAAGACTAACAGAGAAATTGTTCATTCTCTCCAGCAACTTGGAGGCTACTCGGCCGTCGATGCTTTTCCTCTGCCTCAAGAGTTTTGGAAGAAGCCTTTTTGCAAAGGACCAATGCAAGTGACATGCCAACGTATAAACTTGTAGCCTTTTTGTCCAGAATTGAGTACACATTATTATACACACATGTACAGACTAAATGAAAAGCACTAAAGTGCAAACCCTCGGCGAAGTAGCTCACAGAGAATCTGACAGGGGCTAGCTATAGTAGTAGATAGCATGCGAGAGTCGATACACGCCATTCGTTGTGACTTCTTGTACCTTCAAGATAGACAGAGCAAGCGGACCCGGTCGAGGTACCTGTGCTAAATATAAGCGCATGCGCATTTTCCGCAGCGACAAAAATGGCCGACTAGCATTAGCCGTACAATGGCGGAAGCGCTCTAGCTTTGCAACGAAGCATTTTCAGAGAAAACCGTTCGAAATTTCTGACCTTCATTGCCCGTTAAGTAGGTCGTATCGTTTGTGAGACGAACAGACATTCAAGAGGTGAGATTGAGAGTAACAGACAGACAAACCCTACTACAGTACCCTCGCTGCGCATGCGCGCCGAGGGTAACAACTCCCAATGCCCACCTTACTGTTGTTACAGTATGTACTATATACCGTTGCTATAGGTTAACATGCCTCAATAACAACTGTGTGGGTTATTAACCCTCGGCGCGCATGCGCAGCGAGGGTTACGGTAGTTGTCCCGTAAGTGTGTCAGTCTGTCGTCTGTCTGTCTGTTACCACGTTTTCTGCCACCGCGCGCACGAAATCAGGTAAATAACGATATGATCGGGTTCAGTGCTACATTGGGTTGATTTTAAAAAAGGCAATTTTCGTAAAACTACTGTGTTTTTAAGTTATGGCGTGAAAACCATGTGAACAAGCCAATATGTAAATTAGCACAGGCTTACCTCGACCGCGTCCGTTCGCTCTGTGTGTCTTGAAGGCACAACAAGTCACAACGAATGGCATGTATCGACTCACGCATGCTATTTACTACTGTAGCTAGCCCGTGCCAGACTCTCCGCGAGCTACTAGCACAACATAAATCCATCGCTGCAAAAAAGCCATGTGGTATCAAACTACACGCAACCATATATAGTAGCAATAATGGGGGAGGTATAGCTTATACAAAAGATTGCTCAAAAACACTTGCATCTGAAAACTGTAAGAAGAGCAAAAGGAGTGAGACAGTATCATGAAAGGTGTCATAGGGTAGTTTGAGGTCCAGGTGGTGGAAGGAGCGGGACGGTTCATCGTATCCACTGGAACAGACACTCGGGAGGAGGCGAGTGTAGTAAAGAGGGTCGACGGAGAAGTCCATGACCCTCAGTAGTCCCCGGTGACATCTGTGGAGAGGTTCAGCGGCCCCAGAGACCACGTCGGTTCTCCTCCTCTGAGGGAGGTGTGCGGCCACGAGGTAGCGACTGGTGAACCAGCACCGGGCCACTGGGTGACGCTCGTGACTGCTCCACAACTCTCCACTCATTCTTCTGTCCCACACCACCACCAGCCCGTCCTTACTGCACACACCACACACACAACACCTGCTTTCACTAATGTGGATACACACTATAAACTGAAATGAACCTAAACTTAAATGAACCTACCTACTTCAGGTTTGTGTGTGTGAAAACTACGAGGAAAGACAAACAAATCAACTATATACACCCATGGGAGGCTTGCTTTGCTTGCCAATATATAGGGAGACAGTGATTAACTGTGCTATTGAACTAAAATTTACTTATTGGCAAGCAAAGTGAGGCCCACCTTAGTACTTACTGTCACTAATGTCATATATAATTCTCAGTGAGCTAAAATCGTGCATTCACATTCACTCGCCATTGCATTCAATGTATCTCATTATTGGCGAGCGGAAGCGAGCTAACCTAGTGGTCCGAACGGCGCGATTTGTCACCGTACGTTTTGTGTCGAGCGTCGCCGAACTGCGCATGTCACCGTATAAACGTGCGGAGCCACGCCTTCTCAATCCGCGCGGCCTGGTGCATTGCCAGTTGTTCCCTATTCCTGCAAGACCAATCAGATTGCCGGATTATGCCTGATTCGCGCTGTCGTCTGACTGTTTATGACTCGACTCGAATTGTCTACTGCGCTCGGGTCTAAAAGGTTGTTTAGGCCTACTTGGTCCTGTGCAATGTATCTCACTGTTTTGTGCACACACAAGAGTGACTCATACGATTATACCCCATTTGTAAGCTCGCTTCCGCTCGCCAAAAATGCCATGCATTCGCCTACTAGTTATAGTGACAATCGAACAGTGTCACACATAATTCTAAATGTACATCAGCCGAGAAGGGTCAGTAACTTCCACTGCAGAGTGCTATATACAACAGAAGTTTGCAATGGAAAGTCAATAGCAGTGGCACAATGGAAGTTGACGTGGCTCTGCCCGGAATGATGTCTATTATTGTACCTGCTGCCAGTGCCTCACAGCCACACTAAATACATTCACATTCGCTTCCCGTTGCTAGTATGACACAATGCAAGGAAGATAAGGACACAGTGGGTATAGAGACCTCTCACCCACCACTGGCAACTTTCCAGTCATCGCACTGAGTGGAGACCACAGCTCCCTGGTGGCCCGACAGAGTCATAGCCGGCTGGCTCCCCCGCCGCGTGTCAAACACCCTCACCCTTTACCATGCACACGAGAACACAGGGGGAAGGTCGTTATAATTATACAGTATGAGGATACTTACATATTCTATCACAATCTACACCATCTTAGACAAGATATGAATAATTATTATCGGTATGTACATGTTTTATATACACTAAACTGAGCATCTAAGAAGTTAACTGACAACAAACTTTTTAAATTGTTGACAGCAACTCAAAGTAACAGAAGTATTTGGCAGGCATTAAATACATGTGTGAATACATGTGATTTTGTATGCGGGGAAATGGAGCCATGGGCACTCAGTTAACATGATACAAGTTACTACGAGATTTAGTTAACATACTTTCTCACGAAGTTAGTTCGGCTTTATAGAAATAGCACCTTAAACTGGCCTTCTGAAACATTACTGGACTTTAAATTTTACAGCATATCATAAAAACTCCATGTTAAGTATATTCTCGCAGCTCAGAAATAAATCTGACATACCGTCTGTCGGCTGCCCCAGTCACCAGAGTGCTCGGAGGAGAATTGTGGATGTTGAGAGATGTAGGAAGCATAACACATGACTGAAGAAGGTGGGGTCCATGGTAGTCAAAGAGTAAAGTATAGAGTGCACCAGGAGTTGCCACTTTTTGTGTGGTTGGTGATGACATGTTCGGCCAGAGTTGGTTTGTCCAGATCAGCTGTATCGCACAGAGGACATTTGCTGGGTGAATGATCTGGGTAGGTAATCACCTTCACAAGGTTCTTCATCCCCTTGATATCTGAGGGGCCGTGATCCAGTGCATGATCCCACAACTTCTTCCACCCAACACACTCGGCGATCTTGTGCACAAACTGATGTTTGGAGACCTTTTGTAGCAGCAGCAGTTGGTCTTTCTTGTTGATGATCTTTTGTGCATTTCTGATGATGTTAAAGCCCATCTGCGAGCTCATAATAATAATAATAATAATAATAATAATAATGGCAGTGACCCAGCGGGCATATGCACAGTACATTAAAGGAAACAACATTGTGACAACAATTTAATTACTGTGTTAAAGGGTCCAAAAGCAGCTGCTGTATGGCACACGTTTACATGATGAAAAAATAGAGACAGCAGATTCTGCATTTATGAGAAGGGAAATAATATGATCATATGAAAGGTTCTCCATTTCGCTTGGGTGGTTTGTACAAGCGTGTTCGAGGCATGAGATGTTTCTGGGCACCGCTGAGTCACATAGCGAACACTGGAAACATGAGCTTGGACGGCAGAGTTCCTTGAAAATCGCCTGCATGATGCGAGTGCCTTTAACTCCTTGGTCTAAGGCAACGTCCCATAAACGGCGCCATGATGTATGAGTGGCAACTCGAGAGGCTGCAGCAGCTGATCCACAGCTTTGGGTGGCTGAAAGCAGTAGAATCTTGAAATCGGAGTTAAGGAGGTGTTTTTTTGTCGCTTCTAACAATGTCAGGTGCACTTTCAGGATCTGATAGGCATTTTGCGAGGACACACGTACCCAGGTTTGCTTCCAACATTCTGCACTGTTGGACTATGGATGTCTCATATATATTTTCCATCGCAAGTGAGGAAAAAACCCTGCGACTGATTGTGTCTTTAGTTCGTGATAGGAGCTTGCTGAGAAAGCTGAACTTCCTGATGAGAATACGGGTAGCGACTGTGGGCCAATGAAGACCAATACGTACAGCAAGTTTGGAGTAGAATTTTGCCACACACAAAAATGCGGCATCCAATCTCATGTTGGAAACTCTCTAGAGTATTGAGAGAGGTGGAGTCCAGCAACCAGGTCTCACTGCTGTATAGTAGTATTGGGATAATACAGGTTTCGAAGATACTGCATGAAGATAGGGGATTTAAATCACCCAGGAAAGCTCCCAGCCTCCCAAGAGCAAAGAAAGCTCTTCTGGCCTTGTTGACGTTATCAGAAACAGAGTGTTGGGCAGATAGGTTTGAGTTCCACCATACTCCAAGACACTTTGAGGCACTGGAGGTGGCGATGTTGGAGTTGCCAATTCGAACAGAAGCCACATCGCTAGAGTAGGGAGAGATCTTCACTACACTGTTTAAAATGGGGTGTTACGGCAATACCTTTTGGGGTGCCCGTGGAACTGTGCCAGTTTGGCACCCTTGGGGTGTTAGGGTGGGGTGTTAACCATCACCCATAAGAGTGTACAGGAACACCCCTTCTGGGGTAATGTACACCCATAAGAGTGTACAGGAACACCCTTTCTGGGGCAAATGTACACCCATAAGAGTGCTATTTAACCTTTCTATTGATGCTACAATACACCCTTTGGGGTGTTCATAAACATGCATTAGGTGCTGCTTCAATTCTTCATAGGGTGTTCGACAACACGCAGTTGGTGCTCTAGCAGCGCTGTTCATTGTTGCAGTAGCGCCATTGTTCTTACTCTTGAAGTTTATAATAAAAGAGCATGACATACAAATGAGCAATGATGCAAAAGAGCATAAGATAGAAAAAGAAAAAAAGAAGAAAATTCCTAATGTTTAATATTATCTAATGATGCTAGAGTCTATTTCTGGTATATACCTTTTGCTTGTCTACAATTCTTAATACAAAATGTTGAATAAATATAAAGTTGGTACAGTGCTTTAGGGTAAACAATGTTAAAAGCAAAATATGCCCCAATTAAACTAACTATTACGTTTATTGGACTCTTTGCATTTCCAAACAGGCATCTCTCTGCTGTTAGGTGCACTTTAACTAACTTTGGCTCTTCATTGGACCCCAAGGGGAACTTACAGCATGGTCTCTCTCTCTTTCATTGTTCCCCAATCGCCGTGATAGGGGTGGTTGGTTTGGTCGTATCGCACAAGGGTTAGGCGTATAGAGCTAGGGTTCCATATAGCTGCCTAGACCTCAACCCCTGTTGGCCCCCTTGCATTAAGAGGGGTCATTAGGATTGATATCGCTTAATAGGCATGGGACCATAAGCCCGCAGGGAGACCTTTGCCCGTTCTCACACGCCAACCCTTGTACGAAGGCCACATCAGAGATGGGCAGTAGAGAGGAAGGAAGGAGAGGAAAGGGAGGGAGGAGGGAGAAGAAAGGATTGCTTGAGAGCCGAGCTGGTGGGTAGCTTGCAGAGCACGTGGACTGAGAGCTTAGTGTGCGCTCTACTTGCGGTAGAGCGCCTGCGCTGAACCTCACTTGCATGCTGTGCGCGTGCGTGGGCTAAACCTGCGCGCGCCGGAGCCGGTCGCCTGTGTTAGTTAACCTTGTCTAACTGCCTTAAACATCATTGTATCGATGAGTCGGAAGTAACCACAGCGATGTAAACGTGGTTGTCAGTAATTTTCTTCACAGCTTCATCAAGGTCAGGCTCATTCTATAACGACAATTCATCCATAGTGATGTACATGATATTTATGTTGACTTACAGAGAAACGATGCATAAGTGATATTTTTGCTCTAGGGGCAAGCAAAAGCTCAGTCAGCTCCAAAGAATGGATCATTTGCAGCAGCTGTAATCCTGGGAAGTGGAAAGAACAATGTATGCATGCACTGGTTACCTCCAATACCATTATACATACTGGCATATAAATTATCTTTTCACACTCACTTGACCAAACTTGAAATATGAGAAGGAGTATATATTACAGTGTATGAGTCCCGCAGTATGGAAGGATAGAAGGATAGAAAGATGGAAGGATGGAAGTTCGCGTAGAACGGAAGTATAGAATGACGGAAAGATGGAAGGATGGAAGTTCGCGTAGAACGGAAGTATAGAATGGCCCCAATGGGCTTCCGTAGAAATACGTACGTACGTGCGTGAGATTACTGTTGTGGCCGCGCGCCATCGCGAGACGATACCCCTCTAATTACCCTCGGCGCCGGGAGGGAGAAATGGCGGAGTCTCCTCCTTCGCCGTGCCGTCTGAAGAACGGCTTCATGCTCGTCGTCGCGTTCACAGGACTCTTCCTCTTTATTTCGTACGTAAAGTATGGCTCAATAAATAGCTGCGGTGGAAGGCAGGACTTTATGTCGGCGTGGGGCTGCACCAGACAAAGGCAAACTAGCCCCGCTACAATACGAGTGGGGCTTTCCCCGGCATCAATGGCCAGAAACGAAACAGATGGGCTTCAACCTGTATCAGTGGCCAGTAACGAGACAGAGGCAGGTACAATTCAAAGGTCTATATAGGTATATCTAACCAAGTCTTTCAAACCACCTCCAGGGAGATGTATAGACAGATTTTGCAATGAGTATGTAAATCACAGTCACATCGTGAATCAGAGCAGCCCACACTGCTCACCGCCGCCTGCGTTCCACTCCTGGGAGAGAGGAACGGTGACACAGATGTGGATGCCACTCAAAAAAGACTGCCACAAGTTGAGACAGAATCCAGCACAAGAGATGCAGACTTCTAACCTTACCACACAGCTAAAGGCCTGGAAATATAACCGTCTGTGGGAGTCCTTTGCCCTGAAATTCAAAAATATGAGCTGCGATAAAATCAGAGAACAGTTTGAAAATAATTTTTTATGTCTCTCAGATTGAGAAGAATTTCCCAATAGCTTACATCCTTGTGGTCTACACAAACGCAGGACAAGTATTGCGACTGCTCAAGTCTATTTATAGAGCACACAATTTGTACTGCATTCACCCAGATGCAAGACAGGGTGAGAGTTTCAAGGGGTTTTTCACGGCAGTGTCAAAGTGCCTGGACAACGTATTTGTAGTCTCAAATCCGGTAAAGGTGTACTATGGGCATATATCCATTACTGACGCACAGCTACAATGCATGCAGGACTTAGAGAAATATCCGCAGTCAAGATGGAGATATGTCATCAATCTCTGTGGAAGAGAGATTCCACTAAAGACTAACAGAGAAATTGTTCATTCTCTCCAGCAACTTGGAGGCTACTCGGCCGTCGATGCTTTTCCTCTGCCTCAAGAGTTTTGGAAGAAGCGTTTCAAAAGGAAGTATCGCCTAGATAAGAACGGAAAGAATAGACGCACTAGCAAAAAGCAGGTAAAACCACCTCAGGGGATAAAACTGTACAAGAGTATGAACTTCATTGCAGCGAGTCGAAGTTTCGTTCGCTTTATACTGAATGACTCTGTTGCAAAAGAATTTCATGAATACCTTACGACTGTGTACGCCCCTGAGGAGCACTTCTATTCTTCTCTTTATGCCTTGCCTCAGGGCCATAGGTGCCAAACCTCCACCAGGTTTTCATGCTACCAGTGGTATAATGCCTATAATCGACAAGTTTATATGGATTGTTAATTCGTATTCTAAAGAGCATTTAAAGGAGCTCTGTCCGGGGAGAAAAGAGATCCATTCTATCTGCATCCTGACGACAATGGAATTAGGGATAATAGAGAGAAATGGTGTCCGTCCAAACAGACCCCCTATCTTCTTCTTCAACAAGTACTTTCTAGAGTGGGACCCAGTCCCCATGGATTGTATGGAGGAGAGACTGGTGGAGACTAACATGAAGGAGTACAAAAGAGACTGTATATACCAGAACCATAGGGACAAGCATGTAATCACTTAGATAACTTTTATGACCGTAAGGAAGGGAACATATAAGGAGAGGCAGAGGAATAAGATCAAGAGAAAGAGCATGAGTGCCTATGTACAAATGTCAGCTAAATGTATGGGGGTATTTATATAGGACACCTGTTATTAGGGTCAAAGTAAACTTTCCTTTCGAGTAATGTGGGGGTCTGTAAAGAATGTATGCATGTAATTTTAGGTATTACAGTGCGGTAAAGGGTACACTTGTACATACACACACACACACACACTTCCTTAGTGCAAATTCTTGGCAAAGAATAACTGGTAAGGTGATGCTGAGAACCCTCTCCTCGATTATGTAATAGATATTTGTGGCCCAAAAAGCTTCACGTTTCGGCACAATATAAATCCATCGCTGCAAAAAAGTCATGTGGTACAAACTACACGCAACCATAGTAGCAGTAATGGAGGAGATAGCAAATACAAAAGGATTTGCATCTGAAAACTGTACGATGAGCAAAAGGAGTGAGACGGTATCATGAAATGGTGTCATAGGGTAGTTTGAGGTCCAGATGGTGGAAGGAGCGGGACGGTTCATCGTATCCACTGGAACAGACACTCGGGAGGAGGCGAGTGTAGTAAAGAGGGTCGACAGAGAAGTCCATGACCCTCAGTAGTCCCCGGTGACATCTGTGGAGAGGTTCAGCGGCCCCAGAGACCACGTCGGTTCTCCTCCTCTGGGGGAGGTGTGCGGCCACAAGGTAGCGACTGGTGAACCAGCACCGGGCCACTGGGTGACGCTCGTGACTGCTCCACAACTCTCCACTCATTCTTCTGTCCCACACCACCACTAGCCCGTCCTTACTGCACACACACACACACACACAGCTTTCACTAATGTGGATACACACTAGACACTGAAATGAACCTACCTACTTCAGGTTTGTGTTTGTGAAAACTACGAGGAAAGACAAACAAATCAACTACACCCGTGGGAGGCTTGCTTTGCTTGCCAATATATAGGGAGACAGTGATTAACTGTGCTATTGAACTAAAATTTACTTATTGGCAAGCAAAGTGCCACCTTAGTACTGTCACTATGTCATATATAATTCTCAGAGAGCTAAAATCGTGCATTCACATTCACTCGCCATTGTAGCTCATTATTATAATGACAATGGAACAGTGTCACACATAATTCTAAATGTACATCAGCCGAGAAGGGTCAGTAACTTCTGAGTGCTACAACGGGTCAGTCAATAGCAGTGGCACAATGGAAGTTGACATGGGAATGACGTCTACAGTGGAACCTCCGAACAAGGGACACTGTGGGTCAAACGATTGTGTCCCTTGTAGAGAGGTCGTCCCTATCTCGGAGGTCAAATAATACACTAAAGTATTAGCATGGGGTTGAAACAAGTGTCCCTTGTAGAGAGGTCGTCCCTATCTCGGATGGTCCCTTATCGGAGGTTCCACGGTATTATTGTACCTGGTGCCAGTGCCTCAGTGCTAGCACAGCCACACTAAATACGTTCACATTCACTTGCCGTTGTTAGTATGACAAAATGCAAGGAAGATAAGGACAGAGTGGGTAGAAGAGACCTCTACACTCTCACCACTGGCAACTTTCCAGTCATCGCACTGAGTGGAGACCACAGCTCCCTGGTGGCCCGACAGAGTCATGGCCGGCTGGCTCCCCCTCCGAGTGTCAAACACCCTCACCCTTCACCATGCACACAAGAGCACAGGGGGAAGGTCATTATAATTATAATTATAGTATGAGGATACTTACATATTCTATCACCATCTACAACAAGATATTAATAATTATGCATGGAATGTCGGTATATACATGTTTTATATACACTAAACTGAGCATCTAAGAAGTTTTTAAATTGTTGACAGCAACTCAAAGTAACAGAAGTATTTGGCCGGCATTAAATACGTGTGTAAATACATGTGATTTTGTATGCGGCGGGGAAATGGAGCCATGGGCACTCAGTAAACACGATGCAAGTTACTACGAGATTTAGTTAGCATGCTTTCTCACGAAGTTTGGTAGTTCGGCTTTATAGCAATAGCACCTTAAACTGGCCTTCTGAAATATTACTGGACTTTAAATTTTACATTATAGCCAGACATCAAAGCATATCATAAAACTCCACGCTAAGTATTCTCGCAGCTCAGAAAGAAATCCGACATACCGTCTGTCGGCTGCCCCAGTCACCAGAGTGTTCGGAGGAGAGCTGTGGATGTTGAGAGACGTGACCGGCTGGGCGTGGCCTCGCAGGGTGCTCAGGTGACCACTGGTACAAAGGTCATACAGCTGCACCTGCATATCACAGTATAGTGTCGCTTGAGGGTAAAAATTGCGCAATTCAGACAACTCCCTTTGTGTGCCAATTATTTCTCCGTCACTGACTAAACCTGGAGCAATATTCATGCTTGATACTGTATTACCTTAGTTGGCTCACTTAGTGGGACAAAAGCTCACATACATGTTTGTGATTTTCAAGTAATGTAAAAATCATTAGAGGTTGGAGTAGTCTGCTGGTGCAACTCACATGATAGCCCCAGGCACTAGTGGCGCAGGCAACTATGGAGGAGGTGTGGTCAAAGCAGTTTATGACGGTAGCTCCAGCAGAGCCGGCGGATGTGAGGATGTGAGACGGGGGAGGAGGGGGAGGGTGAGGAGGGGAAGAGGGGAGGGGGTGGAGGGAGAGGGTTGTCTGCGTGGAGTAGAGGAGACCAGGAACCTCCTCCAACAACACAGCCAGCTGATTAATCTGAGGCAAGAGAGCACAGAATATGAGTAGCAGTTAGCGGTTCAACGAAGCAGTGTGTTAAAGATGCACCCCTGAAATGGGGACACTCTAATATATACGGACACTTTCTTCTTTCCCATCGATGTCCAGATTGAGGAGTTCAACTGTAAACTGAAAGCTTGTTTGCTTTAAATTTCGGTGTCTCTCTCAAAAGGTTCCCACTATTACAACATATGGTAACTGACAGTGTGAGGAGAAGGGGTGTCGAGGAGAGGATTGACAACCAGTGTCTGCCAGTCTGAGCCTTCGCGACACACCAGAACTGTCACCTCACCCCTGGCCACAGGCTCCACCTCACCTGTGGAACATCATTACTGCTGAATATAGGGGATGGTGGAGGTGTGGAAGCACCAAAAAGGAACCGAATACTGTAACCCTCGCTACTGCGCCTGCGCGCCGAGGGTTAATGATACAAGGGGTAGTTACACACAGCAAAGGCACACAAAACTATGTACATGGCATCACATGGTTGTTCTACATGTGACACAATCCCTATATCTTTGTCTTGCAACAAACAGATATAGCGATGGTTTCGTCTACCATAACTCTAACGGTCTCTCCACTTTAAGGTCCTTACAGATGTGTCTGCGGTATATTAGTGTCCTAGTGGCTAGTGTATGTCCTCATGGAACAGTGTATTAGAGTATTACTGCCACCACTCCTAGACACAATCAGTGTCTACATCGTTGCACCGGATTAAGTACTCACCAGGTCCGAGGTCCGTGACTGAGGTGGCCACACCCACAATCAGGGAGGCGTGGCTCCAGCGGAGGTCAAGAGAGGTCACATGGCCCAATCCCCTCGCTCTATGGACAGCTCCTCCAACACAGCTATCATACACTGTCACTTCACCTGTAAGTAAAACCAACATCCAACTACACGTAGCACATCCGTATAGCAAGCAAATTTCAAGGAAGAACACTTTAACAGTTTTCTGTGGTTTACTAGCTGCCTGTGCAAAATTTTGAAGATTTGCGCAACAGGCTGTGAAATTCACATTTGCTATAGCCGAAACACAACTGTTTTATCCCTCAAAAGTTTCCCGCTATATAGTTTCTCTGCATGTGACTTATAAAGTAAGGCAACACTATTGCATTATGCATCGTATTTGATATACTCTTTCTACAGACATTCAGTACTAATAGATACCATGTTCAGTGGCCACTGCAGCCCAGCCTCTACTGATACGGCAGAGGACGGGTCTCGAGCTCATTAAGTGGGCGTGGCCTGACTCCAGAACAAGGGGTCCTTCCTCAGAGGTTAAAGTCCACACATACACTGCACCGCTGGAGTACCTGTATTGAGAGTCATGTTTACTTGGTGAGGGAAACGAAACAACCCATATAACAACCCATATACAGTAACCTCCAATGTTTTTTTTCTTGCTATCCATGTACACGACTGCAGGATTAAATCATATGTACATGTAGTGTCAGTCAGTCAGTTACCCAGCCAGTAGCTGTTCGAGGTGGCGACAGAAGTCAGCACACCCCAAGACCCCATCTCGGTCAGGTTGAAGGTCACTCAGTCCACACACACGCTCCTGGAAAAAAAATTTGGTCATTTGTCTAGCCTACGTATTCTACTTTTGAATTTGTTGTCGGCTACTATATTAAATTGGGCACAATTTTGCCTCAAACAGAAGCTGGCAGACGAAAATGGCTAGTAAAATTCAGTTGTGCAAAGGATAGACAGATACTTATTGTGTGCGAAAGCCTCCAGATTTCCAACAGATCTATAATAACATACGTACCTTCCAGTTTTTCAGTTCTTTCTTCTTCCTGAGCACTATTTCCTTCACAACTGCTTTCCACGCGACTTGTCGTCCATCTCTGTATACAAGAAGAAATACAAAGTCTTTGCTAGGTATGTAGGTCTCTATTTATCTATCATCTATGTACCTATGGCTGGTATGCTATGAACTATAATTTCATGTATATACCAACCACGAGGTAATCAAGGCAAAAAACCAAACCACACAACTGAGCTACCAGGGCAACCAGCAGGTACCCCTTTCAAGGTAGCCCTTTCAATCTAAAACAACATACAACGCTGCTTTAAAACACAATATGCAGATATGAAGTAAAATTGTTAAACAGTACTGTTGGTGATGAATCCTCACTCCGTGGCAGTATCGTAGCCCATCTTCTGACAGACTCCGCCCCACAGAATATTGTCCTCGGCCAGTGACCGCCAACTCCTGCTCACCTGTACAAGACCACACCCACTTACAAGCCACACCCACACTACCAAGATGGTATACACTAACACATTCCATTAAATTTTGTCAGGCTAATTTGACACCCCGACTACGCCATTCTGGCCGCCCGAATCACGGTCTCCAACCTCCACAAGGAGACTAAGAAGACATTCTCTGATTATGGATTATAACATATATAGCTGTAAAGATTTCGTTTCCTACCCAAATTATAAATGACCTTCAAAAACAAAGTTGCACAAATCACTGCTGGAATTGCATACTGTAGTATGCATGGACACTAAATTGGGAGGCTGCAAGTGATCCCAACAGGTTTTTTAGAGGTTTGGTGCAGACGGAGGGAAGGGAAATTTTGGTCCACTTAACCTACGTATCTCTCACTTAATAATTCATAGTTCAAAAATATTCCATTAACATACCCGAGCACAGGTACAGAGGTCAACCATGTCGAGGTGACGGAATATCAGGAGAGCCAGTTCCCGAGCAAGCTTCACCTCAAAGAACGGAACAGTGTTTATGTCGTCCTGTGTCCAGAGAAAACCTTATGACTCTCTTTATTTGTAAATTCCTAGTCACTTTCATGGCCGTCCGCATTAACACAAGACCTAATGCACTAAAATGTACTATTCCCTGTACATATATACCCGGGGTCACATGATATACTGATTGGTGATAATTTATCATGCAGCAGACAACTAGTCTGCATACAAATTGAAAAACCGGCAGATTATAAACTACTAAGAGCACCACTACTTGCCACTTTATTCATTGGCACCTTATCATATAGCCATACACCTGTCTATGTGCCATACACCTGTCTTTGCTTCACTTTGACTTTGGCAGTCGATAGAGTGAAGAGACTCACCAGGTCAGCTATAAGGGTGTCTAGCAAGCTGGGAGTAGAGCGCTGCTTACTCTCCCTCTCCTCCTGAAAAGACTCACTGGCCGTCTTCTCCACCTGACCAGGCGGTAGCACGAGCAACGGAGATGGCTCGCGACGAGATAACTTCTTCTGGGTCGGAATCTCCGCCGCTTTCTCTTCCTCCTCCTCCTCCTCCTCTTCCTCCTCGACCTGCCTGTCCTCTCTCTTTCCCAGGAGGAGGCCTCCTGGCGGACCTGGCGTCACTAGCTCTTGCTTCCATTCAGCCACAAACTGCTGCAGCGTCTTCTTCACAGCCAGATCGCCGTCCATATTCCCTATGGTCAATCGGGTCACGACGTGGGCGCATGCGCACTGGTGGCGTAGACTCGTGACCGGCCGGTCCGGCGCGGCGGCCGGCGCTTGCTAGTTTCCCTTACGTAGTAACCACTCTCCCGTCTGCTTCTCACACATGCGTTTCAGGCTGATGCAGGCAATCGAATTCGCCTAATTAGTAGATACCCAGCACTTTACAGTGCACTAGCTATATCCAACATGTATGGGACCCACAGTAGTCGTTAGTTCATGGCTCTGCATTCTTACCGCACGAGTGTGTATGCTGGAAGATCTCAGTGGTAAGCAAGTCGGAATGATCATGACTTCAATGTAGATGAAGCACAACTTTGAATCAAGTCTCACATAATCCGCAGGATGTTACAAAGGACAGTGGAGAATCCGTCCCATCAAAGCTGACCTCGAGTGCTTCCAGTTAGCAACGCAACATAGTAGTCGACATCAAAGCTCTGAGTGTGTATTCATGGTGTTGTTAGTTCATGCATCAGTTGATGACAAAATCAGTCAGTGTAGCTTCGTTTTGCAGGGTTCAGTTCTTCAGATTTATTGCTGTTACTAAGGGGGCTCACTTTACCTGCTACAGAAGGAGTTAGTTCATGCGCTGCAACGTATAGTCTACAAATTTGAGAAAATATGATTTAGATATCATAGGAAGTATACAATATCCTAGTCAACCAAGTCTCCCGTGTAGGCTAATAAATGAAAGTTCAGATTTATGTTTCATTGAGTATGTTACAAGGGGGAGTAAAATCCTGTCCATCAGTGACAACCCAACATAGTAGTATCCTGTCTAGACATCAAAGCTCATTTAGTGACTCTATCTGCCCAACATGGTCATCCTGTCTTACTTGACCATATGTTAGGAATATCCTGTCTTTTCAATCCCACCTCCCACACCACTTCCTTCCCCAGCAACAACAAGATAAGAGACCACTTGCTATTTAAACGTGGCTTTGAGCTAAGTTGTTCATCACAAGTTGGCAAGATGAACAGGTACACTCTACTGGTCTTCTGTCTACTGACACTGTCTAATGTACAGCTGGGACAATCTTGGATCAGCGGTAAGATCTAACCTGTCATTTTATTGCCAGTGTTAAGTGGTCGTTCATAATACACATACAACAGGTAGGAGGATTGCTGCAGGTGTGATCGGAGCTCTGAGGCCCATCTTGAATGAAATGAAGGAAGATATTAGCTCCATAAAGAGTGAAATGGCCAGTCTCAGTGAGACAGTCAGTCATCTAGCCGAGGAACTGGAAGACCACAAGAATGAAGCTGCATCTAAACTAGCCGATCTAGGTAGTGACCTACAGACACACAACCAACAGATTACATCTGCAGTGGCTCAACTTGATACTAGACTCAGTTCTCTGAATGAATCAATGAGAAACTGTTTCGACAGCACGCTAAGCGATTTCAATATGAATGCAAGCATGACATGTAACACGACTGAAGATCAAGAAACTCAAAACACTACTGATCCAATGGGGAACATGACTGAACCAATGGGAATGAACGAGACCCTTACAGAGCAGGTGGGAAATAGCACAGATTGTGGAGGTGTTGGTTGGAGACGAGCAGTCTACCTGGATATGACAGATGCCAACACCAACTGTCCCTCTGGCTGGCAGCTCACTGGATACTCCAAGAGAACTTGTGGCAGAGTTAGTACTGAATCGAATAGTTGCGACTCGGTCTTCTTCCCTGTCAGTGGAGGACCATACACTCAGGTGTGTGGAAGGATCAGAGCCTACCAGAATGCGGTACCAGACGCCTTCAACTCGTACAATTTTGATGGACAAACTACAATTGACAGTGCCTTTGTCAGTGGTGTGGCTGTAATGCACGGCAGTCCCCGACAACACATCTGGACATTTGCTAATGGAGTATGGGAAAATCGTATGTCGTCTGATAACTCCATGTGCCCATGTGACGTTCCTGATTACCACCTTCGCTATAGCATCCCACCATTTGTCGGGGAAGATTACTTCTGTGAGTCTGGGTTCCTGTGGGGTAGTGGTATTTCACAGTTCAGTTTCCATGCCGATGACGTTCTCTGGGATGGTGAAGACTGTCACTCCTCCAGTAACTGTTGCTCTTTCCGTAATCCTCCATACTTCACTAAAACGCTCGGGCAGACAACTACCGATAATCTTGAACTGAGACTGTGTCTTAACAATGCTGCGCACGATGAAGACAATATAGCAGTGGAGCTGGTTGAATTGTATGTGATGTAGCTAGAGCTACTGCTTAAACTCGCCAATGAAATGATCTGTGTGCTTCTTATACATTTCTGTTATGTATTACTATTACCAAACTGACTAACTCTGTAAAAAGGAAACACGTCCGGTATTATTATGCCGCCGTCCCGCAAAAGTTTTTTATCGCGCATGCGTGCCTTGGACAGCAGCCCCACCTCCTCTACACACGTACACACACCTGGATCCAAAACCGGGACTGCCCCCTGCCGCGCGTTATATAGAATCCCTGCTCCGAATAATGAAGCCGTACTTTTCTCTGCCCCAGCCGCTACACCTCCTCCTTGGCTCACACGCGAGATGTGGAGTCGTCGCCGCAGCTCTGGCCGTGACCTGCTACTGGAACAGCCTGGAGTGCGGCCTCGTGCACGATGACATATTCGCCATTCGTGACAACGCCGACGTGCGTCCCGGAACACCCCTCGCCAGCGCCTTCTCCGACGACTTCTGGGGCAAGCCCATGAGCTCCAACGTGAGCCACAAGTCGTATCGACCGCTCACGATCCTCAGCTTCCGCGCCAATTACGCTCTCCACGGGCTGGAGCCGTGCGGGTACCACGCAGCGAACGTGGGGCTCCACGCCGTAGTGACGGTGATGGTCGGCTGGTTGTGCCGGAGACTGGTATTCCCCGAGCCCGACCTGACGTTTCTGGTCATGTGTCTGTTTGCAAGCCACCCTGTGCACACTGAGGCCGTGAGTGTAGTCATAGCGCTACAGTAACTTACTATAAACATAAAAACACCCTTCGCTTTTTTCTGATTTACTCTTTTCTCCCTCCCTCCCTCCCTCTTATCTAGCTATGGTCTCTTATTTTTTTGCTAAGGTGACAGGTGTGGTAGGTAGAGCAGAGTTGCTGTCCAGTGTCTGTTTCCTCATCTCTCTCATCTCCTACACCACCTCACTCTCTCACAGCCCTTACCAGCAAACACTCAGAGTCAGTACAGTAGTACATGGTACTATATTATAGATCGTTGTTAAGCTTGTGCCCTATGTTTGCGTAAGCATCCTTCATACACTGTTTATGAATGCCTCTGGGAAAAAAGTGGTTAAACTTGTGTCTTCTGTATGCAGCCCTCAGTTGCTGTTTATGTTTCCATTTCTGCTTCCGTAAAAAAAGGCATATCTATGTATGGTAAATGTTGCAGCAAGAAAACTGTTACATTTGGTTTGTAATGCTGACAACGTACACACACACATAGCATTGATATTAAGTTAATACTTAAATCTTTCGAAATTGCACCAAAAAAAACTTTATGCATGCTCTATTCGAGAAATAAAAAGTGTGAAATTTGTTTTATGGTTACAAAAGGTGTTGGTGAGTATATTGTTGGGAGGAGTTGCGATGTTGTTCAAAGAGACCGGGGCCACTGTGTTTGGAGTGTGTCTGGCATATGACTTGCTGGTCCACTCTCGTCTACAACTCTTGAGGTAAACGATCTCTCTGTAAGATTTTGACTCAATCAAACTGTGACTTATGTACTCTATTTGCGTGAATCCAGGTGTTAATATGGAGGCTTAGTACATACACCTTATATAATTGACGAGCCAAGGTTTCCCAACTGTAGTTGAGTCTTTTATTCTACACACAGATTTCAAAATGCTATTGAGTCCAATTTTTGCACTTGTGTTCTATTGTCAAAGAATATTGGTAAATTGAAGCCCATGGTATTGTACCTTTGTAACTAAACACTCATCAATCAATTGTGTGTGTGTGTGTCTGTCTGCAGGTGCCTCGTGAAGCGAACATCTCCCGTCTTCCCCACTCTCTCCCCTCTCCTCCTCCGCTCCCTCTCCCTCCTCCTCACCTCCACCCTCCTCCTAATCACCAGGGTCCTCCTCCTCCACGGCAACCTCCCTCGGTTCTCCGATCACGACAATCCCGCCTCCTTCTCTCCCCTAGTCCTCACCCGGGCCCTCACTTATTCCTACCTCTACTTCTTTAACGCCAGACTCCTCACATTCCCTCTTACTCTCTGCTACGACTGGCAGATGGGCTCCATCCCACTAGTTGAGACTCTGGCTGATACAAGGAACACTGGGACCCTGTTGTTTTTCATCTTCCTCCTATCTCTCTCCATTTCATCGCTCTTCAGGTTTAGTTCACGGAAAGTAAGTCTTCTGTCTTGGGATTATACCCTCTCTTGCATGCATCATCTCTATCTCTATGCATTTTCACAGACGATAGATCTACATAGGCTACAGGTGGCATAGGTACTCACTCCACTTGCCAAAATAATGCAAAGATTTCAACTGGTACATGTAACATCTGCTGAGAGTTATGACACTATAGGTTCCCCATGTAAGCCGTCACATTACACTGTTCCTCGGCAATCTACGACATTTTGCATTCACATTTTTCTGCATTCGCTCTCATTCGCTCTAAATGACGTATCTTGCTGTAGTAGTAAATGCGCTGAAATTTTGTACAGATATGTTCCCCATATAAACCGTCACGAAAATAGTAGACACTTTTTCTAGGTAATGTGCATTCACGCATTCGTGCTCACTTGGCAATTAGTATACGTACATTGTAGTAGTCACTGTACTGTATGTACGTACGTATTCCAGACTAGTTCCAGAGGTGTGCTGCTGTCCCTGTTGGTGATGGTGGTCCCCTTCCTCCCTGCCTCCAACCTTCTCTTCAGAGTTGGCTTCGTGGTGGCAGAGAGAGTCCTATACATACCCAGGTCAGCTCTATCACCAACATCGACTTTTTAGTGAGCGAGTGCGAGCAGTTCAATTTTTGACATGTACAGTATTTTTAGAATCAACATGTATATACAACATTATGGTATGTGCAGAACCTTGCAGTGCTTGTCACATACTAATAATAAAGATATAGAAATTTTTAGCATTTAGACCGCTCGGTCGGCTCTTTTTGCTCGTCAACCAGAACAAATGCTACATATTTTTGGTAAGGGAATGTGAGAGTAACACAAAACAGTTGTAAATGATCGATTATGATACGTCTAATTAGAGTTTGTAGAACATTATATGGTAAGTCTTTAGGTACGTGCTCGTTTTTTGGTGGACTTTGGAACAAGGCTAAGCATGCATTATGTTTAACCGCAAACCTCAGGCAACACTGATGTACTTCCGCATTAACAGTATCCTTCAAATTGTTTTGTTTCTTCTATGACGAGCGTTCTCTCACCCTCTCTCCAAACCTTACCTCTCATCCACAGCATCGGCTACTGCATCCTACTTGTCCAGGGCGTGAAAACCATTTCGCTCAGACTCCGCCCACTGCCACACCCTCCCACAGCCTCCCCCCTCCCACCCTCCCCACGTGCACCCAGATCACATCTCCCCCTCTTTCTCCTGGTCCTACTGCTGGTTGGACTGTTCTCTGTACGAACTGTAGTCAGGAACTCTGTCTGGACTTCTCGCGAATCTCTCTTCAGGTACATACATACTATGTACATGTATGACCCAGGGTTCGACCCAGAATCGTTTGAGTGGTAGCTATATCATAGGACAACAATAGTTTTTGCCAGAAAGTAACACACATTAATGTGAAACAATTGATCTGGTGGTAGTTTTGTATTTTCCGGCCACCTTGCTTTATTAGTGGGCATTTTGCATCCTCCAGCTATTTAAGGTGTGGCATTCAGGATGGTTGATTGGCTACTGTTAATGTGGCAGTATGTAACCGAATTGCATTATTGTATATATATTATATATATATTGGGTTCTAATGTTTAGATTTTTAGCCCTTATGTTATATGCTGACACATTCCATGATGTTGAGGATGGTTGGTTAGCTAAACATTTTCATCATTATTTTAGTGATAATTATAAGAGTAGGACATAATAATAATATGACATGTTTGGTTGGCCTTTAAAAATGCACACAACTATTGGCATTTAAGATTAAGGTAAAATTTTCACATGCATGTCCATACGTACTATCATGTTCATGTTCACTAAAAATGCACACAATTTTTTGCCTTTGTGCACGAAAGTATAGGGTAAATTTCTCACATGTCATGTTCGTACTATACAGTATGTACCCAGGTCGGGTCTGGCGACAGTTCCCCACAATGCAAAGATCCACTACAACTATGCCAACTATCTGAGTGACTCGGGGAGACTGGATGAGGCAGCTCACCACTACTACCAGGCCCTCAGGTCAGTGTAAACTGTAATGAATTGGCGAGCGAACACGAGTACAGAATGTAAGCAGATTCACGTGTGTTTAAACTCTAGCGGTTTTGTATAAATGTTGGTTTGGTTTGTGCACTGGCTGTGTATCTACTTTAGTTTCACTTTATCCTCATTTGTCCAACTTGCTTGGAGCTATGTACGTAGAATAGTGTATTTTATGCTTTAGTAGGCTTGCAAGGAAACCTTGTATTGAGGGAAAATAAGGATTGGTTAAAAAACTTTACAAATTAACGGCAACTTTTGTAGAAAACTTTTGTGGGTGGCTTTAGAAGCCTTGAATTTAGGCAAGCGAAGTAAGCCAACTGAATTTTGCGATTTTTTGTTGCTGTTGGTGTATCGTGCTAGTTTAGCTGTGGGAAACCGTGTGCTAACGGCAGCAAATGAGTTCAGTTGTGTGTGAAAATTGCGATGTTCTAGAGCAGTTACATCGTGGGTGTCACTCTCTCTCTCTCTCTCTCTCTGCCGTAGACTGGCTCCAGACCACGCCTCCTCCCACAACAACCTGGGCAGCCTCCCGGGCCTCGACCTCCACGAGGCCGAGTTCCATTTCAGAGAGGCCGTTCGCTATAACCCCACTCACTACAGAGCTCTCTACAACCTCGGGAACAACCTTCTGTGAGAGCCACAGGCATATTCCATTACTGTGTAATTACAGGGGGCTTTGGGGGATTGGGGCATAGTTACATCCTGGAAAAAATACCCCCCCCCCAGAACACTCCAACGATTATACCATTTAATTTTAATTATATATTCGCCCCCTCAGTACAAAAATTCTTCAGGGTTGTGTTTTTTTGTCTCAATTTCAATCACAATCTAATTTGCTCAGTGCAGGTTAACACTCTATCCCAGTTAGGAACTATCTAGCTTCTAGCTGCTAATGCTAACATATGTTTCACTCTTCCATTCGCTACAACTGTAGTGGTTGTGAGCTAATACATAATTTATATCTACGTAACCAGGGTAGCACGGTAAAAGAGCTGCCATTGCATCTTTTGAGAGCCTTTCCACTTCCATTTCTGGACTGCAGTTGTAAACTCAGTAACCTGTCACTCCCAGTGGGAGTGTTAGCTGTCCAGTTTATGGGATATTCTAGTCACTCATCACATTACAGTGCGTTGGTAGACTCAGCCAGACTCAGTGATAACAAAGATTACTACAAGTGTCAACCAGCCAGTGTGTCTGCCACTTGTTCACAACTGTATATACACTTGCGTCTGTACTGTAGGGGATTAATAAAGTGTCAGCGAAAGATTAATTAAGTATCAGTGTGTGTTTATAGTCGAGGGTATCCTTGTTTCTAGACAAAGAATGTTGTGAATTGTTGTCGTGTGACTGCAAATTACAAACGTGGCAAACAAGGCAAAAACTACGCCCAGGACCCTGGGTGAGATTCGAACCCACGACACTCCGCTGAGGCGAGCGCTCTACCAACTGAGCTACCATACCTGTATATCCATACCTGTATATCCATACCTGTATATCCATACCTGTATATCCATACCTATTTACATATCGTCCACTAGGAACCAAGGAAGGCTGGAGGAAGCTGAAAAAGCACTCAGAGAGAGCCTCAGGTTAGTTACCAACCAACAGTTTCATGCCATGTTGCTCTGACAAAACCTGTCACTTGGAAGATTATGGTATTGGTCATTGGGCTAACTTTTTCGTACTTCTAGTACCAACGTTGGGGGAAGGAGAGACCAACCAACTATTCTGAATACCTTGACTATAGCTGGAGAGTGCAGTGCAAATAACCTTTAGTGGCGATTGTAGATTGTAGAAAATTGAGCTAACTTTTTCGTACTTCTAGTACGAACGTGGGGGGAAGAAGAGACCAACCAACTATTCTGAATACCTTGACTATAGCTGGAGAGTGCAGTGCAACAACCTTTAGTGGCGAACGTAGAAAATTGGGCTAACTTTTTCGTACTTTTAGTACGAACGTGGGGGGAAGGAGAGACCAACCAACTATTCTGAATACCTTGACTATAGCTGGAGAGTGCAGTGCAAACAACCTTTAGTGGCGATTGTAGAAAATTGGGCTAACCTTTTTCGTACTTTTAGTACGAACGTGGGGGGAAAGGAGAGACCAACCAACTATTCTGAATACCTTGACTATAGCTGGAGAGTGCAGTGCAAATAACCTTTAGTGGCGATTGTAGAAAATTGGGCTAACCTTTTCGTACTTTTAGTACGAACGTGGGGGGAAGGAGAGACCAACCAACTATTCTGAATACCTTGACTATAGCTGGAGAGTGCAGTGCAAACAACCTTTAGTGGCGATTGTAGATTGTAGAAAATTGGGCTAGCTTTTTCGTACTTTTAGTACGAACGTGGGGGGAAGGAGAGACCAACCAACTATTCTGAATACCTTGACTATAGCTGGAGAGTGCAGTGCAAAAACCTTTAGTGGCGATGTAGAAAATTGGGCTAACCTTTTCGTACTTTTAGTACGAACGTGGGGGGAAGGAGAGACCAACCAACTATTCTGAATACCTTGACTATAGCTGGAGAGTGCAGTGCAACAACCTTTAGTGCGAACGTAGAAAATTGGGCTAACTTTTTCGTACTTTTAGTACGAACGTGGGGGGAAGGAGAGACCAACCAACTATTCTGAATACCTTGACTATAGCTGGAGAGTGCAGTGCAAATAACCTTTGTAGAAAATTGGGCTAACTTTTCGTACTTTTAGTACGAACGTGGGGGGAAGGAGAGACCAACCAACTATTCTGAATACCTTGACTATAGCTGGAGAGTGCAGTGCAAACAACCTTTAGTGCATTGTAGAAAATTGGGCTAACTTTTTCGTACTTCTAGTACGAACGTGGGGGGAAGGAGAGACCAACCAACTATTCTGAATACCTTGACTATAGCTGGAGAGTGCAGTGCAAACAACCTTTAGTGGCGATTGTAGAAAATTGGGCTAACCTTTTCGTACTTTTAGTACGAACGTGGGGGGAAGGAGAGACCAACCAACTATTCTGAATACCTTGACTATAGCTGGAGAGTGCAGTGCAACAACCTTTAGTGGCGAACGTAGAAAATTGGGCTAACTTTTTCGTACTTTTAGTACGAACGTGGGGGGAAGAGGAGAGACCAACCAACTATTCTGAATACCTTGACTATAGCTGGAGAGTGCAGTGCAACAACCTTTAGTGGCGATTGTAGAAAATTGGGCTAACCTTTTCGTACTTTTAGTACGAACGTGGGGGGAAGGAGAGACCAACCAACTATTCTGAATACCTTGACTATAGCTGGAGAGTGCAGTGCAAACAACCTTTAGTGGCATTGTAGAAAATTGGGCTAACCTTTTCGTACTTTTAGTACGAACGTGGGGGGAAGGAGAGACCAACCAACTATTCTGAATACCTTGACTATAGCTGGAGAGTGCAGTGCAAATAACCTTTGTAGAAAATTGGGCTAGCTTTTTCGTACTTTTAGTACGAACGTGGGGGGAAGGAGAGACCAACCAACTATTCTGAATACCTTGACTATAGCTGGAGAGTGCAGTGCAACAACCTTTAGTGGCGAACGTAGAAAATTGGGCTAACTTTTCGTACTTTTAGTACGAACGTGGGGGGAAGGAGAGACCAACCAACTATTCTGAATACCTTGACTATAGCTGGAGAGTGCAGTGCAACAACCTTTAGTGGCGAGTAGAAAATTGGGCTAACTTTTTCGTACTTTTAGTACGAACGTGGGGGGAAGGAGAGACCAACCAACTATTCTGAATACCTTGACTATAGCTGGAGAGTGCAGTGCAAACAACCTTTAGTGGCGATTGTAGAAAATTGGGCTAACTTTTTCGTACTTTTAGTACGAACATGGGGGGAAGGAGAGACCAACCAACTATTCTGAATACCTTGACTATAGCTGAATACTTTGAATGTAGCTGCAAATATCCGTTAGTGGCGATTGTAAAATATTGGGCTAACTTCTTCATCTCCTCATGTATGTATGTACGTATGTACGTGTGTTCCAGAGTGAACGGTGAGTACCACGGTTCGCTGATGACTCTGGCCACCATCCTGACTGACACCGGGCGGGGCCAGGAGGGACTCCGCCTCATGGAGCGGGCAGTGGGCGTGGCTCCCAGCGACACCCTTGTCAGAAACAACATGGCCGCCCTCCTCCTCCGCCAAGGTACTATGTGGAAAAAAACTTTGTTGCCAGGCCGGCGAGCCAAACTACACAAAACCCAGAGCAACTCTTTGAAAAAGAGCTGTCATGGGTGAGAATTATTTTGAACCCATGACACTCTCTCAAGGCAGAGTGTTCTCATATTTGCTCTAGCCACTGAGCCACTTAACCTCTTGTCAAATCTCTCCTATAACCATTTTCAGGATTTTAGTAAACCGCCCTTTTATTTTCTAAAATTGCACTGAGTTTAGTATAATTATACGTACCTTTGATTTCCGGAGGCCATTTAATGTTGTTTCCATGTCTGGCACTGTTATCAACACTATATTATGTTGCTGTTGGTTTGCTGCATAAAAGTTATCACACGGTGAGTCTATATGTTGTTTATTTGACACACACCTGATTAATTAACCTGCGCATGGTTTGCACAGAAAAACAACACCTCCCTCCCTCCCTCCCTCCCTCTCTCCCTCTCTCCCTCTCAGGTAGAGTGGAAGAGGCAATCAGGGAGTACCAGTACAGTCTGTCCCTAGACCCAACCCAGACGACAGCCATGAACAATCTCGCCCGAGCCTACAGGTCACGAGGTGAAAACAGCAATGCCGAGCACTGGCTTCTGCAGTAAGCAATTTTCCTCTACCTATATAATTATGTATAACGAGAGCAAGTGCCATGCATTTTTGACAAGTGAGTGTGAGCAGTTAAAGTTTTCGCACTAGAATGATTTCCGTCCGTATTGCTATATGGAACATTACTGTATGTGCAGTGCCTGTCACTCACTCACATGTACATGTAATAAAAATCCCGTATTCAGACGACTAAGTACAGATTCGATTTGCTTGCAAATAGCCACCTCGTTAGGCACAACAGTTCAATAAGTTCCACTTGGTTTTCAGACGTTGGAAATGTCCAGCTGTCTGTTGCGTTCTGTCGGTGCATTTTCTACACCACACGGATACTAGCTGGCTTACATAAGCCATTCACCATGGATACTAATTATGTCACCATGGACTTCAAAAATCCTGGAGGATAGTTTGAGAAATGTTCTCCACCTACATATTCTTGGAAAATTATACCTCTCCTGTCTGTCCCAGTGTACATGGGGAAACTGCATTTTAGGGGGACTGTGCAGTATATAGAGCGAAACAATATAAGGGCATGGTGAAAGTATGCAATTGAGTTCCGTTTTTAGTAAACTGAGCCCTTACGCATGCACTGCCACATTTATTTAATAAACTAAGTGTTAGCGTGTAAGCATTTGCAAGGGTAGCTTTCTCTGTGTATTATCAATGAAGCAAAGCAATTGTAAAGAAAAAATGTCACTCAGGAGACCACCTGAAAAAGAGCTGCCCTGGGTGGGGGACTCAGCCCCTGATCTAGGCAGTATGTACTCTATAAGGATTTTCAACTGTCACTAACATCCTCCATTACAGGTCGCTGGGGGTCAGTCAAGACATTGACACCTTGATCTCTCTCGGTGCACTCTACTTCAACACTGGCAGATACCCTGAGGCGGCGCAGGTCTTCTCCAGAGCTCTGGATCTCCAGCCTCACCACCTGGAGTCCCAGTGCAGCTTTGTACGTATATGTCCTTATTCTTTTATTCATCACAACATCACAACTGTTGCTATTGAGTAGGAAGAAGCAATAGTCACCGGACGGTCTATGTAGCTTCACGAGCATGTAGTTGGTCTCCGTAATTCACTTATCTAAATGACACAGCATAAGCTACTATTAGTAATCTAGTTTTATTCCCTTTTTAAAACCCTATCCATTGATATGTGGTCTTTTAGTTCTTTTGCTATTGGATGTGTTCTTATCTACATATTTACGTGGTCTTTGCTAAGCTATTGGAAGCCACTGTTCATAGCCAATGTACATATTATACTGACGGCTCCATCCGTGGGTGGTGTTTGTAGTATGCTAATCAGGTGATGAACGTGAAGCAGTAAACGCACTATTGGATGTGTTCTTATCTACATATTTACGTGGTCTTTGCTAAGCTATTGGAAGCCACTGTTCATAGCCAATGTACATATTATACTGACAGCTCCATCCGTGCGTGGTGTTTGTAGTATGCTAATCAGGTGATGAACGTGAAGCAGTAAACGCACTATTGGATGTGTTCTTTCACAAATAATCTGATTTGTACCGTATATTCACCGCTCAAACCCAATCCATTGATATACACACGTGTGGGGTTTTAGTTATTTGGCTAGTGGGTGTGTTATTTCCGCCATAATCTCGTTTCATTCTCTATTCTATACTGATGGCTCCATCCGTGGGTGGGCTTTGTACATACATAGTATGCTAATCAGGGGACAAACATGAAGGAGTAACGCTATTGGATGCGTTCTTTTCACCGTAATCTCGTTTTGTATCCCATGTTTACTGACGGCTCCATTCGTCCATTTTATTGCACATTTGCTAATTCCAACCGTCCAAGGGATGAAGTAACATCAATTAGATGGACTGTAATCCAGTTTACCACCTATAATCCAGTTTATGCATTAGCAGGGGCACCCTATATATTGAGTGTCCAATTGCCACAGACATTCAGTCCATTGAAGCCGTGAGGGATATATTACTGAGGTCTCATGGTGCCTTCACGCCCTCTCCTTTACTGGCTTAATCTAACTATCATAGAGCCCTAAATGTGTGTATGTTAATATATGACAAAGTGTGTGCATGATGTAACGTTACGCTTTTGTTGCGTAACAAGCTGTTTGAGTCATAAATATATTGTGTATTGAACACCCCAGAAAGTTTGTTCCTTCGGTTCTGACGTGACCTTTGTTTACATCCTATACACTGATTTACATGTACACGGAAAAATTAATTAACATAAATCTAAGATGGTTCGGGGGGCCGGGGGGTTGATATACATTGCATATACATGTTTACATTGCCTTGGGACAATCTAATGTGTACATTGCCTTGGGACAATCTAATGTGTACATTGCCTTGGGACAATCTAATGTGTACATTGCCTTGGGACAATCTAATGTGTACATTGCCTTGGGACATGAAAAAGGAAGTTTTGATGACTTTTCCATAATAGCTAGCGTTTTGCATGATTCCTGCCTCTAGCAGTTTGCCTGCATATACGGAAGTAAAACAGACAACACAACACAACACAGCATATACGTAGACTGTTGTTAGCGCTAACAAAGTGGGCCTTTATCGTCCGTTCACTCCAGGGGGGAGCGAAGGAAGGTGCAAACCTACCACTTTGGACTTGTTAGCAGGGAAATTTGGCGCTGTGTTTTGCCTAAAGAGCGTGTTGACACGTACGTACATGGATGTATTATCTCCTTAGCTACGTAACAGGAAGGGGAGGGGAGGCTACGCACTGTAAAAGGCACGTTCTTGCAGCCGAAACACTAGCTTGCGTCACAACTAGTGAACAAATGCGTGTGCAGTCGCTAGATGCTATTTCTTTGCGTGTGTGTGCTTGTCTATCTGAGGCCATTACCTAGCAGCTGCATAAGGCACTCGGTCCGCCATTTTTTGCCTTTAGGATAGCAACCATATTCAATGTCCTCTTGAGGCGTCTCTTATCCAGAGGTGTCACTTGCTGAGGAAAAGTTGTTCACGGCGGGTGGGGCATGCCAAATTGCATTCCCAGCATACAATGTAAAGAATTAATTAAGTTTGTGTGGTTCCATAATGATGGCCACGGGCAATAATTTAATAGGATCAACTGCATGCCGTGTGCATGCATGCCTGTATATGGAGCATTACTTAGTTATCGCGTGTGTGTATATAACATGGAACTCTCTACCGCCGGTGCTATAAACGATTTTCATAAACTGCACAGAACAACCACAGAGTTGGGAGAGCCAGGACTAAATATACACACGTACGTAACACTACAAGTCTTTAATGGCACACACGTACGTAGCTGTGCTGCTATTATAGAATGCAGTATTTTACCGAGAGCATGCTCGAAGCATCTACTGTCATTGTGTCGGTTCAGTAGCTCCTTCACCTAATCCATATTTCTTGTGTTGCATAAAGCTGATACAAAGGTAGGACTTTTAGTCAACAGATTAATAAGGTTACACATGTATACCTATAATATGTATGTACATATCACCTCAGCTAACATCTACGTATGTACCATATACCACCACTACAGCTCAGTCTCAGCAGCTCTTAGTGTTACGTAACCAGCCCCTAAAGCGGGGTGAAATGGAACCCCACTTTAGCTGCCAAGTGGACAAGACACTTTGTCTACCACTGTCTCCGCCTCCTGTCGTCTGTGCACACTACTCTTGACCACAGATACAAACCTCAGGCGAGATCTCCCACACGCCACTTCTTTGAGAGGGCAGAGGCTTAATCTGAGAAGACACACGTGCACGACCGAGGACGCAGGGGGGGTATCAGTTACATTGTGGAGCTCTCATCTGACTCAATGGAGGAGCTCTCATCTGAATGCCAGAGTCACAGCCAAGACTTGGCCAAAGAGGATCAAAGGGTCTCTTGTGTCTTTCACTAGCGGTTGCTGCATTTACACCTCACTCCCTCTCTCCTTTACCAAACCTTCACTATTGAGAAGGTTTTTCTGTTTGTAGTAAGATCAGCATTGCAGTACTAGCCTACAGCCATACATACAGAGACATTAGTTGTTGCCTCTAGAGTAAGAGAACAATAGAAAAGTGTGTCATTGCATCTTTATTTGGCACACTTTCTTATCAGGTTTCCTTAAAAAATTTGCGAAATTTTGTGTGAACTAATTATAATTATGCTGTATAGTTGCTGGAAATGTTTGAGGAAGAAAACTAACCCTCATTCAATGGTTTCTGAAAAGTGAAATTGTTGGCAGGACCAGAAATTGACAAAATTTTCACCACAACGCAAAAAGTCTCTCCCTCGTTTCGAATTCATGCTTTCTCTGTTCTCTCCCCTTCCAAAGGTTAGATATACAGTTACGCACGTCCTTAGTTGGCACATGCCTGATACCAAGAACCTTTGGCAAATTAATTTTGGACATTTTTATCACGCATGATATCATCTCGGATTCCTTTTCTTATGTAATGGTGTTCAACCTACATGTGTACGGATCGTGTTTATTGCCATGTGCACATGACGTCGTATCCACAAGTGTGTGGGTGTCGTGTGCAAGATCACTATAGTACGTATGTAGTCTCAGGTCGAGAGGCAACTTTTTCTGTACAGACAAAACAGCTCTAGAAGTGAAGTAATCCGAACACGAGCGAAAAGTAACAAAGAAATGAACACCTGCACGTTCTAGGTGTGAATAGTAGGTTTTTTTTGTTTTTTCATCAAACCAAATTTTTTTCTTCCTCGATACAATTTTAATATACATTTATGCTGTGTGTCCACATCCATTTACATGTGTGAACATTTATATTGGGCTACAAAAAACTTTAACCTAAATCAAACGAGAATTGAAAAAACCACACAGTTACGTACTCTAACTGTTAACACTAACTCTCCCCCACAGGTGCAGAGTTTGATCCAACTCCGCCAGGAAGAAGAGGCAGAGGCGGAGGCAAGGGCTGCTCTGGACCGCCACTCCCATGCCCCCTGTCTCCATCTCTCTCTTGCCACTCTCCTCTCCAAGAACAACAGCCGTTTGCAGGAGGTCTGTTACGATTGGCAAGCAAGCAAGCCCACCTTGTCATACGAATTAATCTATGCATACCTATAACACTACACGAAGGAAGGGGCGAGGAAGACCACAAGCCCTCTATAAACCTGCTAGAATACATTTTTGGCAAGCGTCATGGCTCAAGGACACCGGTCGCTTAGTCACCAGATGCCCAGCTATGAGAACAAAGATAGTGGGTTTTCATACACTTAAAAGGCGGTTTTCAGTACTCTGCAGTACACTAAAAGAGAAGATCAAAAGATTAAAGTTATTGTGCCACGCTATGCGTACTTACTGTTTGTTGGTATACGTGCTAACTCTCCCCACAGTGTATCACGCATACGGCGCTGTCCATCTGACATGCGCAGACACGACGTAGTTCTTACTCTACGAGCTGCTCACGTTAACACCTGTTTCTTACGAATGACAGGTTAAACGTGTTTTACATACTATTCACGTCCTGTACCTACTACCAAGTTTTCCAATGTTGAGTGAAGAATCGCTGTACATGGATGATGTTCGCACATGCACCATGTCATGGCATAGTCAATTGCGCAATTCAGATGACTCACCATTAATTATAGTGTGCCACTCTGCAACTCCTTTATTCACAAGGATAACATCATACTTATTTTATGAAACTCTACCTTTATAAGGAGATGTAAACATAACACAATCACAAGCCTACAAATGCACATCTGCTAATATTATTACAATGTTTGTCAGGATTGTGCAATAAGATTATTAGGCTCTTAATTGAGCAATTAGTGACATTCGAGACCCGTCTCCAAGGATCCCCTCAGACCTTGGCAGGTGGCACCTAGTTAACCCCTTCCTGCCTGCCAAAACTGAAACCAGACGTATCCATGGCAACCCTGTCTCCCTGCCTAGCACCTGACACAGTGAAAGAGCCAAATGTCAGTTTCAAGTATCCAATTACGTGAATTCCTCAAGAATGCGTTCATTGCTGGGTAAAGTTGATTACCAGAATATGCGACACTTGAAAGGCGGTGATATTTTTGGAAGTGGGGTGAAATATGAGACTTAACGAATCGATATTTAGAATTGTAATAGTGATTGAGACATGGTTACTTTCAGGGGATGGGGGGAGGGATTCTTTGCCCTCTTGTATAATACCAACCCCTGTACATTCAAAAACAACTTTAAAGTATATACTCTTATGGAAATCTTACATCATAGTTATGTAACATTATGATATCATGTTGTTGTGATGAACTAGTATGCGAGCCTTCATCCTTTTGTATGATTCAAGTGTCACCAAACTTTATTTGCTAAGGAAATTAATGTAACCGTACTATCATTACACGTATAATGTGTTCTATAGTCTAAATACATAATGTCAATCACCTTTTATATGCACCATATACATAATATTTCTATCTTCTATCATGAAGAAACATGCCCTGGCCTGCCCACGGCTCATCAGTCCTCCCAAATAAGGTGTCAATATTGTTTTTCACCAGGCCGTCCATCATTCGAAGCTGGCTCTGGAAGCAGAAGATGTCCAGAGCAGAGCAGAAGCCAGCCTCATTCTTGCCGTGGTGCTGAAAGATTTGGGCCAACTTGATAAGGCCGAGGATGTACGTAATACAAATGTCATGAAAAAGAACTGTCCTGGGTGTGTGTATAATATAGGTGACTTGTTCGCTTTGCCTTTGCCTTGCTACCTCATACTTCAAACATGACATACATACACACCCAGGCAGCTCTTTTCCCCTTGGAAAAGAGAGTTGTCCTTCCTTGCCTTTAGCTTGGGACTTCGTTAATGACACACTTATACAGTGGAACTTCTTATACTAGACGCTCTGAATAAAGTAACTTCTCTTTGTTTTAATCCAACATTAACTCTCCTGAATTAAAGAACAGTCCTCTATAAATGAATTTGTGTGTTTTTTACAAGTTTTTATAGGAGCACTGAGCATTGTTTTACTGTATGTAGATCAATTTCTCAGTACTTGTGAATACTGAGCTTTGTAGGCATGGCATCGTTGTGTTGTTCCCTGTGCCATAGCCATACAATGCACTACGTATTTTCTTAGTTAGTGTTTTGAGGAGTATGTCATCGGTACCGTAGTAAGGAGTTGTTGGGGGCGTGCATAAATATCTCATACCTCGGGGCATGATTTAAGGACATCCACATGGCTTAATTGTTGGATACATACATTGCTTAAGCAGGCCATACACGTGGCAACTTTGTTGCTTCAACAAAAGTTGCAGAAACCTCCAAAGTATTGATACGATGGGCCAAGGCAACTAGTTTAGATGGCTTTTCTATTTCTGGCAACTAGTTGCCTGGGCCCACCATAATTATCAATACTTTGGAAGTTGCTGCAACTTTTGTTTAAGCAACAAAGTTGCCGGGTATACGGCCTGCTTTAGGAATAGTTCACGTGCAGTTGAACTTGGCTGGAGTTCAGCCAAACCAGGGACCCATGGATGCATAGGTTTGGCCCCATGAAAGAACAAGTAACACATTAAAAACCGGTCGCTAGCTAACCCAATGTAATTGTTGCATTCCTTATTTATTTACATACATGCACTCACACGATGCACCGCTAGGGATGGTGCTACTGGTCAATTTGATTCTGTCACCATCACTTGTTTATCCTGCCATAGTCGGTCCGCATACCAGCAGACATGGTTTCCAATCCATTTAAACCATAAACGAATCCCTGCTACCAGTTTAGAGTATCCATTCTGAGTGTGGCTTGCAAAGTGCCTGTGGCGTATTGCGATACGTAGGTATTTCATGGGCATTTACATGGCATATTGGTACTAGCTGCGTAGGGTTACAATTTGTTGGCACAGTTTGCCAACAGATGTCTGCAAAGCAACTCTGGCTTATTGTCTGTGTTTTGTCTCGGCTGTGGATTAGAGATATGAACCCCCATTGAGGCCTCCAGCCGTGTGTGTAGTGGTAGGCGTCTACTGGTCACCTGGACCAGAGACTGGTATCTTAGTGTCACTGCTTCACACTCCACGTCAACTTATACACCGACCCACCGCCGTTTTGCAGCCCTGTATATTTCCATTGAGGTAGCTCAATAAACCTCTATGTCGGGGTCTATTGGGGGAAACAGAGAAGTTCAATGGGGCAACAATAATGTATTTTCCGTTTCAGAGCTACCGTCAGGCGATTGCCCTCTCTCCTAATATGCTGAATGCCCACATGAACCTCGGAGCTCTCTTGCACATTAGGGTAAGTGCACAGTTGCATATTTGTCCAGTCGGTGTGGCATGCAGACAGGTCACAGACGAGCGTATAAGAATGAGTTCACCTTTCAGCAACAAATGACATAAGGATTGCTGTTCCTACAATATCCCAAATGTCGCAAACCGCGAGAGAAAACCTTTGGCGGAAGACGAATCAACCGCGTAATTCACAAACGCAAGGATACATTTTACTGAACAGCATGCCTGACATGTACGTACGTACATATATCAATGACTGATGAAAGAACATCATATTGTATAATAATTATTACAGTGGTGCACGCACCCCAAAGAACGACAAAAATCTGTTAGCCACATGAATTAGACCCCTATATATATACAGTATACTCTGGAGAATTGAATGTAGGAGTTACTAACAAAGAACACCTAGCCCCCTAGCCAATACTCAGGAGACCACCTTCATAGATTACTTTAACGTCCCTGCACATGCCACCTGAAATGGTGGTAAGATCAGAAGTGAGCATGTACAGCACATTCGTGTTTTGTCTAGGCTCTCTACGGAGTGAGCTACTGAGGTCTGTTGTAATGACCTCCAGTGGACGTGTAACACGATACCTGTACGTCTCTTCCACTTAAAAGAGCTTGCATCAAGGGATAGAGTGGTTAGTGTTATATCCAGTTGTCATTAGCATAGCAATAGCTATACAACCTTTATGTAGTGACACATAACCTTGACCAATCAACTGGTTGTTTGTGTGTTCTGCTATCACCAAACCATTGTGCACGACAGCGCTTGCGCTGTATGGAATGCCCAGTTCAACATTGGTAAACCGTTTGTATATTATTTCAGCAAATGTGAGCTGTTTATTTTACATTCGCCAACCACATTCATACCTTGATGCAAGCCTTTGTTGGAGAAATAGAATAATAGTGCAGGCTAAGCCGTACAGCTGTAAATAGACCACAATGTGTTCATGCAACACCCTTATCCAGTTGGCTACTTTGCTTCCACTCCCTATATGCATTGAAGTTCACTGCAATAAAATAATTTCCTTCTTGTTATACAGTGGATGTGTGGGTAGCTATAGGTGAGCTAGCTGTATGTTTTGCCTTCTTTGCAGAAGAAGTATGCTGAAGCCAGAGTGTACTACGAGAAGGCACTGTCTCTGCACCCTGGAAACAGATTGGTGACTGAAAACCTGGCCAAGTTGAACAGAGTTCATAAGCAAGGCTCATCTGCTTTATAACTTCATCGTCACTAATAGAGCGCGCGCGTGTGCGAGCGTGGGGCGGGCGGGGTCGTCGCGTGTCGCGCGTCGCGCATGCGCGGACTGCGTGTGAAAGCGTAGGTATTTTTACTCGCCGAGCGAGCACTGGCGTAGTCAAGCAGAGTGACGGAGAAATGCAGTTGTGCATGGTGTTAGTAGCGTGTGGCTGGACAGTAGTGCTAGTAGGGTCCGTCCACCTGCAAAATCGGCAGTCGACTACTGATGATCATGCAGAGAAGAGAGCTGCTAACGGAGACTCTGGAAGTAATGCAACCTGCATATCATTTAGTACAATAGCTTTATATATACCTTAGGGAGCATAATTTACTTGGATGATGAGAAAGTTCTATAATGCTCTAGTGGAGTGAGGAGGACTTGCTATTTGTACTATTGTTGTCACACAAAGTTTGATGCCACACTATGAATGGTCTTGTGCAGATGAGGTGATATCGGGAAATACAAGCAGCGTCCTTTTCCCTAGCAGAACCTGCATCTACCATGAGTCAACCAAGAGTACAAAACCTCCGTATACACTAGGTACGTGTTGTAAAATAATGCGAAACTTGAAAATTTCCCCGACAATAATGTTCTACACCCCTTGATGGAAACACTCACAAATAGAATACGAGTGCTGTACTTGAGACTCTGCGAGTACATCATGCAGTATTGATCTTACACAAGAGCTCTTGTTTCGGTTAATTTCTTCCTGCTTTAGCCATGAAGGGCATACAAATGAGAGTCCTTTCCTTTTACGGTATGCTCTCTATAGGGCCACTTGGTTATAGAGTACCTCATTTACTTTGAGCATAATTATTCTGTGATCAGATTTCTATTGAGAGTTAACTAGCCCAATGATAAACTGCAGCTGTATTTTACAGGTAGAAGTGGGTTGGCTTAAGCACTCAATGATTATAAAGTCGAGTGAGTGCTAACAAAATTTATAATTTGTAGTTTGAAAAATCAGTGATGATTTATCTCTTACTTCATGGACAGCTGGATGTGGGGAGAAAATGGGATGGAATAACGATAGGAAGGGAGTATCTAATTGATGGCTGACCAATGTGTAGTGTGTGAAACTCTATCTATTGTGAAGCCCAATGATGGGGGAAATTGTTGAACGAGTTTTGAATTGGACACTATTTTCATTAATGTCCTATCCAGGATGCAACTTAGCACTGAGCTACAATCTCAGACAAAAAACCACTGTAGCTATGCCACTACACGTGGCCATTCTAGAAACCTCATAGCCCGCTTGCTAGCTATCATGTGATGTTGAAACCAAGGTTACATCTGGAATGGCTGCAATTGTACATAGGGCTAAATTTTAAAGCCCTGTAAGAGAAGTAATTTCCCGTTTTAGTAACAATTAGCCCTTATATACTGCACATTCCTTTAATAATGCAAAGCCCTTTTCTAAACTTTATATAGGTAGGTATGAAACCGGTGGTCAGTAATAAAGAATTAATCTTTGGATGTGCAGCAATCATGTTAGCCTGCTTCTTGTCCTTGTTTTCACAACCTGTGCAGTGTTGTCAAACAAGCCAATAGGTGAAGAGGGTTGTTAGTGGGCTCTATTGTAGCGTACAGTCTGGGGCATACAGTGAGCGAGTGTGCCCTGTGTTGGCACTCTGTCCCTCTCAAAAACTCTAACAACACATCTGCATTAATAACCCTGTTTGCCACACCACTGACTGCCGTATAGAGATTCATTCTATGACTTAAGTTTATGAGCCCACAATAGTCTTCCACTGATTGACCACGTGCAGTCTGACACAATAGGAAATACATGACCTGAGGCTATTTGTTGTTGTTTACAAACATGTATTGTGATGCTGTTACATCATCTCGTGACTTGTAATGGTTTCGGAATCCGCGCTCTTTACGGGGCAGGACACTATAACCAGAAGAAAGAAAGATGTGTGTAGCATTGGCTTGTTCTGTTGCCACTTTACACACCCAGTGTTCAGAGACAAAGGACACGCTGTGGGCCGTTGGAGGGGGTTTGTTCGTGGAAGTGGTGCACTTGTTGCCCTTCAAAAGTCGTGTTTCTCTGTAAATTGACCAAACAGCTAGCTAACTGGGTTTTCTGGCTTGTGGGTGTGCATGGTTTGCTTCCTCGGGGATTAGCTATATGAGGAAGAGAAAGATGAGGGTCACCCCTTTCTTTTAGCCCTCTCCTCCTCTATCCCTCCTCCCTTCTTTACAGAAGTGTAACTATCAAAATGCATGAATAGTATGGCCTTTGGAACAGAATATAGGCAGAATAGTCAGTCAATCAATTTATTCCTAAGTACAACCCTGGGGGTCCTCCATTGGATTAAGTTCTTCCTTTGGATACCCAAACGCCCACCCCCTGCATTTCCCTATTCGCAAGTATCTCACTCTTTGCCAACTTTGCCAAGATATTCTTCAGAGGGATGTAACTATAGTCAAGTAGCAAATGATGAACTATAGCTGCAATGAACAGCATCCTCTGTGGTATGGTGGCAAGTATATATTGTCAAAGGGGAAAGGATTTACAATCTGTTGATTTGTAATAGGAATTTGTCATGGTCACTGGAGATGCTCTGAAAATCATTATTGCATGCCAGTTTATTATGTTGCCCATATACCACACTGCAAGTATGTTATTTTCGAATACAAGTACATCTAAAATAGACATACGCAATACCTCTACTTCCTGTCTACAAAATCTCTCTCCTTTCTAAAGGTAGTGGTGACAATTGTTTGTTTACACAATGAGTGATTAGTATATAGAGAACACAAAGAACAGTCCAACATGAACCAATTTCTTAGTAAGGCACAACAGCTAAATTCTATGCAGATCTATTGTATAAAGCCCCTGGATCCGTAGCTTAATAGGGTTCTGTGGAAAACTGAGTTAGTAGCGTTTGGCAGTGAAGTTAATTGTAGCTGCCTTATTCAGTTCAGGTGCTTCTTCAGCACAATAGCCAGTGGAATGCCAGCGCAATAGCCAGTGGAATGCCATAGCCACGTAATTACATTGGGAAAAGATAAAAGTTACCCAGGAAGTTTGTTGGCCTGTCCTTCTAGCCCGGGGAGTGCAACAGTTCGTTGGGGAATTCCTGTATAACACAACCATGATTGGTCTCCATCAAAGACAGCTCCTAAACCAAGGAAACTCACGCCCTTGCATAACTGGATTTCCCTCCCACATGTACACTTTCTCTGTCACTTTCATGTGACTATCAGCAAACGATTCGTGTGGAGATTTCACATATGGACCGGTAGACTGTGCCAAAATATCCCCGAGTATTGTATAGAGTAGGCAGAGGCACTGTGATTACATCATAGTTGAAAGCATGCATGTTGACGTGTGACAGTTGGCAGGTTCTGTTCGAAAGGACAGAGTTGGGGTTTGCCTTTGCCTAGAGTGTAATGTACTGTATTGCAGACTTTGAGCCCTGTCTGCTGGTAGTTCCGTGGTAGAGCAAACCTCTCTATCAAGAATAGTTTGTTCAGGTCCCGTCCAGTGCAGCTCTAGTTGTTGCTGTGAATTGTTTGACATGCGCTTGCACACAATATTCACAAACAACTTTCTCCTAAAATAATAGACACATGCAGTATAATTATGTATCTGGGGAGCTATAGATCTGTATATAATATATAGGTGTCTAGGTGTCATTAGTAATACCAATCTTTAATTAAGCAGTAGACCATTTTGTAAACACTTCACCGGTTTGTAGAGTGCACATTTACCCCATCTGTTAACTACCCTGCCTGCCTGAACACACTACAACCAATAGCGATGCTCATTGTTTCAGATACTCTGATGAGAGTCCACGACGCCACATACGGTCGCCTCCAACTCAACCACACCTCTCGTCCCCACGCCATCTGGAGACTCATCTGTGCCCGCGATCCAGAGACACGAGAGCGGGGCACGCCGAGCATCGTCCTCATGAAGATGAACACGACCATCGGAGACTACATCCAGATCAAGTCAAAGAGACTCCAGGGCTGCTCGTACACATACAGAGGCTTTGTGTTCAGTAAGAAATCCATTCTCATTGGATATGTCCCAAGTCCACATACGGAGGGAGGCGAGCTAGAGCTGGGATATATCTGCATCAGTAAGTCATACAGACTCTTTAACCTACCGCCCCGGTTCTCAAGGCTGGGCACCCAGGGTCCTGCCTCTTTCTTTCTTGGGTGGGGGAGGTTCTTTCTTTTCCTCTGAGCTAGTATGCTATAAACATGTTTTTTCATACATAATATGTCACTTTGTGCACAGTTGAACCCTTATCTAAGGACACCGCTTAAATGACGACACCTCTCCAATTTCTATCCCAAGAGCAGTTCTTTAATAGGGCATCAATGATATAGTAGACAGCTTGTTCTATCCCGTTAGGGGTCCAGATTAGAGGGGTTCCACTGTAATGCTCAAAAGGCAGTCGATTCGAATACGGGATAAAGTGACGCCTGCATAATAATATTATAACTTCAGGGTAAACGGGCATGAAGTGTGTCCTAGAGCCTCTAATGTATATAATTATGCCTCTGTTAGAGAAATAGTGTGGAATGTACAATCCCATGCTACGCTTCTGCCCGTTATCCACGTGTTTTTTGTGCTCTGATATTTGGCATACTACACCAGCTTGTACGTAAACACTTGCCAACCCTTGATCAGGAGAGCGCTCAAATTTGTGCAAATTTAATCCACTTAACCCCCAACTCCCACATAAAACGCCAGGAACTGTTATAAGAACAGTATATATACACTGACTGCTACATAGCTATACTGCGGCAGGCCGCAAACTCCGTAAATAAACAACTGCATACAGTTGTGGGGTGATGCAAGAGGGTGTGTCACCAAACAAAAATTTTGCTAATGTTGGTGCAAGATCAATTAATAAAATTCCGGCTTCTGTATGATATATATGTATACACGGTGGCCGGTGTACACATGCACCATAATTCCTGGTAACTAGCTACAGGTCACATCTACTGCCAACATTTGGCTGCATCAGGTAGCAAATATTGTCTCCAGGTTTTTGCTACTATAATATGTGCACTTCAAGGCTCATCAATAAAGGAGAGGATAGAACGAAAACTTTCAAGAGGTCTCCTTTATAAGTCAAGTGCCCTTTAGTGTCTGAATTATAGCTAAGAGGTGCCACAATGTTCTTATGTTATTGGCAATTCAGTGCATATAGCTAAATTCCATCAACTATACACTGCTCTCTTACAGAGAGAAGTATGACAACATTAGCTACCAGTCTCTTCAACAGACGGCCAATGGAGCACATTCAGGTGAACCAAACTAGCATTACTCTTACAAACTCCATCTTCACAAACATTACTCCTGAGATGCAATAACACAGATGAGTGAAGGGTAAGAAGTCTTCACCCTCTAGAAAATTGATGATGAGTAGGAGTTACCAACCTGAGCATACATTGCCTTTACTATAATATACCTGTAACCAAAGCATAGCTAACGTGCATATATTACTCTTACAAACTCCATCTTCACAAACATTACTCCCAAGATGCATTTTATTTGCAATAACACAGATGAGTGAAGGGTAAGAAGTCTTCACCCTCTAGAAAATTGATGATTAGTAGGAGTTACCAACCTGAGCACACATCAAACACTATCTGTAACCAGGGGGTGTGGGTGACTTGTTTTACCATCGGCGCGCATGCGCATCGAGGGTACTGTAGTCTGTCTGTCTGTCGTGTGTCTGTCTCACTTCTCGGGTGTCTGTTCGTCCCAGAAACGATACCATCTACCCAACGGGCGACGAGGGTCAGAAATTATGTGGGGTTTTCTCTGAAAATGATCCGTTGCAGAGCTAGAGCGCTTCCAGCATTGTATGGCTAATGCCGGTAGTCGCCATTTTATCGCTGGCGGATAATGCGCATGCGCTTATATTTAGCACAGGCACGACTCTCGCGTGCTATCTACTACTGTAGCTATCCCGTGTCAGACTCTCTGCGAGCTACTTCGCCGAGGGTTTGCACTTTAGTGCTTTCATTTACACTGTTCCCGAAGTAATGGTGGAGGTCTGATGGATAAGCACCCCCTCTCTTGATCGTGAGATCCTGGTTCGATCCCGGGGGGTGTGCGCCTTTTTTACAATGATGTAATAGGAGTGTTGGCTGTTGGTATATATAACTGGAACGTTTTTTCATCACCTCTCAAGGCCAGCCCGAGTGGCTAGGTGGTTAGAGTCGTGGGGACTGACACCATAGGTGCCCGGTTCGAATCCTCGATCCCGCACTAAAGTGTCAGGTGGTCCAGAGCATTGGCTGGGAACAGCTCTGGTTCCTCCCCTTACCCACAAATCTACCACTGACCCACGTTTCTCAAAGGGCAGCGTATAGTTCGGCATTGCACTGCGTCCGTAGACGTCTGTCTGGAGAGATGAAGGCTGGCCGTTTTTTTAAATTTTTTTCAACCTTAGGTTTGCAATCCACAGGTAATACGAAAATTAATAGAGAGATGAAAGGTTGGCAATTTTTCAACCTTATATTTTTTGGGCCTCAAACAGAAATGGGGCTGGCCATTTTTTCATGGAAATAGTGCATAACATGCTGTTCTTTTTGATGCATGGTCAAAACCATCAATTGTGGTGGTGCCACACTGTTGTGTATGGGTTCCACAGTGTGCCGAGGGTTTGCACTTTAGTGCTTTTCATTTCTATGTAACTCCTGACGTGCCATAACATTCACTTAGCAACTTGAATGAGTCTCTTTTAGTAAAACTGCACCGATCAGGACACTCCAGAACAATAGGCTTCTTCAACACTGAGGAAATCGAGGTCCCAAATATCGCTATTATTGAGAGGACAACTCCCCTATATAAAGGATAATTAAATGGCTGGTACCAAATTTCGAGGTTCCGCTGTATTCACTGTGCTCCTTTACGCATCCCCCAGAATGAAGACATGTTTGACAGAGTGGCAGGCCTCCTGAGAGAGGGGGAGGAGGGGCTGCTGACCATCGGGGCCACTGACCCTGAGCTACGCCGCGTCATCGACCTGGCCTCAGTCTCACCACGTCGAGAACAGTCCGGGTCAGGGGGAAACAGCGCGGCCGATTACGACTAACACCTTAATCCTCTCTTCCATCATATTTCTCCCTATATTTTTGTATTGTCGCACAACGTGCCTTTGTCATTTTGATATCATTACACGAAAAAACAGCAATATTATTATATGCTCTTTCACAAGAAATCACAATCAACAACAAGATTATAAAACACAATTATGTTTGGCTTTTGTTATAAACACCTTTTCACGACCAAATGAGTATGAACATTTCAAGACATCGGTTCCCTGTGTATATCAATGGCAGAAGACAGGCAGAAAGACATGGAGAGAAAGAGGAGGGAGGGAAGGGGAAGAGAGAAATGGGGAGAGACGAAGTAGAGATAGGGAAAGGAAGAGAGAAAGGAGTGAGGTTTTCAAGTCCAAAATCAAAGCTATAATAGGGGAAGACTGGAGGGTGTGGCATTCAGACTGAGATTTGGAACGTGTACCAATCTTCAGCCTGCCTTCTCGTAGAAGACAGTCAAAGCGAGCTGGGGTTATAATGGTCATCACTACACCACAAAGACACACAGGGAGCTGACAAGTGGTTTTCCACCAGCTTATACTTACAGTTTGCCTAACTGCCGTACTACTCACCAGTACAGTACCAGTGCCATCGTCATCACAAGTGCACCCAGATCCTGTAAATAATGTATTTACACACACAAGGCACCATCAGAAAGTTCCCTGTGTATATCAATGGCAGAAGACAGACATGGAGAGAAAGAGGAGGGAGGGAAGGGGAAGAGAGAAATGGGGAGAGACGAAAGTAGAGATAGGGAAAGGAGGAGAGAAAGGAGTGAGGTTTTCAAGTCCAAAATCAAAGCGAGCAAAGCTATAATAGGGGAAGACTGGAGGGTGTGGCATTCAGACTGAGATTTGGAACGTGTACCAATCTTCAGCCTGCCTTCTCGTAGAAGACAGTCAAAGCGAGCTGGGGTTATAATGGTCATCACTACACCACAAAGACACACAGGGAGCTGACAAGTGTTTCCACCAGCTTATACTTACAGTTTGCCCAACTGCCATACTACTACTCACCAGTACAGTACCAGTGCCATCGTCATCACAAGTGCACCCAGATCCTGTAAATAATGTATTTACACACACTGAAAGAGGGAACACTGTCACAAGGCACCATCAGAAAGTTCCAAGTCACATCACTATACAGTATCTGTATAGTCAGTACAGGTCTGTGGAATCAAACATCACTTGGTGCCTCCACACCGTACAGTAGAGGTAAACTTTCACAATTCAGTAGAATTTCATGGGGAGAACTTGTGCAGATGGCTAATAGAAAATTCTGCCTATATACAAAATTTTGCAGACAGCTATATAATAAACCGAAATTCACTAAAGTTTCCTGCGACACACTCTTACCGCCCACCTTGGAACACAGCTCTTCCACCACTGCCACATCGACTTTTTTGACTTTTCTCACTCAATGCACAAATTCATCCGGTGCTGTTCGAACCAACTTAAACCCCATTTCAGAGATGTCTCCTGCCTGATTAGGGCTGTACATATAAGCATGTGTTCCAAACTGTCTTCTCTGACCTTAGGAAAGGGGGGGGGGGTCATTTAGCTGCTCAGATTATACACCGGTCATGTTTAGATAGTGCAAACAGGAAGTCTGGTATGTCAGTGGTGCTCAGGCAGTGTAGGTATATACAACTTGGGTCAGTGGTCAATGTAGGTAAGACTTGGTCAGTGGTGCTCAGACAATGTAGGTAAGACTTGGGCAGTCACTGCAGCAGGTTCTGCTCCTCCCAAAAAACTCAATGTCATCATTTGCACCAACATACTAGAAACCAAAATCCGGGCTGTAACCATTGCCATTGTGATGGTAAATTGGTCACATTTAGCTGAAAATGTGGCTTTTGGCAGAACATTGTGCATTGAAGGACATGTCTCGTGTGTGGCTCACTCCTTCTAGCAATATAAAGTTGCATAGCTACCTGTCTGCTGCAAACTCTGCTTGGCAGATGTCTACGACTCCAAAGGACCCATCACTTCTCTGCTGCTGTCATCAGTATCCCTGAAAGACTCCACGTGTTAGTGTGAACAGGTGCTCAATATTTAGAAATCAGCAAGAGCACTCTTATTTGCATGCATAAAGCCTATGCACGCTACTTCAAGAGCATAAGTCACACTATTAATTTCGTCAACTTGCAACTGCAAAGTGCAAAAAATGGATGTATGGTGCACGATACCGATAGCGTTGCGGCAGCTATACAGTCGTCAGAGTTACTAAACCACATTGCGGGGACATGTATATGTGAATACCATGCCAAGTTTGACTTGAACTCTGGAAAGTATATACCGAGATCACACCGATGTTTCACATGTTGGCCTCAGTAAATGGTTCATACATCACATGTAAGATCTCAGACCATGCATGTATATAACAGGTCACATCATTGGCCTTGCAGGGATAACTATTATACTCGTTATTTACCATTCAACACAATCACAAACACGTTAATGGTTGGCGTTGGTGTTCTTGCCGGCCCACTCAATGCACAACACACTCTTTTAAGCGTCAATATCACCAAACTTTCGTTTGACGCAGGACTTCCCATCTGATTACCACGACCTATTCCAAGTACGAGATAAACCCAATATGAGTGCAGCAAATACCACATAAAGGGGGCGAGAAATTTTGCAGAGCAGTGTTAGCAGGTGCCCTATACCATATGCTTGGCTATAAGCAACCTCTGTATGGGACATGTAACACATGTATATAGTACATGCGTTCTTCTTCATACACATTTTGCGCATGCGTGGAAAACATGCGACATGTAGCACGTGCATTTTGCGCATACGTACACGTGAACAGAGCGCATGCATGCTGGCCTGCCTATCCTACAGAGCATGCTATTCCACACAGAAAATATACAACCGACGTAGTGAAACCCTTTCAACGCTTGTCCTAGAAATACAACGCCACAAAAAAACGCACACAGGAAGGGGTCTGGGGACAAGACGACGCCAGGCAACCAACGCTCTTGCCTCGCGGCCTCAGCAAATTGGGTAAAACAGCACATGTCAGTAAGACTCAGATATATGCTTGTCATTAGTTAACATCATCGGCCACAAATTTCCACCGCCGAGACCATAAAACAATCGGGACAAAAAACGTTCACGTGGAGAAAGTGGCACAACAGGATCAATTTACGACAGTCAGTCTGCTATATTTACCGGCTGCAGCGTAGCTGATACATCCCCGCATTCTGATTACTGCAGTGCCCTCTCCCCAGCGCAGACCGTCAAGACAAGACTAGTCTCTAGACAGGAAGATACCTCGTGGTTTTTGAACATGCGCACGATTTACGGAGAGTGCGCATGTGCTAACAGCAAGGCGTGGCGAAATATAGTAGTGTGCACTAATTAGAGATATTCTATGAGTTTCATTTTGTACGTCATCGCCAGTTTCACTGTTTTTGGTAAAAGTTAGTAAGCCCCATCTTGTTCGTTGTGTTGATGAGAGCCCTCGAGATCTACTATAGAAGAGAACCTGCACCGATCCGCGAGAGCTGACCCGTTTCGAGGGGCGCTAATTGGAACTGAGGCGCATTCATCCGAGACGCTGGCACGTCGCCAGCAATAAGTGGATAATCACCGGGCCTCAAACCTTCCGTTTGTCGGTGTTTGCGTGAACACCAGCATCCATTACCAACCTGTGTGTTACAAAAACCTGTGTTCTACACGCTGTAGCTATAGCTACACTCAGTTGCAATAGCACTATAGCCTCACTACCATTGGTTCCAAGGAGAGCATTCCAAACCCTCTGGGGTCCAAACAAGAAGGAGGGGCAACCAGGGAAAGCATACCTCACCCTTTCTTCCCTGTCAGCTCAAAACCGGGAGGAGAGGAGAGGGGAATGACGCATTACGACCGAGAACCAGTCTTCAAAACCCACCCCATCACAAGAGACTATGAGATCAACTGGAAAAAGAATCTGGGGTCGGGGGTGAGCGGACCGGTGAGGCTCTGCATACACAGAGAAACGGGCAAGAAGTACGCACTGAAGATTCTTCTGGATCGGCCAAAAGCCCGTAAGGAGGTTTCCCTACATTGGAGATGTAGCAGCAGTCGTTACGTTGTCCGTGCCATCGACGTTTTTGCCAACGAGGTGATCCTCCCCGGAGACAGCGTCGCTAAGAAGAGGATCCTCCTCGTTATGGAGCTAATGGAAGGAGGGGAGCTCTTCGAGTACATCACGAAACGGCGGAATTTCACCGAGCGTGAGGCAAGTCAGATCCTGAACCAAGTGGTACAAGCCGTGCGAGACTGTCACCATCTCAACATTGCTCACAGAGACATCAAACCAGAGAATCTTCTTCTTGAGAAATGCGACGTCAGAGCCGGCGAAAACCCAACCAGCCTAAAAGTGAAGCTCGCCGACTTTGGCTTTGCCAAGATAGACAACGGCGATCTGACAACTCCGCAGTTCACCCCATACTACGTGGCGCCACAGGTTCTCGAAGCTCAAAAACGACAGAAGGAGATTCGCAGCGGTGTGCGCTCGCCGGGAAGCCCCTATTATTACGATCGGAGCTGCGACATGTGGTCTCTCGGCGTCATCCTCTACATCATGCTCTGCGGGTATCCTCCGTTTTACTCCGAGATTCCGTCGCAGAGTCTGTCTCAGCGAATGAAGAGTCGGATTATGTCCGGTTCGTTTGAATTCCCCGACAAAGAGTGGAATAATATCTCAGACAACGCTAAAGACCTGGTCAGGAAGCTTCTCTGCGTCGACGCAACAAAGAGAATCACAATCGATGAGGCAATTCGACATCCCTGGTTGTCGAGTGGATCTTTTCCAACTGCTGACCTCCCGTCCCCAGGGATTATGCTGGACAAGGAGGCCCTCGATCAGGCAAAGGCGTTCCACAGCGAGTTCCTGCAAGGCATGCGACGAGAGGAAGAAGGTTTCTTCCTCAAACCGATCGGAAAGTCGCAGAACAAGCTGCTGTCAAACCGGAAGAAAACGCTCGCCCAAAACAACACCGAGGCAACCGACGGAGCAAGTGCAGTGTCACCAGCGACCACCACACGAGAAGGACTAGACAGTCTTCGAGAGCTGAAAGACCTTTGCGCCATGCCACCCCCTCTCCCTCCCTCCACCTCGGGTGAGAGCTACGCAGACTCCAGCCTCATCGAGGGCGTCAAGAAAGCCCTCATGTACAATGAAGGTCACGAGAGGTTGCAGTCTGCGATCCAGGCCGAGTCTTGGAACGGGACTGAGTTTGTTGCGATGGTGAATAGACAGCGACTGGCTCTCTCACTCCAGGCAGTCATAGACAGCTTTCCCACAGTACTAGTGTCCGAATCCTCGACTAGTTAGCCCCTAGTGTGAATATTATTAGTAACCCAGAGTGCCCAAGTATTTTTGTCCGCGTATAAAAGTAGCGTATGGTACATGGTCACACTCTCGTGAATACTAATTGCGTAAAGTAGGCACGCCTCCTTACGTTAGCAGTGGTATAATACTCTGGTACACACGAAGGGAACTTTAGTATACGCTGTGTGGCGGTGGCTGGAGGACGACTGCTGAGCTTCCGCAGACAAGAGAGGCAGGAGAGAAAAGGCTAACCGCTTGAGTGTGCTGCAGTGGGGCTTATTAGCGGAATGCTCGGACGCAACTGCTGGGCGAGGAAAGTGTAGCGAAGCAGCAGCTGAAACTCGCCTTTTCTGCAGCACCGCCTCGAGGTGAGTGGAGTAGTGTTTGTTTAGCACCCACGTCACTGTGTCCACGGGTCAATAGTGCATGGTTGCAGGATATGGTAGCGGAGCCACGCATATCAGTTCGGCAGCAGAGCCATGCATACCGCAGAGCAGTTCAGCTAGCCCTGCATGCCCCAAACTGATACAACTGCTAGCCTTTCCCTGAGGCGTTCAGCCAATCGACCTCTTGCAGTGGGCCAGACACCTGTTAGAATTCTGGCTTACACGAACCAACGATACTTGAATTCTTGCAAATCTTCACCCCTAGAATGTCCTGGTAGTGGCTTGTATGCCGGTGTGTATCAGCAGTGTTCAGTGTGTCTGAATGTGTGTGTGTTGCAAGATTCATTGAGCTGTTATCATTAGCTAGTTTTTCTGTCTCCTGGGTCATAATGAGCTTTGCTATATATAATAAACCTCAAACGGTTCCGAAGCTAGAATTATGTATTTCCCTCTCTTTCTCTCTGGAATTAAAAAAGCACGCACAATTTGTAAGTGTATTTGTTTGATGCCGTCCATTATTTTAATGCCCCCTGACTAGCAAATTCTGTACACTAAGTGCCTAACACTAATGCCCCTTTTACCTCAATAAAAAACAATACTTGGCCTTTTGGTGTGTACAACATAGCGTGTAATGTGTTTTCTGCCGTGCTTGATGATATGGAGTGAGACACAGATGTACAACAGGCTATTGTCAGTATAGGTCCAGAAGGGCTGGCTGTGAATGGTCTGTTGGAAAACACCTCAGATTTGCTAACATTTCCCCAGCCCTTAACCAGTCATTTCTTCCTTCACCTACTCAATGTACAATAGAGCAATGTTTATCTGAGGTTATCCGGTGATGAAAGCTATCCATTGACTTACATTGTATAATTATATATCTTAGCCTCTACACTACCATTTTTCATCTTCATCTATATACTAGAGTATGTACACACTATATGCCTTGCTACTACTACAGTTATCAGACTACTACATGGAGTAGTAAACTGTATGTATCTATTTCGTGAAATTTAAGGCCATTTGCAAAGGTTTTCTCTTTCCATTGGTCCAAGTAATCTGAGAATGTGTTCTTGTGGATTCTTATTTGCCAACGAAATACACAAGTCCCCCTTTATACGGTACATTACCTGTACGGTATAGAGACATGCATCGTTCATCTGTGAAAAACTATGCTACAAATTCACGTTCCTAAAGTCCTTTTGGGAAAGGTTAGGAGACAAGAGGCCGCCTCTTTTGTCATAATATACATAGAACATCCAACTGTTGGCTGGAGTTCGAGGCCAGTCCAATGCAACAGGATTAGTTACAGCTGCAACTTGCACCAGCACAACCTAGTTTTGGAGCAATAACTGCCAGTGATCTCGTTAACCCTAACATCTTTGCTTCATTTCACACCCTTAATCACTTAATACCTTTAATCTCATAATAGTACCACTGCAGGTGTAAACAATAGACCATGTGATGCCAAGAGAAAAAAAAGATGGGAGCTAGCTCTGGACAGCTGTTTCGAGCTTGTTAGCCCTCATCAGCAAAGCATACCGCAACTTCTCTCTCTGGCGTCACGAGTTTATAAAGGCAGAGTTGAGCGCAGCACTTGTGGTTTTGAACTAATGAGATTCATCCCCACATGTACATATATAGTAGTACATGGATTTGTACTAAAGCTACACTACACGATTGCTCTGCTAAGTTGATATACACGTAGTTAAATTTATGGAGAAAGATATGTAGCTTTGTAACGATTTTAGTAGCATTGTAGTACCAGGGATCCATTAATAGCGGTAATACATTCTGAGGCTGCCATTTTCTGCTGGAGAATTCTTGGAATGTTAACGAGTGAGTAAAGCGTGCCCCTTTGCTACTCTGTGGTCAATACTAGTGGGCCAGTTATGCCAGAGAGATATGTCAGTAATGTGTCTGTATTTTCCATGGGAGTTCACGAAGCGTGACCCCCAAATCACTTGGCACCTTACCATAACAATGTTTCTCTGTACACATGTATGTGTATGTCGATTTCCTAGCGTGTGTACACATTAATAGTTGTTTATTACTGCTCTTTGAAAGGTCAGGGACATAATCTTAGTATGTTGTTGTACACTATGATGTGTTTGGCAGGCATTGACAAACGAATATGAGGCAAATAAAATTTCCTTGGAGCAAACATACCCGCTATACATTGTTTATTTGCATGAACTTCACTCTTGTTTATATGCTGCGTCCTGATGCTACCACGGTGGCTAAAACACACATAATGTTCATAGTATGGTTTTACCTGATCAAACCAACTGCTTTGTGTGTACACATGCATCAGTTGACTGTTTTGGAATCGACAGAAATTTACCCACCTTACCGGGACAAACGACGTCCGGTTTCTCCTTTTCCTAGCACAAAGCAGTGGTGTCCGCGTCATGTTTCAGCAGTAGGTGAGTGAGCTAGAGAGCCGTGAGGTGGCTAGCTGTCTTTAGAAAGACTAGGAATTGGCTGTTGGCTGCGATGCGATACACTTGTTGTCTGGGGCACCTGGCCTCTCTCCGACACACTGACACATTGACTTTATAACACCATGTCCACTCACAGCAGTCTTATTGACAGTGGTTCTGATAGACTGGAACCACACCTCTTTACAAAGGGCATCTTTTCTCTCCCAGAAACAACTCTCGCATTTTAGCTCTTATGGGAATGCGGCGGTGTACATTTAGAAAACTGTTACTAAAAACTTAATTGTATTCTTGCACTATTGTTTTAGCTCTCTACTTGTGTATGTACTTCCACATTCCCTTTAAGGTTTACAGTGGAACCTCCGAACAAGGGACACTATGGGGCCAATGATTTTGTCCCTTGTAGAGAGGTCGTCCCTATCTCGGAGGTCAAATAATGCACTAAAGTATAGCATGGGGTTGAAACAAGTGTCCTTTGTAGAGAGGTTGTCCCTATCTCGGAGGGTCCCTTATCGGAGGTTCCACTGTACTCTTTCCCCTCCTTGACTGGTTGTGACTACACAGACTGAGTAGAGCTGACTACGACACACTAACTAGCTAGTCTGCTCCCACACCTCCTTCCCTTCTCCCTCCCTCCCCACGCAGTACCATATTCTAATAGAATGTTGGCAGCATCTAGTCCCCAGCATACCTCACATAGGGTGCCATAGAAAGACATATACGACTTGTGTGGTGACCACCCAAAACTCCACGTCATAATATACAACCAGTCATGTGTCTTCAAAAATTCTATTAGGTTCTCTCTCCTCCATGTGTACATGTGTAGACATCAAAGGAACTGGGGGACGAAGAGTGGGAGGAAACATAATCAGCTTGGAAGAAAGAGGCAGACAGGGCCTCACTTTATGTTCGTGCATATAATATAGCTGTCTATATGTACACATAATGATACATGAGTTGGTTGTTGGTATATCACGTATAATACATTTGCTACGTGCCATAAGTAATGGTTGTGTTATGTACATGTGTGTATGGAGCAGTGTTTGGTGCATTAGATGGAACAGTATATCTTTTGAATAAGCGATAGCCTCTCACGTGTTGACGACACTCAGGCAAGTACATGTATGCAGTCTATGTGTGTTCCCGCGGTTGCGTCCGAGTCAGATAGCGCAGTTATTGCAAAATAACGCCCCGGCCTACAAAGTTTTGCATATATAGAAAACGTTCGTGGACGGCTAATAAACTGTGAAATAAACAAATGTTGTATCACTTTAAATATTCCGGTACTCAGTAGCATATAGATACATGTAGTACATATATTTGCCTAAACACAGAATGTGCCGTATGCCCTATTAATGAATCATGTCTGATAGAAGGGTCTGTACATACAATATGTACTGAAGATACAAGAATAGGCAGGGGATATCTATTTAGATTGTAAGAGCTATTTTTAGCAGCAAGGCACTAGTTCATGAGGTCACAGACTTACTCAAGTGGCACTAATAGTGGACTAATTTGTGGCTGATTGCCTGCATGGAATTCCAGGAATGTGAAGTGGAGAATGCAGTGGGCACTGGCAGCTGGGTGGGTGTCCAAAATGTCTCATATTGACAGAGAGAATCCCCATTAATTCTTGTGAATGCAAACATTTTGAGCGATAATTTTGGTGAATGGCTCGACATTTTTATCTCTTCTTCATTGCAGGCCGCCTTAGCAACTGTGGAAAATTCATACTTGCTTGATGTGCACCTAGTCATTTGTGCATATGTTCATAATCTAGAATTGGTGGTTTAAAAGGGAATAATGTCAGTATGTACATACGGAAAGGTAGAAATGTTACTAAAGATAGAACTAAACAATAGGGCCCAGTGCAAGAATGCAATTAAGTTTCCATTTTCAGTAACAGTTTCTAAATTTAGCACTTACATGTACATACTGCCACGTCTCCATGCACTGAGTCCGGGGTTTGCCTTTACATACTGCCACGTCCCATGCACTGAGTCCGGGGTTTGCCTTTACATACTGCCACGTCCCCATGCACTGAGTCCGGGGTTTGCCTTTACATACTGCCACGTCCCCATGCACTGAGTCCGGGGTTTGCCTTTACATACTGCCACGTCCCCATGCACTGAGTCCGGGGTTTGCCTTTGCCTTGTGTTGTGAAGTAGGTGACTTTGAGCCCACCCTGCCGGAAAGTGGAGCGTTGTGGGTTAAGGGCTGTTGCGGGTCATTGCTATTCACTTAGTATCTACATGGATTTCAGTGGTGGATCTAGGCTTGTTCGTTGAGTTCGAACGAACCACCCTTTTTGCCGGCCGGTGCATATCGCCCCCCTCCTCTGCCCACACGTATATATACGCATCGGCCGTGCAAGCATCGACGGCGCCTTTGTGCACAGTGTATCGTGTTCCCTTACTGAGTGTCGTGGATGCGTGAATGCGTTTGAGTGATGGCAAAAGGCACTGGACTTCGTGACTGCGTGCGCTGAGCTATAGGGGTGTGACTTCCCAGCATGCCGACTCAACTACCCTTTGCTATTTTCTGCATCCGCCCCTATTTACACCCGGGATTCTTGTACACCTACATTTATTACAGACACTAGGCAAGTGTACATATCTACATACAGTAAGGTGAGTGTGTACTCATGCTCCATTGGATTATATAAAAATGCAAAACGGAATGCTGTAATGAAATACAACACCGAATGGAATGGAAAAGGCCACACATTATTACATCACATCTATAATAGGTTGTAAATTCGATATGCAATGGAGCAGGTGCTTGTAATCAGTTAAACCCCGCAGGTCGTGCCCTTTAATTGGAGGTCCTAATGTGTAAATGTAATGCATAGCGCATAATATGTGGTCCATAGTTGCTTGTAACTGTTCACTAACTAACACAGCAGTCCTACGTACATATGTGTGTATGGATAAAACAGTATTGTCTTCATTTGTACTAATCTTCGTACGATGTTGATGTGGAGTACACTGCAGTGCCTAGTATATATGGCTATCTCAACCACACCTTCAATTCCATTATTAAGTGCACGGCACTACTACATTATTCACAGACAGATTAAAGTCTCAATCCATGACAATTACGCGAACCACAGAAAAAGAACTTCAGTTTTGTGATCCTAGTGACAACGCTACCTACCTACGAAACTTCAAAACTGCCAATATGTAGGTGAATATATTTCCTCAAATATTTGGCACAGGGTATGTAATGCTTGCATGCATACTCATTTTTGCTCATGTGGGGCCCAATGTGGTATTGTGTCAAGACTCCACAAGGCTAGTCGTGCCTAGTTACATAGGTGTGTGTGAAGGCACTGCGATGCACTGTCAGGTAGTCAGGTAGTGTGACCAGTGTTTGAGGGTGGCTGAATGAGTGGGAGGAAAGACTATGGAATATTGTGTCAGGAATGGGATTAATTTACCAGATATGTACAGCTGTACGAAATATACTGACTGTTCTGCGGTGTATATATGTATATACGCACAAGGATCATGCATACATATGCACAGTCATGTACATATATACACTATAGCTTGTATTATACATACCTGCGAGACCTATGTATAGCCAATGGTTAATGTGTACGTAGTTAGTAAACGAGATATGATGAGAGAGAGTTAGAGGACACGCCATGTGGTGACATGGAATACTGTTGAGCTGTTGTCCGGGGAATTATCTGATATGATCTCCCCTGAGGGCCTCCTAGACCAAACTTTAACCCTCTTCCTTTGCATCGCCTGTAGACTAATGCTGGAGCCAATAATGCGGGGTTTGCATATCACTCATCATCAGAACAACGGCTTTAACATTTTTAAACCATCAAATACTCAGGTAGATGTACTGAAAACCGAATTTTCCAGATTTTTTTGCCCATTTCAGTTACCTTTAAGGGTTGTCCTGTGTGTTGTTATTGCTTTAACACCCGTGATTTGAGCAACATTAAAAGGTCGTAGGCTAATGTGTAAGCCAGTGATGCATGCAACACACAGCAAAGCACGAATCGTCCATTAACAACAGGTTTACTCTAGCACTGTGCACGACTCGGTTAGTCGAGATGTAAATTTACATGATGTATGTGCATACTTTACTATGCAGTAAGAGTGGCTAGACTAGAGGTGCACGGCCATTTAGTACACGTGTTGTGTAATGCATGGCAGTTTATTTCTAGTGACTTCTAAAGCACTTACCTTTTGTTTCCTAGTGTACCTCACAATATTCTATAGTGGCTATGGTAATTTGTCTGAATTACAGGAGATCGAGGATAATGCCAGAGTTTAGGTTCCGTCGTAAGAAGAAGAAACAGCAGTCGTCACGGCGACACACGGTCCACGATGCAGAGAAGGCTCAGGCCCAGGTGGCAGCTGCTAGGGAGATGGTCAACAGGGGAGAGGTGAGGGAGGGAGGGAGGGAGGGAGGGAGGATAGGAGAATAAAGAGGGGGGGAGGGACAGTGAAATGGAAGGGAGGGAGCACCAAACACCATAATTCTGTTGAAAGCTACATGCACCTGTGCCAGCTGTTATGTGCTTATATTAGTGTGTGAGTACAGTAGCCTACATTGTGTTTTCAGTATATATTATGTATGTATGTACCATCCAACCTCCATGGGGAGATTCACTAGACGTTTCTTTGTTGGGGCAAACATTCTTGAGGATTGCAAGAATAAATGTTTAGTTATAGCATTTGGATAAACGTGTGCATGAGAAATTTAGGCAAATTTGTTTTCTGACACATGACAGATATTTAATAATTGCTGAATCCACTCTCTGTGCAGTGCAGCCGCAGCCACTAATGTTAGTACTCGTTCGCCCTCGATCGGCGACCCTAACGACATTCCAGAGCCGGTTCCCATGGCAGCAATGACAGACGGAGGTCACATCGTTAGCACTGGTACGCTGGCGAGAGAGAGAGAGAAATTCTTCGACCTTCTGCGGAGCAAGTACCCTGAACACGACAGGGGGGATTGAGGAATTTCTATCAACTGATGACACCGCGCTGGATAAGGTGTGTAATTGTATATGTATTATACTGTGATTCATTCTCCATTGACTAGCATCACAAGTTAATTTTCACAACTGCCTACTAACCTATAGAAATTTATGAAATTTGCGTCAGGCAAAAAATCAGCACATAAAGAAAAGATCTTTATTACCCCTGTATACATATGCATAATGAAAGAGGTTTTCTGTTCAAATCTTAGCAATCACGCTAAAACAAACACAGAGTCAATGTGGTATGCAGTAGGCTAAAGTTACTTGCCTGCAAGTCCGGATTATGCAACAACGCACAATGAGTTTATTTTTATCAAAGGTCCTGCTCATGAAAACCATGACGTTGATGTTACCATCAATTCGTGGTACGGCGCATGCGTTGGCTTACGCGTGCGCGTCACAATGCGCCGAGGGTTTGCACTACAGTGCTTTTCATTATCAAAGGTCCTGCTCATGAAAACTATGAGGTTCATGTTACTTGTTTAGCTCACATTGTCTCCTATCTTACAGCATGGAAGGGGTCGTCGCTCCCGCTCTCAGAGTGTCGATATTGAGACAATGCTCTCCCTGCAAATCACCAGCGAAGAGGATGAGGAGGGTGAGAGAGGGGGAGGGAGGGAGAGGGGGCTGAGGGGGGCAGAGAGAGGAGGAGGGAGGGAGAGGGGGCTGAGGGAGACAGAGAGAGAGGGAGGAAGGAGGAGAAGGGGTTCTCTCTCCTCGTTGGATGCAAAAGAAGCGATGTCTGAACCTGAGAATGTTCATCACCATTATGGCGGTATGTGTCTAATGAGAAACCCCTTAACCCTTAGCAAGCCACGGGCATATACTATGTATATATGCCCAGAGCCTCCATAAGTCCATAAGACTATATATGGCTATAATACTAGGCGTTAACATCAATTTCTGCTTGTTTAAGGAGATACCCATGGCGTCCAAAGGGTTTAATAAGGGATACATTGAAAATGTCCTTTATTCAGAGGTGTCCTTTATTCGAAGGTAGTACATAACGCATTAGCATTCTCGCATTGGTAGGTTTGTTTCGCTCGCCAACGACACTTGTTCCCACTTCTGAAATGTCTCCACAAACCCAATATTCTCACATCTGTCGTTTATTACAGCCATTCATCCTACGTACCTCTTGATAAATCAGTCCATGTCACGTTATTGTTGTAGGTAATAATTGGGTATTGCTGCTACGGAAATAAATCGCAGGGTGTCTAAGTCATGAATGAAAGTGATGTGCGTGCACTTGAATTGGAAAATACACAGTATCTGTAGCTTGTGGTCCACATGAATTTGATTTAATTGGTGTCATTTTTACCCAAAACCGAACGAATATTTTCTCATACTCTGTGCATACTTTTATCGGTGTACAAAGTAATCACCCCACGTGCACATGTGCAGCAGGGGTGTTGCGTGTATTAGATGAAAAATAATCTGAACCTTTACTACTTCAACTCAAATATTACTTCAAGAACTGTCACACTTGGCAGGAATCTATGTTAACTTATAGAACACTAGTCATTAACTCTATTTATAGAACACTAGTCATTAGCAGAACACTAGTCATTAACTCTATTTAAACACTAGTCAAGGCTAAATTACGTATGTACTGACGCACCCTCTGGTTTCTCAGTGAGTCGTCCTCAACTCCCTATAGTTGCATACATACGTACGTACGTAACAAGACCAGCTAAAGATGTTTAACCCTCCACAGGTTGTCTATTTCTTCGTCACAGTAAGGAGCTGCGAAGATGCCCCATGCCCTCTCCAGTCACTGTCTCGACACTCAAGAACCTTCTCGTCAACACCTTTGACCTTCAGAGGTCGCTACTGGATGACCCCGCCAGCTACGTCATGATACAAGACAGAGGTTCCATGAGATGGACGAAACTCACTAACACCAGGTGAGAGAAATTGGCAACTAGAGATGCGTGATGGACCAATCATACGTATATACCCATATGCATTGAGCTTGCATGCAACTGTCTCGATCACGCAGCAAATCTTTTGATTCACTTAGCTGAAAATACTTAGGGACTAGAGATACGTGATGGACCAATCATACATACGTATATACCCATATGCATTGAACTTGCATGCAACTGTCTCATGCAGCAAATTTGCATTGTATCTTTTGATTCACTTGTAGCTGAAAATACTTGGGGAGATTTTAACCAGTGTAAAGACTTCACATGGCTTGCATGTACCGATGGTCACAAAACACACTGTTCTCTGTCCATGTTTCACAGCCATTTCTCTCTCTCTCTCTCTCTGACCATCTCTCTCTCTCTCTCTCTCTCCTCTTCCTTCTTCAGTGACGTATACGACCACTGCATCCTACAACTAGCAGACCCCGACGCTCCCAGCACAAACCCCACCCACTTCGTCAAGGATACCATGCTAGAAGACCACACCTACTCGTCATCGGAGTCCCCTCCCCCCGTCGTGTCCAATCACCCTCCCCCCTCTCCACCATCTGCACACCGTCACTACAATCAATCCTCACATTTGACCACGCCCCTTCATTCCCCTGCTTGGCCACAACTGGATGCTCACTACTACGCTGAACCCTCTGCCACTGATACGAGGTAAGACTGTTTTGTGTAGCAGAAATAGTGGTGCAATGTACATGTCAGTTAAGTCCCACAATATGTGAAAAGTGTAGTACTGGAAAAATGTGTGTTTCAAAGCAGAAGTGTGGGTATTTTATGCACTCACTCACTCACACACACACAGCATGTGGCAGTCAGGCACTGCGTCGACAGCTCCCCTCTCCCCACCCCACGTCCCCACCCTCCCACCCTCTCCTCCTCACCCCTCCACCGCCACCCTCACCACCACTGCTCCAGTCCAGTTCGGATCTCCTCACTCTGTCACCAGCAGCACCAGTGGAGGTGGGTACCATATAGCACCATAGGATGAATAATATTATGTACTTTACCAGAAGTAATCTTTATGGTTATACGTACACCCAATTTGCCTGAGAGTGTATGTTGTATATCCTGCATGAATACTCTTACTGTATGCGTGAAAATCGCACATATATACATGTATGTACATATATAAACATAGTTGCAGAAAAACGCTAGAATATTGACCATGTATTCATTGGTAGGGAACGTGTATCCATGTTTACATCTTCCATGAATATAATACCCTCCCACCCTTCCTTTACGTAGAACAAAACCCTACACTACGTATGTATGTCTGTGTGTAAATTAAAAATCCTGCGAATTTAAAAAAAGAGACCTCTCACTTTATTTGTGTCACTCTACTTGCAGTGTGTTCCGAGTCTTTGCAGACGTCTATTTCTCCACTCACCATCAGTAGACACGTGAGCTCTCACACTCTGAGTACTGTACCTCACACTATACCACGCACACTCTTGTAGCTAGTGGAGTGGTATGAGAAAGTTTTAGGTCTAAAAAACTTGTTACCTTAATTGTTCCTTTGCATGGTAGCATTCAACCAAAAAAAAACTTTGTCAGGAACCTCCTCCCTCAGAGGAACTATAGTTACCGTCTTGTTGATAAGGGGCAATGACACGGAACCACAGCTAGAGGTATATATATACCATGGTGAGATTGAGGATTGGTCATCACTAACAACAACCAACCAACAATGCAATGAAAACTGCAGATCGAGTGCTGGGATGCCTCGCATACATTTATAATACACGCACAAAGCATACCTTAAATTAAATCGTGCTGCTAGAATTCAATATACAGAATGCCTGAAGAAGGTTCTAAGGTAGGTCATAACATTGCCTCGTCGCACCGTGCTACGTTGCCATCTCGAGGGTAGAATCCATTTCTAATCTTCACGACAGGACGTGACACGGCATGGACCAACGGGGCAATGCGACATAATTGTGAACCTAGCCTAAGACTTCTATTGTGGTATTCTTTCACATTTCATAAGTACTTGTATATTGGTAATGTCTCTGCGACATTATGCCCATACATTGAGGTTCCCCATTATGCCCATACATTGAGGTTCCCCATTATACCAATACATTGAGGCTTTCCCATTATAGGAATACATTTCATGTACATACATACGTATTAATATTCCGCCTCTGACCAGGTGAGGGTGCTAGAACGTCGAGTGCGGGAACTGAGACAAGACTGCGAGACAATTCGCAGGGAGCAGCAGTCGGAGATGGCAGAGTTTGGTGCCATCCTCAGTGGAACCTCGTGCAAGATCTTGGCCACCATCAGGGGTCACGCCAGAGTTGCCGGTTAGGATCTGGCATTTCGATCCACATCTCAGCTATCTGTGCAAGCTTACCTAACCCACATGCGCTATTGCATGCATTTTGACTTGCACTTCAAAGAAATTAATCCAAGGGGTGGGGGGCAGCACTTGAGAAAAGATGTTTGTATGTATTAATAAGTTCACTCAAAAACCAATGCCAATGGGTTGCCCCTCCTCCTGCATGGACCCCTCCCTGCACTTGAGAACACTTGCATAAAACTACACATGATATAATATAGAAGGTGTGTGTTGGAGTCCCAGCCATGGCTTTTTCCCCCTGTGCAGCGCTGGGGAAGGGAGTGAGTGTGGAGCCATTTCGTAGAGAGAGACTAGAGCTGACGGAAGAAAAGACTGCATACAGGAGACATGCCGATGACACCGTGCTGGAAGTCAGGTTGGTTGGGACCCGTGTATGAACCAGGAGATGTAAACGCAAGACATGCATACAAAACTACATGACACCATCCCTATATCTTTATTCATAGGCAAGGTATTTATTATATATATCAGACAAGGATATAGGGATGGTGTCATGTAGTTTTGTGTACACGTTTGCTGTGTAATGACCCCTTGTTTCTTCCTTTTTTGGTGCTTCAAGTCATCCCTATATCACCCCTTCATTTTGAAGAAAAGATTTTTCCACTTCTTTCCACTAACACAACTACACCGCAGTAGGACAAAACGTTTTAAAGAGTTTCCCTAGGTAGATGTGTATGTACAACTGAATGAGTAATCTGGAATTTCACTCAAAAACTGCCTGTTCTACGAGCTAGTTCAAAACACCGTATGTAGCTCCGCTTTTGCCGCATTAACTGCATTAGCGAACGCGGCGCTGTACCGTGCGCTACATGAGGATTCGAACGAGCCGTTCATTGCGCGCATCGTTTCTTGAAAACCTACGCAAAACATTCAGGTTCTTTATATCTACATTCAAATAGAGAGGCTCCACCAGGTATTAGCATAGTGGGCACTTGGGAAATTCAGTGGTAGTTTAACAACTAAAGAAATTTGTCCCTCATTCACATGAACTGTCCCTTCGTGGCTTAAATGCTACATTGCCAAGGGGCAAGAAAGTAAAATGTTCGGACCTTTGGTTTAAGGTGCCCCACCATTCCATGACATGTGTGTGGTGTGTTGCAGTATTCTGGAGTCGGCAGTTGAGGACATACGGAGAGACGTGGTGGTGAGAAGGTGCAGGGTTCACGAGAGAGAGGTGGACGGCCTCGTCGGTGCAGTACAGAAGACACTAAAGGCTATCTCTCAGGCCAAAGGTCAGCTGAACCTTCCCTGGCTCCCCCATAGAATCTGGGGCTTTAATTACACAACTCATTGGAGCCCAGAGAGTCAATTTACGTTTCTATTACAAACGCACACGCAATGGAAAAATCGGAAAATAAAGACACTGAGGTGCAGGATTCAAACTCAGGACCTCAGTGTTACAGCCCGTTGCCTTACCGCCTGCAATACTCAGGCTACTCACGTAGGGTTGGCTAAAACGTTGGTTATATTCCATATCACGTATGTTATTCTGCGTGGGCAAAAGAGTAGATGCATGTTGACATAATGCTGCCCCGAACATCATTTTACGCTACAGCAACGCGATACACTAACACACACCACAAAAGCATCTACTAATCTTGGTGACTGTGTTTTTGCTGCAGACCAGTACCAGCCTCTGGAGCTAAGATGAAGAGGGTGATGGAAAGAGAACTCACTGACATCGTCGAAGAAGAAAAGTACGTAGCCTCGTATTACACATTTTACCATTATTACTGTATATTATCGGAAGTGAGAGGCATGGATGGGTTACTCAAAGAAAGTCATCTGTGCCAGCACTTGTTTGCTTACATTACACATCCCTCATAATATTATGCTCTTTACCATTATATAGCTTTGACTGGTTTCAGCTTCCAATGAACCACAAGGCATAGCTAGCCTTGCAAGCCAGACCCTCGTACAAAGAGGTCTTATATAGGGAAAGCGTAACTCTTAAAAGAAGCTGCGCATTTTTCCTGCTCTGCATTACGGATGGTATAAAAAGAAAGGGAGACAAGATAGGGATGGGATACGTGAAGCATGGTTAATGAACAGTTTTGAGCACGCTGACACTTAGCTGATTAATACCCTGAAAAATCGTCACATATAGCTACGCAGGTTTATAAGTTTCTGAACACTACAGGTTTATCCAAGATGAGTATCCTCGATTGGAAGAGGCTGGCGAGAAATGCCTTCGACTAACCAATACACTAGAGACCCTGAAACAAGTAGCGGTCGTCCAGTTTCACCGCACGCCCCTCGTGCCACACTTTGCACCCGTCGCCAACCCCAACCGGGCGGCGCTGTTGGATACCATAAAAGCGGTCACGCCCAATCACACCCATCGGGTGGAGTCAATCGAGATGGCCGAGTGCGTCCAACACAAGAAGAAGGAGTTGGTCATGCGACGAGAGGGTGTAAAGAGATTCGAGAGTCAACTAAGGATGCAAAGAGAGCACCTGCACAAGATGGAGTCCAAGTCTGATCTAGAAGACAGACAAGCCAAGAGAGCGATCAGACTGTATCTGGAGGAGAAGGCCGAGCGAGAAGCGGAACTGGCGAGGGAGATAAAACTGGAGAGGACGGTGGCAGAGAGGAAGAGGAAGGAGGAGAGGGAGAAGATGAAGAAGAGACTCCAGAGACAGCGCGAGGACGACAAGAAGATGCAGCGACGGAGGGAGGGCGAGAAAAAGAAGATGCAGAGACAGAGAGGGAAAAAGGTGGTGGAGAGGTTGAAAAATGGCGAAGGTGAGGCCGGGGAGCAGGAGAGTAGTCAGAGTGTGGCAGGGGAGGACGAGAATGGAGAGTGGTACCACCAGGAAATAGAGGAAGGCTCGATTCGTTTCTCGTCTTCCTTCTCAAGCACGGCGAGTCTCTTGGAGCACGTGAGGAGTCTGGGTGGATGGTCGTCTGACAACACATCGCTGCAAGAGCAAAACAGCACCACTGCTCCCAAAGAAAATGGAAGTAACACCAGTGCTCCTGAAGAACGCCAAAGCTCTGAGCTCGAAGACCATAAGCACACAAGTACCGAGGCAAGGTGTGACAAAAATCGAAGCAATTCACATCAAACCTCTGAGCGTGAGTCCAGTACACTGGATGAGACATCAGGTGCAGATAAGGTGCGGAATCACTCGGAATTCAAACCAAAGCCTCCACAGAAACAGTCCGGTGACAATGGCAGAGGTAAGGACCAGCTACAGGTAGCCTCGGGGAAATCTCAGAAAACAGCGAAGAAAAAGAAAGTGCAGACGGAGACTCGTCTGCCACAGTCCAACGCAGACAGCAATGGGCTAAAGACAAAACAGCAGAAAGCACAGAGTCTTCCGAGGGATAATCCACCCAAGAGCAAGTATGAGTCACCTCAACTAAAGACAGCTACACCACGGCTTCAGAGACTGAACAACGAAGCAAGAGGAACTCAGTCGCCCACAACTGGTCTGCAGGCAGTGTTAAGGACCAATCAAACTCGTAGCCCGCTACCTCACAAGCAAACAAATCAAACTGTCCGCGGTCGCATCACGCAGACAGCGAAAGCACCGACAAAGTTCCAGCGTCACAGAGCCCCACTCAATGATGTCGTTGTTGCCGCTTCCCCACCGGGCCGACATGTTGCCAGTTCGGAAGCCCTCCTGGACGATCATCACCACCAACAGATCCACAACGGAACAGCCAAAGCACCGTTATCGTCCACTGCCACCTCTCGGTTAGCTAACACGCCGTCCAAAGTCAGAAAGAGCATTGGCTACATGGGCGAGTTTGAGAACCAAGCCGGCATCTATGACCTCCTCGAGAAAAAGCCTGAAAAGAAGCGGCGGTCAAGGAAAGACGATAGGTTGGATAAAGGGTTCCAGACACCGACCTTTGATCCGCAAGTGAGGCCCGATAACGACCCGGAATTACAGGAGTTGGAGCTGCTATCCCCGCATGCCAATAGCCAGCCAGATAACTTTGAATTCATGTCAAATCCTTCGTACGAGAGTCGAATGGAGGCCAGAGACACAGCAGAGCCCAAGGCGAAATCGCGATCTCTCGGAAGGTCTGACCCAGTAAACCAACAGAACGGACACCTACCCACTAACACTGGAGGTGTTCGCCAATCCTACATGCCTACTTCTAAAATGCCCACTGCTGTTGTCATTGACTCAGGGGTGCCACGCAACACCAAGATGCAGCAGGTTCTACGTGGTTCGAGCAGAGGGTGGCTAAACAGCGAGTCTGACAGTTCAGAGACTGGCAGAGTTCAGTCGGTCCTCTCAGACCACTCGACCATGACACACTCCAGTGTGACACACCAGTCAGTCCTGTCGGCTGGGCAGCAGTCAATCTCGTCTGGCAGATTTTCCAGTGGGAGTCGCTCGAATGCCCCACCTACCAGCATCAAACTGCACTCTCACGTGACCTCTCGACCTCTCGTGCCGCAGCCGCACACACACGGGGAGACACATTCCGGGCTTCCGGTTCTGATAAAACCGTACCACCCCAGGGGTGATGAAACCGGGACAGGTCGCAGTCGCCAACATGTGGCCCCCCACCACCCACCCCACAGGCAGACCACTAGGGTGCCAATGCAGACTGTCCGTGACGACACTGCGCTAACATCCTACCCACGGTTTCAGTCCCGAGAGGACCACACAGCCAGACTGCACCATGAAAACCAGCCAAGTCGTCGCCACAGAACTAAGCACCAGCTGGGAGTTCTTCCAGGTACCGGGCAGCTGGCTCATGTCTCAAAACCTCACCCAGACCACGCCCACCACCTACTCCACCCAGCCAAGAACAACAGACACCCAGATAGAGCCGGTTCACTTGTTTGATTTTGTATACACAGCTTCAGCCTAACTATAATCATATTATTATTCATCAAAATCTGCGTATAATACGCATGCGCACCGGTTTGGCGGACGAGAGGCGGGGTTATCGTGTTCAATTACGTAATTTAGGCAAAAAACGACGCGAGAGAGATGGGTATGGTGTGGGCGCGACTATGGAGGCTCTTTGGGAAGGAAGGTGAGCGTACGACGAGCGTTCAAGTGGCGGGGAGCGGTCTGCCTTTTTCGTTGTCACGTAGAAAAGCTTTTGACGCGTCTAGGCCAGTGAGAACGTAGCTATCTGTTTCTACTCACCAGAGTACAAGATCATCATAGTGGGTCTGGATAATGCTGGCAAGACTACCATCCTCTACCAGTTGTGAGTTTGACTGTGATGATGTGTATGTGTTAGCCTAATAATCGCCACGGAAATCATGATAATTAGAATGATTGCACTCTTCCAATCTTTCCCACCTTTATCCATTCCTCTCGGTCCTACTCTGTCTCTCTCTCCTCTCTCCCTCTCCTCTCCTTTTTCTTCGATACTCGTTTATTGCCTCATGTTTCACTTGTGTACTTTGTGTACGTCATTCCATCCATCTCCCCTCCCTTCCTACACAGTCTAATGAATGAAGTGGTCCACACATCTCCAACAATAGGCAGTAATGTTGAAGAGGTATATTATTCAATATTATGAAGGTCAATAGGGTATGTGGCTGATTACTGTTTAGCTTTTTGATCAGTGGGTGTCCTGGTTGATCAGTGATTCATTAATCACTAGAGTGTCCTGGTCTCCCACATATTAGATTCTTTTGGCAGAGGAAAAGGAAATGAAGTCAGATCCTTTGTGCACCTATTCTTTTCCTTCCCTCGTTAGGTCCATTCACTGCTTTATTGTCATTCCTGGTCAAACTGTCCTACCTAATTACAACCATTAATTAGCTGTGCTAACTGCATATGCTAGAGTTCAGTCCTCACTTCCTACGCTAATTAGTAACAGGTGTTTAGTTACCTTTCCATGTATATACACGTAGTTAAGTTTCCATTTTCAATGACCACTCCCCTTCAACACATTATGCCTCGTTCACTATGACAATATATAGACTCCTTTCGGTTTAATGAGGTGTAGTTAAAATGGAGGAACCTCCAGTTTGTGATGTGGGACATTACAATAGTTATTGCCCCCGACATTTTACTTTTTGTGACACGTTGTGTTGTGCCTTTGTGTCGTTACTAGGTGAAATGGAGGAACCTCCAGTTTGTCATGTGGGACATTGGAGGGCAGGACTCTCTGCGGCAGGCCTGGAGCACCTACTTCTCGGGGACCCATTTCCTCATCCTGGTGGTGGACAGTACCGACAGAGAGAGACTGGCAGTCACCAAGGAGGAACTCTACCGGATGCTGGGGAACGAGGTTTGCTGTGGTTGCAACCAATCTCCAATGTCACCTGTACACAGACACTTCATTCTGATATTCTCCTTCCTTTTAGTGCCCCACTCTTCCCTTTCTTTCCTTATTCTCCCCTCCTCTCATATTATACTAACCACATCCCTTTCACTCCGCAAAATTTTGCAACTTTCCGTATTGTGCACTTACACTACCTGGCATTTTTTGTAGCTTGCCACGCTTTCTAGGGTTTTTCGCCTGTTTTAAAAATACAAATGTGGATCTACCCATTGAGTTGGAGGCTTTGGGAAGAGCTTTATGCAGAATGCTGGGAAATAAGGTTTGGTAGCATTCCAGCAAACCAGCACATTGGTACATATACTGTAGTTTGATTTCTTAGCTGCTTGAATGGCACATGACGACCAGTAATGTAAACACCAGATTTTTATCGTAAGGCAGTGAAACAATCTCTGAACAGGACACACTGACAGGCTGGTGATGACTCGTGTTTACTATATATGAGATTGTGGACAGGGCTATTTGGGTGGTTTACCAAAGCCTCTGTACCATAGCTGTGTAAACCACTGCACTCAGCCCATGTTTGGATAGGTGTAGAAAACAATCCATTCTGGGGCCCTATGTCAATCTTTGTGGACTTTTGAGCGCCTCGCTGCCTAAACTTGAGTTTTTAGTTTGTAAAGTTCCTTACTGTATCTCTCTCCCTCCTCTTACCCCTCCCTCCTCTTATATACCCCTCCCTCCTCTTACCCCTCCCTCCTCTTATATACCCCTCCCTCCTCTCTCTGCCAGGACCTGAAGAAGGCACAGGTATTGATATTTGCTAACAAGCAGGACCTCAAGGGCTCAATGTCGGCAGCGGAACTCTCGCAACATCTGAACCTCACGTCTATCAAAGACCACGGCTGGCACGTGCAGGCCTGCTGTGCTCTTACCGGGGAGGGGTGAGTAAAGAGGAGAAGGAGGAGGAATGCAGCAAGCATTTTTTCACAAGTTTAGAATGAAATCACCGAGTGAATGTACCTTACACACCGTCTCTCCATCAGCCTGTGTTGGCAGAATAGTTTCTACGTGGATTTTTTTTTGTTATAAACTGTAGGGGTGTGTAACATTTTCACTAGAAGATGCAAATTTAACTCCCTCCTTGTCAGCCAATAGTATATAGCCTCGTTTGTATACAAACTTCCAGATAAGGGACACCCTTATTCGAGGGTCCTTTTTCGGAGGCTTCAAACTGTTAACTTGTTGCCTCTCAGGTTATACCAGGGACTGGAGTGGATATCAGCTCAGACAAGAAACTTATAGCTGCTATATAACATTGTCCACCATTCTTTTCAATCTCACTATAATATATTACTCTCCACGTCTCTTCATAATTATCATTTCTTCCATTTGTTTTACCATTGCCTCGATGTGTGTATATATTCTTCTGGTGCATTTTCTAAAACATAATGCGGATGTGATTATTAACTCTATCGGGAGATTGGTTATTAGCGAATTTAAGACAGCGTAAACAGCGAAATGCTACCAGTCACTAGTGTAAGCAGCCACAGACACAATTTAATGTCTCCAGAGCTTCCATAAGTCTATGTATGTATAAGATTTTATATGGGAGTTATTACTATAGTATATAGGCACTAAAACTTTATACTATACAGATACCCCCATGGCGTCCAAAAGGTTAATGTAGTGAGTGGCTGGCTGCAATCCCAATTCCTATAGAGATTGTGTAATGGACGGAGCATTACTGATCATCAGGGCAAAGGAAAAATTGCACTTGGTCTGTCAAGTCCTTGTAAGGAAAACTCAAAGTTGTGGTCAAGCATTGTTGATGGTAGAGACAATCCTTTGAAAAAATAGTATATACAACACTGTACACGCATGGAAAATGTGGTATTTGAACATGAGTGAGTGTTCTATTAACAGAGATGAAGGAAACGGAATGTGGTAGGAAGCTAGTGGTTGTTAGTGGAAGGAGATGATGAGGAGGACTTGTCGTCTGATCTCCGGATGACCTCTCCGACCTTTCCCAGGAACTGGATGCCCCATGTCTTCCAGCTCCAGTAGGTCTGCAGGAATAGATCACAAACACTCATGAAGGTATTAGACCATGTGATGCCAAGAGAAAAAAGATGTGGAGCTCTGGACAGCTGTTTCGGGCTTGTTGGCCCTCATCAGCAGAGCATGTAAAGGAACTTTGGTTTAATCTACCAAAAGCGTCCACATTAATGAGGTGCATGCATGTGTCCGCATCAATCTTTATGGGGTCGCATTGCAAGGTTAGGGAAAGAAACAGTGTCCTTTTCAGGTTGAATATATAATAGTCTCGCGGGCCACACAAAAGTATATTCCCAGGCGGTCTTGCTTGAAAGACATGAGAGGGGTCCACTCCACTGTACTCTAGCACAACAACAGCAAAGTCTATAAGGTCCCCTATTTACTTTGCCAAACTAAGGGAAGTCATTCTTCAACAGAGCTACCCTCTCTGGAAGAACCTCTCGCCAAACAGTGACAGATGCAGTATCCAACATACATGTGACCCAATGTACGACCACATCATATATACATACATACATATACATACATACATGTGACCTAATGCACTATCACGTCATACACACACATGCGTAATGCGTATTATGTCATACTGTATGTGTACTTGTTGGATATCCCTAGGCAACCGACATGTATGAAGCTAGGTACGGGGGGATTGTATCAGCCTATACAATCCTACATGTGCAAGCAGGGCTCATACATGTCATTTGCCTAGGGATATCCAACAAATCTGTTGCAGTACCCAGACAGGACAGCATTCGCCCTCTGTCCTCTTTGGGCAATGCAACATATTATACTTACAGGGCGAATGCTATCCTGCAAAAGATTTGTTCGACATCCCTCAGAAAATAACATGTATGAACCCTGGTTGCACATGTAGGATTGTATAGGCTGATAAAATCCCCCGTGTCGGTTGCCTAATATCCAACAATGTGTCATACTGTAAGTGTACATACATATGTGAGTTTGGCCACGCTCCTGCCGGTTTCCAGTGACTCAGCTGTGACATTACCAGCCTGCTCACCATACCTGGACACACGGACAAACCATCAAGGATATTTTACACGTTGAAACATTATTGTGAGACTAAAGTTCAACTACTTGCCTGGGTCCATTGTATCAATACTTTGGAAATTGCAGCAACTTTTGTTGAAGCAACAAAGTTGCTGTGGGCATGGCCTACTAAAACAGTCCCCATTCAAGGCACATGCATGCAAAATTTCCTCTTGCTGGTATGTGAAAATCTACGTCACTGAACTTCCTGTAATTCACTAGTATACACACTAGAGATGTTACAAAAGATATGTACAATGTACTTGTGTTCCACGGTGGTGGCAGTCTGGTGACAGACTGAGGTCAGGAGAGCTGAGGCTCCTCTCTCCAAGTCTCCAAACACTGCTGCAGCTCCTGTGGATTATACACTTTGGTTCTAATAACACTGACATCATCAGGCAGTATACGTAGCTCTGACTATTTATCACATACCCAACCACGGACAACACAGGTTTAATGTGTCGGATGCTCAATAAGTGCATAAGAATTTAAATAGGGGTGAATATTCAAGGCTCCAATACGTTATTTTAGGAGCTACTCATGGTATTCTAGGGTTTAATCTTACCCAAAAAAATTTTTCATACTACCTTTCAAGGAAATCATAAAATGCTGTACCTTTGACCCCTGACTTTGTCACCTTCCAAGCCTCTTTGGCATGAGGATTCATCTCCTTTGACTTGACATACTGGGAATGGAACACAGCGCAACTCTGATGAACTACATACATACATACATTGATGTCAGGATGCAAACTCAACTTGAAATTACTATGCATGCGACCGAAAATTTTAAGTAGTTTTATGACTAATTACAGTACAGGTGATGGTGCTGTCTTTTCATACAAATACATATCACGCTATTGTGATGACTTGGCGGACTAGCTTTTTGCTGGGTAATGAAGACACCAGGCCATTCTCCTAAATGGTTTTTACTTTTTACTAAACACCACAAGTGGTGTACGTAATTAAATATTAGACATTCTGTGTCTGCATTAGTCACCTCGGTGTCAGCCACTGCATCTTTGACCTGTTTCCCCACGGCAACTGTCAGTTTAGCCAGCGATATCATCAGGAAATCACTAACACCCACCACACAACCTAGAATGGTATGTATACATACCAACCATGGAACAGATTTCAATTGCGAATCTTAATTTTTGCACAATTGCTAGTGGAAACAGGCATTTTTAACACTTAACAAGCCATGGACAGAAGACACCCATGCCGTCCAAAGGGTTTTAAAGGAAAACTTTGGCACACGTCCAACAGTAAAAAATTAAGTGGTTGGCTTCAAGAACATTTCGAAGGTCTTCAAAAGTTAAAGTGTACATACCAAAAAATAAAAAAATTTAAAACAACAATTCTCTGGTAGAAGGAAGGCTGGGAGAAATCACGAGAGAGATGGACAGGAATAAGTTGTGTACCGGTGGCTTTCTTGGCGACATGGACTCCTTTCTGAACAGACTCTGGTATTTCAGTCGGTTTTTCATTTGGTTCTATTTTCTCTCTCAACTTGCTAGCTCCCTGCGTGCAACACGACGCACACGTCTCATGTTACAATGCAATTAGTGGGACCTTCTAATCCCAATACCAGAAGAAAGTGTCCATATTAGTGAATTGTCCATTATACCCATTGAGTATCACATTATAATACAGAAACCCCTCTAATCCCAACACCAATGGGCCAGAAGAAAGTGTCCATATTAGTGAATTGTCCATTATACCCATTGAGTATCACATTATAATACAGAAACCCCTCTAATCCCAACACCAATGGGCCAGAAGAAAGTGTCCATATTAGTGAATTGTCCATTATACCCATTGAGTATTACATTATAATGCAGAGGAATTCCTCTAATCTCAACACCAATGGGCCAGAAGAAAGTGTCCATATTAGTGAATTGTCCATTATACCCATTGAGTATTACATTATAATGCAGAGGAATTCCTCTAATCTCAACACCAATGGGCCAGAAGAAAGTGTCCATATTAGTGAATTGTCCATTATACCCATTGAGTATTACATTATAATGCAGAGGAATTCCTCTAATCTCAACACCAATGGGGCCAGAAGAAAGTGTCCATATTAGTGAATTGTCCATTATACCATTGAGTATCACATTATAATACAGAAACCCCTCTAATCCCAACACCAATGGGCCAGAAGAAAGTGTCCATATTAGTGAATTGTCCATTATACCCATTGAGTATTACATTATAATGCAGAGATTCCTCTAATCCCAACACCAATGGGCCAGAAAAAAGGGTCTATATTAGTGAATGGTCCATTATACCATTGAATATTACATTATAATACAGGCTCTAATCCCAACACCAATGGGACAGAAAAAGGGTCTATATTATAGTGAAATTGCACGAAAGAACCGTTCTTGAAAATGTGTCCTTATTAGAGTAGAGAGAGGGTCCACCGTGTAATGACCTTTGAGATGAGGCTGCTGGCTGCTTCCGTTCCTATGGCAATGCCCTTTGACACGAACCCCACCCCTTTCTCAATACCCTGCATCACATAAAAATATATTATGTGCAAATCATTTTAGGAAGCAAAACCACACACAGTCTACAGATTAGATAATTTCGAAACACGCACAGTAATTCCAGCCGGCATATTGTATTGAGAGGACAAAGTACACACACGACTGCTTCGCTTGCCAATTATTAGCTACCAACACTTCAAGTACAAAATGCATGTGTATTCACTAGTCAATTATCCGTACTCATTTTGCTCTGTAACTACACGTGTGGCTACATTACAATGGTTTGTCAGCTCTCAGAGAAACGCGCATGCAAGTGTGTTGTACTCACCCCAGCAATGGTTGTGCCCCATGTTGGCTTCTCTTCCTTCCTTCTTTCACACTGTCCCTCACTTCCCTCCTCTCCCTCTCTCCCTCCTTCTCCCTCTCTCCCTCCTTCACTGCCTGTTTCAGGCCAGTCTCTGGGGCCCTCATGTCTGCCATGACGGATAACAGTCTGTCCAGCTCAGCAATTTCTTCTTTGGATGCTCCCCTCCAATGTCAGACCCACTGTACACCCGTCTTGTGGGAGAGGAGAGGGGAGAAAGAGGAGAGGGACACAAGAGAGTGGGGGAATTTGAACTTTTAGAAAATCAACAGGAGTTGCACTTTAGTATAGCAAATTTCAAGAGAATCTAAGCTTTGTCCCTTTAAAGTTTTGCACTGTTGGCAAACATTGTGCATGCATATCACATATACCTTCCCCCTTGAGGTCGGGGAACATGTAGACATTTTCGCTGGCCTTGAGCACGGGGGACCTCCCTGGAATCAGAGGGTAGATGAACCCCCCGCACTGGAGGAAGGCGGGTGGCTGGCCCTTGATCCTGTCGTGGTACCGGAACACACTGAGCGTGTCAACGTCTTCAAACTTTCTGACGTGGTCCTGCTTGTCAACTTGGAACAGACCTATACCTGTACATAGTATTATATAGAAGGGACTTAGCTTATGTAATTCAACAAAACAAGTTTATATTTACACTATAATTATAGTATAACAGTAACAAATGCCTAAAGTGTTCGTGTTTTGTACTAAAAAGAGATGAGCGTATTATCGTGAAATTTTTGAAGCTCTGCTTCGGCAATTCAGCTTCTTTTGCATGTACATAATATCACATTCTCTCCTTTCCCTTCTTCTTTGCCTTCTTCCCCTCTCACTCTCTCCTATCACACTTGCAATACACATGCATACTACATGTATGTATACATATGTACCAGAGTCCACATTGAAGACAAGGTCGGCCTTGGCACTCTGTCTAGTTCCACCAGCTGACTCAGCAGTAGAACTCCCTGCCCGACTGGTCGTGGAGGTAGTCAGACTCGTCTGACCAGTTCTGGAAACCGGTTTCGGTGACCGGTCGGCAACTGAGGCAGACATTTCTTGTCGTGATTGTATCTCTTGTTCGAGTAGGATCTCCATCCTTGCCTTTACTTGATCCCTCATTCTGTATACATGTATATACCAGTCAGTAACACTTAGCTATGTACTCTACATGTACATTACAAAGGGAGTCAGTAAAATCTACATACACAATTTAAATGAGAAGTCCGAGGGCCACTGAGAAGTAGCGTTCTGAGTATATAAGTGTACTCGGGTTCGCGTGATTTCGCGTTAGCAAACCGTGCATATATACATAGTACATGTATGATGCACGGTTTGCAGAAGATAATACCATCATGCTTAGTGCAAGTATGATGTAATCAAGTCATGTGACATTCTTTATCATACACCTAGGGTTTCAAATATTGACAAATAATACAAAAACAGTGCCATGGCACGACTTACTTCACCAGTTTATTCCTGAGCTCTGTCATGCCGGGCCCGGTTCCATTCCTCACCTGTCCCAGTCCGAGACTGAGCGTGGACAGGACTTGGTTGTACAGCTCCAGTGCCTCCATCCTCTCTCCCCTCTCATCCTTACTTAGAGCCTCTGATACATAACTGTGGAGAGAGGGAGACAACAGGGAGGGGGAGTGGGGCAAGGGAGTCAGGATACTGAAGACAGTAAAGATCCAGGGTAATGCCTAGAGGCACATCATAAGCATCCAGGTAAGAATAAGTTTAACAGTAGACGAACTAACTGTAGACTGAGAACATGTTCTTATTCGACTCCTGTTTCATACCTCAGATTCATGCATGCTTAGGGATGTACATGTATTATATTAGTGACAAGGACACAAGTAAACATGAATACCTGTACTTTTCAAGGTTACACAACCATGCATGCCTATGGCTAAACATTAGCTATAAGGATAGCTATTATCACTTGTATATCTGAAGACAAAAATTGAGGACCAGAATCATCATAGGATGGAGCAAAGAGAGGTCATATTTGAACACTGACTTTTTGGCAGTGTCAAAGTAGCTCTGGGCCAGAGTCAGTCTCCTGGTGGACAGGGAATCAACGGTAGTAGTACTGGCCGTCGTGGAGGACAGGGAGGGATACAGGACCTCGTATTGCGGTGGAGCGCTCGGACTGAGGGATCAGAGATCAAGTTTACGAGTAGCCTGTCGCCACCCGTAGCCTATGTAGCTATTAATGTCTTACATTGGGTCTCTGGTGGCCTGAGACTGGGTTCCTGGCCGTCTTTGCTGCTGCATCGTCGCCATATCTCAGCCACCCTGCTGGAGACAATGATGATTCAGCAGAAATTTGTTATGCTCTAATTTAGCGACGTCACTTGTTCACTCAGAAATATCGAAACCCCAAAGCGCAATAATTAGCTTAGCCGCGCCGGAGAGGTGTATTATACGGAGCAGGACGGACGGAGGGAATCTATCTATCGTTGCCATAAAAACGCTACAGCAGACAAACCAAAGAAGCGCTCTCGTTGCCGAGCATCTGGAGACATGTCGCTGCTACGGAGTCCAGCCGTGAACTTTGACGAGAAGTGGGCCGGGCTGAGGGAGACGATAGGCCGCGTCGTGAAGCTCCAGCCGGTGGAGATGGCCAAATGGAACGACCACTACTCGTATCCGTCTCTCCTCTCTTACTGGCTACCTCAGTCCCTCCTTCTGTACATACGTGAATGCTGAAATATCGTGGGTATGCAATATGCATACTTCATGGAGGTCAAAGGTTACGTATAATTATACACCGGGCTATTGTGGGAGGGTGAAATGTAGTTCGTATGTCACACGCTATGCGGTACGAAGAAAATTCAAGACCTGGGATGTACATGTGCAGATCCTTACGGATGTAACTAGCGAACCTAATATACATAATATATGACGCATGATCCTAGAAACCAGGTACTCTATTATGGACCTTGACACTGTGGCTATGTCAGAGATATCTATGCCCTCTGTGAGGCATTCCCAGTGTCCTATGCTGAAAGACTGTACTCCGAGACGGAGAAATACCTCAGGAGCTTAGTCGACGATATCTGCCTGGTACTAAGTACTATTTAGTCCCTGACATGTTTCTTACGTAAGATTTTGCAATATTTTGGTGAAATGCACTACATTTGTTGTAGTATACAATCATTATATAGCCAATGTGGCTACACGTTTTAGCAAAAGTTGCCTTTTGCCTTGCTACACCTCCCATAAACACCCATATACATTGTAGTGATTGCATACGTCTTGTAAGCTTTGGTAGTCAGTATCCTCTCTCTCCCCCTCTCCCTCCGCCTCCCTCCAGTCTCTAACTAACCAAGACTCCCGCGGGATGCTGGCCAGCTATCAGAAACACTGGCTGAGCTACCAGCAGGGTGCAAAGTTCCTGCACAACCTCTTCTCCTATTTCAACAGAGTCTCTCTCAAGAAGTACAAGATGACGGAGCCCGACAGCTCGTTAGAGGCTATTCTAGGGGGGGCCGACCCCCGCACCTCCCCCTGGGTGCCCCCTCGAGATCAGAAATGTTAGCCCCCCCTCCTGATTTTTCCAAACCCCGCATCTCTCTGGTTCATTTTCTTCTTGGTGATTCTATGTATACGCTATTGTGTGTTTATACTGTAGTTCAAAAAGGGGTGTAGTTTGATCTTTGGTTGTCTTGGTTGAAACTATAAGTACTGTCCTTTTGATGTAGTAGTGAACTAGGGACCTCTATATACCACACTGACTATAGAGCTACACACACAGACTGCAAGTATTTGGCAGTTTCAGTTTGGTATGTAGTTACCTAGGTAGGTCTGGGGATATTCCTATGTGGTTCATATGTACAGTCTTAACGTCAATGTATGCCCACCTGTACATATGAACAAGAACGTACTATACGACACATATATAGGAGGTTCCCTGGCCTGTTGTGAAATCTGCATTGTGCATATGCTTCTGGTGTGTGCGTGTGTGTGTGTGTGTGCAGATGTGTCTGTGTGTGTGGAAGGAAGATGTTCTGGAGAAACTTACCTCATCTCTCATGAAGGCAGTTCTACAAGAGATTCACAGGTTATTAGTTCTATTGAAATATAATTACTGTTGCGCAATTGAATGGAAAGTTTTGTGTAGTCTTGTACCATAGAAAATTATACATGTGGAGATTGCATGTTGTTTTCTTCAATTATACATCAAGAGCTAGTTTATTTCATGCTTGGATCGGTATCACTAAGTACGGTAGTACTTAGTATATAGGGATTGGCATGGTACCCAGCATCATAGATGTATGGGGCTATGATAGGGAGTTTTGTTCATCTTCTTCTTCTTCAGATTGAACTCGCGTAACTCAAAAACGAAATAACATATAGTAACAAAATTTTGTAAGAATGTAGATATCCATCACCCGAAGAGACTGGTCATACTTATTTCTTTGTAAACAACATTGTTTACTGTAAACAAAAACAAATAGCCCTAGGCAATACATTATAATGGGATCACATGTGTCAGTATAACTCACAAATGGTAAGAGCTATGTGAACGAAACTTTGTAGACATAATGTATTCAATCACCAACATCAAAATTACAACAATACATGTTTGTGTAAACAACAACAAATAGCCTCAGGCACTTTTCTTTAAATTTACTTCTTCACTCCTCAAACTTTCCAATGGTAGCACACATGGAGATGAAACTTGGTAAGTAAGTCTATTATATCATTTCCATGATGATTAAATGTTTCCATGAAGACAGCATTTTGTTTGAAAAGGCCTCAGGCAATTTGTATAGGTAATAGTGAGGTTTGGTGTGGTATTAGGGATTAATAGGGATGGAATTTTTCGAAATAGTATTCGGCGAAAATTCCATCCCTATTATATCACATGTAAACCACTTCTTCACTCCTCAAACTTGCTAATTGTAGAACGCATGGAGGTGAAACTTGGTGCGCATGTGTACTACATCGTTTCCATGACGACCACAACAACAAATAGCCTCAGGCAGTTTCCTTTAAAATTACTTCTTCACTCCTCAAACTTGCTAATGGTACCACGCATGGAGATGGGACTTGGTACGCATGTGTGTAACATCGTTTCCATGACGACCACAACAACAAATACCCTCAGGCACTTTTCTTTAAAAATTTGCTAATGGCAGCACACATGGAGATGAAACATGGTATGCATATCATTTCCATGACGACAACAGGCATTTTTTCTCTATTATTAATTTTTATAGGGGCTTTCCCCTTCCACAGAGATAATACGTAGTAATATATTTTAAAAATAAGTGGAGACAAGTAAATTAAAAATCCTGCGAATTTAAAAAAAGGGCATATAGGGATGGTTAATGAACAGATTTGAGTACGCTGACACCCCCAACCCCATCACACAATCCCTATATTGTTGCCTGGTGTGCTACTCTTATAGGGGCTAAAGGTTACTAAAAGCAAGCATTCTTTCTCTGTGTCCCTGTTGTCTTTTAATACTGTCACATTCCCTTTAATTAAACTCCACTTGGACTCTATAAGGGTGTTGGTTACTCAGTAGTCTGAGTATTGTAATGGTCAATGTTTAATACTTCACCTAGGCAACAATATAGGGATTGTGTGATGGGGTTGGGGGTGTCAGTGTGTTTTAATTAACCATGCTTCATGTATCCCATCCCTATCTTGTCTCCCTTTCTTTTTATACCATCCCTATATGCCCCTCTTTTAAATTCGCAGGATTTTTAATTTACTTGTACGCTTGTTGAAACCCTGGGATGCTTGGTTTACCCTATAATGGGAATGTGGTAATGAAACTCAATTGTCACTGTGCCCCTATTGTTTTGTTCTATCTTTAGTAACACTTCTGGATTTATCCCTTATCACTGCCACCTTCTCTTCAACAAGGTCAGCAGAGAACGTATCTGCTCACAGATCACTACCCAATAGACTATCAAGTGACTGGAAATACTCAAACCACCCCCAACACCAAACTCTGCCACTTTTCTCTGGGTATGAGATTGGTGCCCCTAGTGTGTTATGGCTGCCACCTCCTTGCACATTCAGTGACTCGCACTTGCTGCAGTTATCTTTCTGAGTTTTATGGCTATTACAGCTCCTAGCTTGTCCTGGGTCTCAGCTTCTACCATTCTAATATCAGAAAAGTCACGTACCGAGGACATTTGAACATGGTAACAGAAACCATCCTTGAGCTTCAGTCTTAGATAGATTGCGGATCATAACAGAAAAGTGCTTCACACGGACAAGACTTACGTAATACTTCCCTTGGGGGATACATTCTTAGGAGGCTCCCTGTATGCCCCTGTTTCTGTGAGGCCATCTGGGTTCTTACATGACTGAAATTGCCAGATCATAACAGAAAATGAAGAGCACTAAAGTGCTAAACCCTCAGCGGGTTGTGAGCATGTTGCTATGCATTGCTGAATTTGAGCAGCATTCTCAGTTCGCAGTATTATAATGGTATAGTATATTATAGTACCAGTGCATCACATGTTGCAGGAGTGGTGATGTGTGCGTTTCATTGCTTCTAACATACAGTATTGTCAGACTGCGCTTTTCGTTTGGATGGAAGGGCATAGCCGCATCCACAAACTGCTCTTCTGACATGAACTGTTGTGCTACATTGTGGGCATACCTTTCTCAGCTTCTTACTACTCGTTTCCATTTGGAAGAACTCGCACACACGAGAGATAAACTCACGGAGGGAGAAACAAACTCACAGAGGAGAGACACAAACAGTATTTTCCACACCTCACTCTCTTACTATACACCGCTATAACGTTAGTGCATTGCGGCAAAATTGTTTTTAAAAACTGTGAACAACAAAAAAAATCTAATTACTAGCCTTTTCCACCATAGAAGTAAACGGTTCTTGGTAGTTCCGGTCCATACACACCATACGTACACAGGGAGGATGTGTGCGGTTGTTGGTGTTGTAGAGGTACTGTTTCAAAGAGAGCTCATGAAATGAGCCTCCACCAAGCAGCACCAGGCAAGCTGCCTTCCTGTCTGTGGCGACGGCTCTCTGCAGTGCGGCCACGTACCCCCTCTCATCTACTCCTCCCGATGCCTCCACAAAACTCCTCTCCCACTCTTCAAATGTCCATCCCTGTCTGCCTGCATAGAGTCTCTCTACTGTCCTCTTCACCCTCCTCTCTACGTCTGCCACATCTCCCTTCTCTGGAGACGAGATTGTCGCCTTCCATGATCCACTTCCAAAGTACCCCACATCGCTGGTTACAAATACACCACTGGCATCAACTGCCTTCATAGCTGCATCGGTTTCCTTCACTAACTCGTCCATACATTTCTCCAAGTCTTTGGAGGTGTTCTTGCTTCTCTTTGCGAGGAACTCAACTATGGAATGTTCAGCTCTGATCATCACTGCAACGTACCTGCTCTCCACTCCTGGAGCTGCTAGGAACTTGTTCTGGTAAGCAATGGCAGAGTTTAGTAGGCTTTGACTAGCTTTACATTTTAGTTCTTGGTGTAAGACGATGTTGTTTGGCTGTAAAACGGGAGTAGCTGCATCGTTTTCAACCTGCCAGGGTCCACGCCAATAAGAGAATATCAGAGTGATGTTGGAAGGGTCCAATCCCGCCAAGAGAGAGTTGTAGACCTCTTCTGAAGAGAGTGGTGGGCGCCTGATGGAACGTTTCCAGTAGACTTTAGCACGTCTCTTCTGGCATAGGGACACACTAGTTTTGTCGGGACCTGTAATTTCTATGACATTGCACCGTCCACTGCCTCCGTCTTGCCAACTGAACGTCGGTGCGGATAAGGAGGCGTGGTCGTCAAAGACGCGGACCATGTTGACGAAGACGGCAGCCTGGCCCTGGGCACTAGCACGGTAGACGGACCAAGGGATCATTTCTGCTTGCCCACTCCTGCGAGACACGTCGTTGAAATTGTCCAGGTCGAACATTTCTCCGAACCTGATGCTTTTCCCGTTAGCCTTCTTCGCTGGATGAATGCCGAGTACAGAATTCTGTATGAACGGCTCTACGACCTTCATGGGCAAACCCGGATTACTGATCCACTGCTGGAGAGACGAGAGAGCCCGGATGCCCGCTCCCTGCTGTCCTGCGTACGTAAGCACCAGAACATGGCCTCCTCTTCTCCGCTGCGGCTCCGCGCGCGGCGTCCAGATGGCGCGGGCTAGCGGGTGCGTGCGGGAGACGAATAATATCACGGACGTGATAAACGTAAACAAGACCGTTGCTAGGATTGACTTTTTCGCCATCATACCTAACGGCGTTAGAAAACTAGTCCCAGAGCTAGAAACACACACATAAAATAGCTATGCAGCAGCTATGTCTAAACAGAGTTCTGTTGCTACGTTGGTATTTTTATCCGGCTGGATCACTAAGTAGCTACTACCGTACTTAGTGATAGGGATTGGCATGGTACCCAGCATCATAGATGTATGGGGCTATGATAGGGAGTTTTGTTCATCTTCTTCTTCTTCAGATTGAACTCGCGTAACTCAAAAACGAAGTAACATAATATAGTAACGAAATTTTGTATGAATGTAGATATCCATCACCCGAAGAGACTCGTCATACTTATTTGTTTGTAAACAACAACAAATAGCCCTAGGCAATACATTTCATCGAATTTTCAGGCACTTTTCTTTAAATTTACTTCTTCACTCTTCAAACTCTGCAATTCTAGCACACAGAGATGAAACTTGGTACGTATCCCTATTATATCATTTCCATGACAATTACATGTTTCCATGACGACAGCATTTTGTTTGAGCCTCAGGAAATTTTCTTTAACACCACTTCTTCACTCCTCAAACTTGCTTGTAGCGCGCATGGAGGTGAAACTTGGTGTGCATGTGTATTACATCGTTTCCATGACGACCACAACAGCAAATAGCCTCAGGTACTTTTCTTTAAAATTACTTCTTCACTCCTCAAACTTGCTAACTGTAGAACGCATGGAGGTGAAACTTGGTGCGCATGTGTACTACATCGTTTCCATGACGACCACAACAACAAATAGCCTCAGGTACTTTTCTTTAAAATTACTTCTTCACTCCTCAAACTTGCTAACTGTAGAACGCATGGAGGTGAAACTTGGTGCGCATGTGTACTACATCGTTTCCATGACGACCACAACAACAAATAGCCTCAGGCACTTGTCTTTAAAATTACTTCTTCACTCCTCAAACTTGCTAACTGTAGAACGCATGGAGGTGAAACTTGGTGCACATGTATTGTAATGGTCAATGTCACCTAGGCAACAATATAGGGATTGTGTGATGGGGTTGGGGGTGTCAGCGTACTCAAATCTGTTCATTAACCATGCTTCATGTATCCCATCCCTATCTTGTCTCCTTTTCTTTTTATACCATCCCTATATGCCCCTTTTTTTTTAATTCACAGGATTTTTAATTTACTTGTTATATAAAAGACCCAAGTCCTTATAATTATGCATGGAAAATATATATCTACAAAACTTGAGAAATGCACTGCATATGTTTGTTCTACTAAGAATGTGGCAGTAAAACGTAAGGGCTAAGTTTATAGCGGTTGCTGAAAACGGAATTTTTAATTCTTGCACTAAGTGTAGACCTTAATGTTTAGTTCTATCTTTAGTAACACTTCTAAATTTAGCCCGTAAGTACTCCCACATTAACTTGTCTTATACCTCTAGACTCCCTGCCCTCCCTCTCTCCTCAGAGATCGTGATGGGGAGTCAGGTGACCTGGGAATGGTTCGGGACACTGTCTTCTCTCTCAGTGAGATAACGTAGAATAAGCCACTAACACTGCACAGCACTCTGTGGGCTAAAAGATATGGAAATAGTGGTGGGGGAACTGTAGTTGGAAACTTTAGAAAGAGGGAAATTCATCAATTTCACAAGTTTTTTTGCTTGCTTCTCTGCTGTCTGCAACATAAAATTTTAGAGAGAAAAGTTTACAAATGACCCTTTAATTATCTCATGTGTGGTGTCTGTGTGTAAACCCGGTCAGTTCTTCATGTAAGACTAAGTTTTTGAGTCACGAAATCTGCTGGTAAGCATTTTCATTGTTCTTAGCTCGTAACCCATGTTCATAACCTGTTTTTCTTATGGCATACTATGTGCATTGAGTAACCAACAACAAATTTCATGACTAAAAACTCAGTCTTATAATGAAGTAACAAGGCTTTCTCTGACATCGTGTGTACCTATAAACTCTGTGTCCATTGTGTTGTGTTAATGTAGTTGAAGTTGAGGAGTACGCGAAGACGACTAGTCTGAGGTACTATCAGACAGTGTTTGAGGCTCCATTCCTGGCAGAGACCAAAGAATACTACCTTCACACAGCTTCCAAACTGGTCCGTCTATATTCATTATTTCAACTATTGTTTCTTTGTGACATAGTGAGTTTCTCATTTATACACACTGATACTGCGTTAGGGTCATTGTTACACTTTTGTCTTCAATCAAATTGCGACTTTGTCAAATTACTCTGCGGGACTTGGTTGCGCATGGATGTGATATTTTGTCCGCTGTATTTTGTTTGTGAGACAAAGCACCATTCATATTGTGTGGTCTTAAAAAGCATTATACGTACCCTGTTGCATTGACCAACCAAAAATGCATTTCGTTATACTGCATCATAGTAACTTACTAGCACAGTATGCATGTAAGCTACTGTATGTGTAAGTATGTATCATGATGAATTGTGCAGGTGAGTGAGATGGAGGTCAGTGAGTACATGCAGGAGGTCGTCGAGACTATGAAGACGGCCAGGAGGCGTGGCCAGAGATTCCTACACCCCACCTCCATCACCAAGGTTACCTCTTACAAACTTACTGAGTTCATACTGCACCAAAACTGTTATGTATGTACATGCTCTTGGTGCCGTCCTAACGACTTGTAATCACAGGTTAAAACCCAGCCAACACACCTTTTTACTCAAGTCTAGCATTTCACAACATTTCAACTCAAGTAATATTGATCTTATTTTTGTCCTTATCTTTCTCGTCTTTCCCATCTTATACTCACTCCCTCACTCTGTTCACAAAAGAGTGTAAAGTTTGCATATTGAAACTGTGGTTTGAAGTATAATAAGTTATCCCCTTCTTTATCTTTCCACCTCCTCCCCATTCCTTCTCGTCCCCCCCTCCCCCTCTCTCCCTCTCCCCCTCTCTCCCCTCTCTCCCCCCTCTCCCCCCTCTCTCAGTTCACCAGAGAGTGTGAAGCCAGACTGGTAGAAGACTACCAGAACAGCTACCTCTATTCTCAGCTCCAGCCAATGGTACAGGAAGAGAGAAGACAAGACCTCAAGAACATATTCCATCTTCTCAACGGCATTCCTCGAGCCCTGGATCCTCTACTTGACAAGTTTGAGGAGAGAATAAAGTCCCAAGGTACAAAGTGGAAAGTACAAAGTCCGTGGACGATGCTTAATGCAAGGAAATGCATGCATATGTATGTTAATTGTAGCCCTTTTGAAGTCCTGTTTTCTTTCTCTTTTTCTTTCTTTCTTTTTATGTTCAGTTTTCATGGCCAGTGTAAAAAGTCTCTGTACACAACATTTCAGATTGCCCTACAAATGTCCTTTACCATTTTTGGAGAGTACGTTTAAGTCCATCTATAGTGATGAGGGTTGTTACTTTTTTCAGGTCTAGCAGCTGTTCGTCCATGGAATACAGACAAAGACAAGGTAACAGCACCCCCTACCACATGTTTATTAGCTAAGGGAATGTGACAGTGTATCACTTAACCGGCAACGGACACATAAGAGACCCTTCATACGTCCATGAGAATTTATATGGGGTTATAATACTAGGCGCTAATATGTATAATTTCTACCACTGCTACATGCATCTAGCGCGCTTATTTAAGGAGATACCCATGGTGTCCAAAGGGAATGAAGATGGAATAGGGGCTCAGTGCGAGAAAGAACATTTTTAGAATACACGGCCGGCCACATTCCCTTTAACCCTTAGCCGTAAGTCCATAAATATTATATGGAGGTTATAATACTAGGGGTTAACATAATTATACATCAATTTCTGCTTATTTAAGGAGATACGCATGGTGTCCAAAGGGACTCTATGTATTTACACCCATTTACTGCCCCTCCCCCCATCAGGCGACGTCAGGCAATGTTGTAGAGTTCATGGGGGCAGTAATGGGCGTCCATTCTCACTACCACCAACTGATATCCGATCTCTTCTCGTCTCACAAACTGTTCTTCTCTGCTCTCGACCGGGTGAGTCACAGTCTAACTGAACACTTTCGCACAAATCGCTTCACAAAATGTCTCACGAATGCAGTTGCCCAGCCTTAAAACACATAATTTATAGCTGGTGGTTTGTTTTTTGTAGTATGGAAGGACAGCTGCATGTGTATTTTGCGTGTGAAGCGAGCCCGACTAGTAGTTGGCATAATTTCAATTAACTACCCAATACCGTAATCTTTCTCTACGAAATTCATGAGTGGGACATTTTGTTCACACCAGAATTTTCTGTACAGCTCTAACGTTCTGCACTCTATGGCACATGCACTGTGTCTTTAACCTGTGATTCACTGCTCCATTCACAGGGTTGTCGAGTGTTTGTGAATGCACAGGAAAACCACACCCACCAGCCAAGAGCACCCATTCTGGTACGACACCGCACTGCTTACTTTTTGTACTGGTGGCATGCCCACATGGTGTGTTACATCTTAACCAGGCCATACACGTGGCAACTTTGTTGCTTCAACAAAAGTTGCAGCAACTTCCAAAGTATTGGTATGATGGGCCCAGGCAACTAGTTGGCTTTTGTATTTCTGGCAACTAATTGCCTGGGCCCATCGTATCAATACTTTGGAAGTTGCTGCATGTTTTGTTGAAGCAACAAAGTTGCCGCATGTATGGCCTGCTTTAGCCTCATCCCCAGGCCTTCTAAGAAAAGGAGGGTGGCTGGTACTCACCGCAATAATGTCTTACTACACATGCACACCATTCCCCAAAATATCCATTTACATCAGTATATTCGTATATTTATACAATGCTTTCCACATAGTGGGTGCTTCATGTGTCAGCCTTGCTACTACGTAGGTCTCTCCAGTCAGCCTTGCTACTACGTAGGTCTCTCCAGTCAGCCTTGCTACTACGTAGGTCTCTCCAGTCAGCCTTGCTACTACGTAGGTCTCTCCAGTCAGCCTTGCTACTACGTAGGTCTCTCCAGTCAGCCTTGCTACTACGTAGGTCTCTCCAGTCAGCCTTGCTACTACGTAGGTCTCTCCAGTCAGCCTTGCTACTACGTAGGTCTCTCCAGTCAGCCTTGCTACTACGTAGGTCTCTCCAGTCAGCCTTGCTACTACGTAGGTCTCTCCAGTCAGCCTTGCTACTACGTAGGTCTCTCCAGTCAGCCTTGCTACTACGTAGGTCTCTCCAGTCAGCCTTGCTACTACGTAGGTCTCTCCAGTCAGCCTTGCTACTACGTAGGTCCCTCCAGTCAGCCTTGCTACTACGTAGGTCTCTCCAGTCAGCCTTGCTACTACGTAGGTCTCTCCAGTCAGCCTTGCTACTACGTAGGTCTCTCCAGTGACAAAAGGACGATCATTTGTGGGACGATCATTTGTAGAGGCAGCGTGATTTTTCACATAAACAAACCCTGAACCATGTAGACTGTACTAGGTGACAGTTATACCGTGTGTTATACGGTAAGATATCAGGAGTATTTGGCGTATGCGCACAAACACACATGCAGTACAATATACCAGGCCCCTTCTCTTCTTCTCGGTATTCTGCAGCTGGCTAGGTACTGTGATCAGCTCCTGAGGAAGTCTTCAAAAGGAGTTGGGGAACAGGAGGTCGAGGACAGACTGGAGGAAGTGGTGCACTTTTCTCTCTCGTTCTCTCTCCTTCCCTTATGATTTTCCCCTCCCAGTTACCTCTCATCCCATTCATCTCCCTGGCTCTTTCTCATTCCGTGTTTTTTGTGTTTTTCCCCTCCTTTTTTTCTCCTCCCAAATCTTTTTTCTGTCATTCACTCTGCTGTTCATCTCCCTGGCTTTTTCTCATTCCATGTTTTTTGTGTTTTTTCCTCTTTTTTTCTCCTCCCAAATCTTTTTTCTGTCATTTGCTCCGTTTTTCTCTCTCCTGAAACCTATTCTCCCTTTTTTCACTCTTTTTTCCTCCTTCCTTTTCTATCTCATCCTCCTTCCCTCTCTTCCTCTCCAGATAACAGTATTCCGCTACCTCGACGACAAGGATGTGTTCCAGAGATTCTACTCTCGTATGTTGGCACGGCGACTGATGCAGAGTCTATCTGTTTCCATGGAGATGGAAGAAGGAATGATTCAGAGACTTAAGGTCTGATAAGTCTAAATCCAGGGACACCAATGAGACATAAGAAAGTGTCCATATTAGCGGGGTGTCCTTATTTCGGGGTTAAATTGCATGCAAGAACTGTTTTTAGAGAAGGAAAAGAACAGATGTGTCCTCATTTCAGGGGTGTCCATATAGAGAGGGGTTCATACTGTATTTCAGGGGTGTCCATATAGAGAGGGGTTCATACTGTATTTCAGGGGGGTCCATATAGAGAGGGGTTCATACTGTATTTCAGGGGTGTCCATATAGAGAGTGGTTCATACTGTATTTCAGGGGGATCCATATAGAGAGGGGTTCAAACTGTATTTCAGGGGTGTCCATATAGAGAGGGGTTCATACTGTATTTCAGGGGGGTCCATATAGAGAGAGGTTCATACTGTAGGGGGGGTCCATATAGAGAGGGGTTCATACTGTATTTCAGGGGGGCCATATAGAGAGGGTTCATACTGTATTTCAGGGGGGTCCAATAGAGAGGGGTCATACTGTATTTCAGGGGGGTCCATATAGAGAGGGTTTCATACTGATTTCAGGGGGGTCCATATAGAGAGGGGTTCATACTGTATTTCAGGGGTGTCCATATAGAGAGGGGTTCATACTGTATTTCAGGGGGGTCCATATAGAGAGAGGTTCATACTGTAGGGGGGTCCATATAGAGAGGGGTTCATACTGTATTTCAGGGGGTCCATATAGAGAGGGGTTCATACTGTATTTCAGGGGGGGTCCATATAGAGAGGGGTTCATACTGTATTTCAGGGGGGGGTCCATATAGAGAGAGGTTCATACTGTATTTCAGGGGTGTCCATATAGAGAGGGGTTCAACTGTATTTCAGGGGTCCATATAGAGAGGGGTTCATACTGTATTTCAGGGGGCGGTCCATATAGAGAGAGGTTCATACGTATTAGGGGTGTCCATATAGAGAGGGGTCTGTGATTCAGGGGGGGTCCATATAGAGAGGGGTTCATACTGTATTTCAGGGGGGTCCATATAGAGAGGGGTTCATACTGTATTTCAGGGGGGGTCCATATAGAGAGGGGTTCATACTGTATTTCAGGGGGGTCCATATAGAGAGGGATTCATACTGTATTTCAGGGGGGTCCATATAGAGAGGGGTTCATACTGATTTCAGGCTATAGAGAGGGTTCATAGTATTTCAGGGGGTCCATATAGAGAGGGGTTCATACTGTATTTCAGGGGTGGTCCATATAGAGAGGGGTTCATACTGTATTTCAGGGGGGTCCATATAGAGAGAGGTTCATACTGTATTTCAGGGGTGTCCATATAGAGAGGGGTTCATACTGTATTTCAGGGGGGTCCATATAGAGAGGGGTTCATACTGTATTTCAGGGGGGTCCATATAGAGAGGGGTTCATACTGTATTTCAGGGGGGTCCATATAGAGAGGGGTTCATACTGTATTTCAGGGGGGTCCATATAGAGAGGGGTTCATACTGTATGTACGTGGAAGTACACACAATATCCTACTTGTCGGCATGCCATTGCCATTACGTTGCATGTGTGAATTTAGGTTTGTACCATGCCAAAAGCTTTAAGGTAAGATTGAGTCAGCAATAATACCAGAGTTCATACTCTATCTCTTTCTCCCTCTCTTCCCGCTCCCACACACCCTCCCCTCTCCTCAGCATGCCTGTGGGTTTGAATACGTGGCACGACTCCAGAGAATGGTGGTGGACATGAAGCTCAGCGAGGACTGCATGGCCTCGTTTCAGGAACACCTCTCTATCTCCTCCTCCTCCCTGCCCCTCGCATTCACCACTCTAGTTCTACAGGTAAAAGAAGACTATATTATATATAGGCTGTGATAGTTTTACAATAGAATGTGGCCTGAACTTTTCGTACTTTTATCAAGCAAGTGGGAGGAAGTACGGACCACCAAACCAGTTTGAATAACTTTAAAATATTTGTAGTGTGCAGTGCAGCAAAATAACTAAAATTTTTCGTGCATTAGCGAGTGGGGGGAAGGGATTGTATCTCTTATTTGGACACCCTTAACTCAACTCCTAATGCCTAGAAAATTGTCCTTATTACACGTGTGTACGTAGTGGAGTATTATTTTTATCTACTATTCTTAGTCAGCTGCGTGGCCATTCTCAAAACCAACTGGAAATTTCAACGTACCTCCACAGATGCTCTCTGTCATTGAAAAGGTTGGCAACCTCTCTGCAGGCAACCTTTCTTGAGGAAATACAATGTTTTACGAATAATAATTATGAATTAGCCAAATCAGCAATGCAACCGTTTATCAGTTTGCGTATTATTACACAAAAATGCTGCTATATAAGTGTCCCTGTTTGCAAGATAATCACATGATCGTTAACGCTCTGTGTTGCTGTTTTCTGGTATATACAGTTTGAGAGGTTCTATGAGACAAAGTACACCGGGAGGAAACTATCCTGGCTCTACCACATGTCCCTTGGCAAGTCTCTACATCCTTTCGGCAAATTGGTGTCAGGTACTCACAGTAAGTGCTGTTGCTGTATATATACGTATGTATGTACAATGTGCAGTAGTACAGTGGAACCTCCGAACAAGGGACACTATGGGACCAACGATTTTGTCCCTTGTAGAGAGGTCGTCCTTATCTCGGAGGTCAAATAATACACGAGAGTATTAGCATGCGGTTGAAACAAGTGTCCCTTGTAGAGAGGTCGTCCTTATCTCGGAGGTCAAATAATACACGAGAGTATTAGCATGCGGTTGAAACAAGTGTCCCTTGTAGAGAGGTCGTCCTATCTCGGAGGTCAAATAATACACGAAGTATTAGCATGCGGTTGAAACAAGTGTCCCTTGTAGAGAGGTCGTCCTTATCTCGGAGGTCAAATATATAGTATTAGCATGTGGTTGAAACAAGTGTCCTTTGTAGAGAGGTCGTCCCTATCTCAGAGGGTCCCCTATTGGAGGTTCCACGGTATATAGTATTCGCCAATGTTGGGTTCATGCATATTTGCATACACGTGCAGACGTGTTCGCTCACCAGTACTGAGTTGAGTAATGAAGAGCTGTTGTAGTGTTCGCCCATGTTGAATTAATGTCTCACGAAACATGCATGTCTGCATACGCGCAGAGTGTGCCAAGGCCTCAGCAGTTCAATGCCGTTCATATTGTGTCTGTGTGTGTAGGAGATCTGAGACTCAACTATCTGAAGAAGCAGTATACAGTCAGTGCCACTACCCACCAGATGGCCTACTGCTGGCTTTCAACACCGCTGAACAACACTCCTTCAGGTACATACACATTAATACTGGCTCAGTGTGGCTCCATACTACACTCTAGTGCACTCCTGATAGATAATAAGTAGTGGAAAGCTTTGCAATTGGTAGCTATTCGTGCCAAAACTTTGCTCCTCAATTCAAGTGCTGCCACCCACAACGTTTTGTCCCCCCCTTTCTTTCTTCTTTCCAGCTCCCTGTTATTCCACACTGGACTGGACAACCAAGAGATGACATACACACTGCAGAGCCTTCTAACCTCAAAACTACTACTACTTCAAGATGGTAGGAAACTAACACAGAGATAGTTTATACATAACTGTATTAGCATCAACACATTTCTGTTAATTCTAACAACTTTCATTGACTAAAAAATGCGTGCCCATAAACTATAATTGTATCAACTGTAGTCAGCACGGTAACTTTTGTAAGAAAATTTGTTGTAATTGTTGAAGAGGTAGTTGTGAATTCTCTCTTCCTCTACTCAAAGAGGAGACTTCGTTACACGGTGCTGACTGTGTGGTGTGCCTTAATCAGAATTACTCCAATAAGAGACAAAGTCCAAAATTACGGCTGCTCTCCAAAAGGACACACAACAGGTACATACATACATATTGACAGCCATTATTTAGCAGCCTATTATACACAACATATGGTACAATATACTCAAGCTTGCTTGTGAAAAGTTTCCTCCATACAAGCCCTATATTGTCGCCACTATGGTTGAAGTTAACAAGTATAATAAATTATGCTACTATTATTATTTTTGTCCCCTTGCCCTCTCTCTCTCTCTCTCTTCCTCGTTCTCTGGTGCGATATACTGTGTCAGGAGGTGGAGCAGACGCAGGCAGCAGCACAGGAGGACAGGAAGATGCACATACAGGCAGCCATCGTTAGAGTCATGAAGGCCAGGAAATCACTCAAACACAATCAACTAATTGAGGAGGTGTGTGTATGTATGTGTATGTATGTGTGTGTGTAATTCAGCATGAGGGATTCTGAAGTGGTTTTTGTGCATTTTGTAACAGTGAGTTCCAAACAGGGGTTCATTTAGGGGGTAGGGCAGGGGGCACTTTCTCCCTTTTGGATTGTAAGGGAACATGATTTCACACAAACAGAGGGTTTTACCCCTCATTAATGCACATTTTGCCCCCATTGGATAAATTTACCTAACAAACGTTTGCCCCTCAGTATAAGGACGAATAGTATGAGTGTGACTCTCTCTAGTTTTTCACTTACAGTCACCGTGTTTCAGACCATCCAGCAGGTGAAGTCGAGATTCACTCCGAGTGTCGCTATGATCAAGAAATGTATCGAGATCCTAATGGACAGACAGTACCTCGAGAGACAGGAGACCGCTAGAGACACTTACGACTACATTGCATAGCTCGTGTCGTGTCTATCTCTATTACAGATTTTTGTGCGTGAATAATAATTTTTGTTTCTTTGTTTGGAGATTTATTGTGAGTTTAGAAATCTTGAGTTTTGTCCCTCCACAATAATAGTAGTGGAAAAAGAAATTTTTTATCAGATGCACATGTATAAATATGACTTTTGGCAAGCAAATTATAATATGAAAAGCACTAAAGTGCAAACCCTCAGCACACTGTGGAACCCATACACAAGTGTGGCACCACCACAATTGATGGTTTGACATGCATCAAAAGAACAGCATGTATGCACTATTTCATGGATAGGTTGAAAAAATGGCCAGCCCCCACTTCTGTTTGAGGCCAAAAATCTATATAAGGTGATAAAATTGCCAACCTTTCATCTCTCTATTAATTTTCGTAGTACGCTGTGGATTGATTTAGTGCATACCAGCAAATTGACGGCCACACCTTCATCTCTCCAGACAGACGTCTAACGGACGTTAGTGCAAGGCCGAACTATACGCTGCTTGCCTGAGGAGAACCGTGGGTTCAGTGGTAGAGTTGTGGGAAGGGGAGGAACCGATGCTGTTCCCAGCCAATGCTCTGGACCACCTGACACTTTAGTGCGGGAGCGAGGATTCGAACCGGTGGCACTATGGTATCAGTCGACGACTAACCACCTAGCCACTCGGGCTGGCCTGGAGAGGTGATGAAAACCAACGTTCAGTTATACCAACAGCCAACACTCGCTATTCATCATGTAAAAAACAGGCGCGACTATCCCCGGGATCGAATACCAGGACTTCACGATCAACGCGAGGGGGTGCTTATCACCGGACCTCATGGGAACGATGTGTAATGAAAAGCACTCAAGTGCAAACCCTTGGCGAAGTAGCTCGCAGAGAGTCTGACACGGGCTAGCTACAGTAGTAGATATCACGCGAGAGTCGATACACGCCATTCGTTGTGACTCTTGTGCTTTCAAGATAGACAGAGCAGCGGACCCGGTCGCGTCGAGGTGCCTCTGTGCTAAATATAGCGCATGAGCATTATCCGCCAGCGATGGCGACTACCGACCGCATTAGCCATACAATGCTGGAAGCGTCTAGCTCTGCAACGGATCATTTCAGAGAAAACCCACAATATTTTGACCCTCGTCGCCCGTTGGGTAGATGGTATCGTTTCTGGGACGAACAGACACCCGAGAAGTGAGATTGAGAGTAACAGACACACAGACAGACAAACGTAACCCAATGAAAAGCACTAAAGTGCAAACCTCGGCGACAAGTAGCTCGCAGAGAGTTGACCGGGCTAGCTACAGTAGTAGATAGACGCAAGAGTCGATACAAGCATTCGTTGTGACTTCTTGTGCCTTCAAGATAGACAGAGCAAGCGGACCCGGTGGAGGTCAAGCCTTGCTAAAATAAGCGCATGCGCATTTAAAATGGCGACTACCGGCATTAGCCATTAAATGCTGAAGCGCTCTAGCTTTGCACGAGACACTTTCAGAGAAAACCGTTCGACATTTCTGACTTCATTGCCCGTTAAGTAGATCGTTTCCTGTGAGGGACAAACTGAGAAGTGAGATTGAGAGTAACAGACAGACAAACCCAACTACAGTAACCCTCGCTGCGCATGCGCGCCGAGGGTTAACTACAGTACCCTCGCTGCGCATGCGCGCCGAGGGTAATAAGACATTGTGCATGTGCACTTGCTTCAGGGGATGTCCCATGTGCATGCCTACAAAAATAAATGTGATGCAAAATTCAGCAACGTGGAAACAAGGCCGTAAAGAACAGTTCACAGTACCTTGCCTTGGAGAAAGACTATTCTAGGAAGAGGGGGGGTTTGAAGGGCTTAAATACAACATACACACAATGCTCATATATACATAATAATGCATGCATGTGATCCAGGTATATATACAGCAGGACCATAGCAGTTGCCATGATATAGGTTCCAGCCGTGAATAAGGCGAGCAGAGGAGAGAGGCTTAAATACAAATATAGACATAGTACACTCTTCTATCTACTACTATCATACACATCTCATTCAGTATTTGTTGCAATTGGCCGAAGAGTATATACTGTGTACACTTTATGTTCTTTGTGACCTCTCTGAACCCACATCTGGTGGTGTCGGTCAATCCACTGCCTGCCTGCCACAAGGTTATGGAGGTTGCAGTAGTTTGGTGCCATTGTCAAGAACAGCATAGCCATTGAGTTACCCTGCAAGAAGTTGGTCAGGGACGGAACCGCCGGCAATTGGGCGTACGTACGTAGGTGCACACTGATCCCGTTCCGCGCATGCGCGCTCGTTTGATGAGATTGACAAAATGACGCACACACCACACATACAGTTTTCTTTAAAGCTGTATCACCAGTTAATTAACAGTATATAGCTGGCTAGCTAGCCAATGTCAGTTAGTATTTAGAGCAGTCGGCAGAAGAGTACTGAGTACACACGCTGTCATGAGTCACCTCTTTGAACCCGTATCTAGTGGTGTTGGTGAGTCCACTACCAGACACCAGGTTGTGGAGGTTGCAGTAGTTGGTGCCTTTATCAAAAATGGCGTAGATAACCTCTGACGTGGAGTAACCCTGTGTGAAAATAGTGAACACATTAATGTATTATACACAGAGGGTCAAAAGTAATAGATATATATTCATACGTTCAATGACATTATATACAAAACAAAACACAGAGGGTCAAAAGTAATTATAGATATTCAATGAGAGTCCAGGAGACCAGAGATAGCAAATGGAGCACAGCTGTTTTCCTCTTTACACAAACACTCATTATGCTATCAATACAGCGCTTTATGCAGCCGGATATCGGTGTGGAGTTGTCTGAAAAAAGCTCGGGATAAAAATATAGGCGATCTCCTGCTTAACTTGAAGTGCAAAAGGACGGAGTGTATATACTTGGTAGCTTGTTGGGGAAAACAGTGCAATTATATCAGCGAGCGCGTGAGTGCACACGTAAGTGTTGAAGGGCCCTGACTGCACTGTGCTTGTACTTTGGATACAGTTTGCTGGGATATTCTAATCCAAACCCATGTGCAATTATATAGACGGTGCAAAGACGTAACTTTGTAATGTTGTCGTGTGGGTTGCTCACCCTTGCCCACCGAGTTCTGCACCTTAGCTACTAGATTACAGGGGCATACCTTCACGGTGCAGATCTTTGTGTCATTCTCAAACCCCATGGAGAGATCGTCCACATAATGGTGTACTGGAGTAGTGTGGGTGCCCTTGATCTCAGTCGCAGTGTTTGTGGCTGAGTCGATCTGCATGTATATTATAATACAGTGACATGCACACGCTGCACATTGTTACACAATAGAGAGTTGTAGGTTTCCAAAAAAGATGTAAGTGGTTTGTGATATCATATGATGTGTTGTGACATAGTAGATCTGATATGGACAGATGGTTGTGTCCAGCGAGTCTAACTGTCAAAGGGGTGCGTGCAATCAACCAGTAGCTACACACTGATACACACCTATGCTTTAGTATACACCTACGGCTAGTAGCTAGCTATACACGCACCTAGCTATACACGCACCTAGCTATACGCGCGCACCTGTAGCGTTCTAATACGTCAGCTACCGTGTATCCACACTTCTCGGTGCCTGTGGGGCAAAGACTGCTGGAGTTCCACTTTTCCATCTGCTTGATGATCAGGTCGTGGACTGTATCACACGGCACAGTGAACGTCCTGCGTGCAAAAACGCAACATTCAGCCATAAAGGGCGTAGCTAGAGCACAGAGCAGGCTAGCTATATACATCATACGTACCAGGTGAGCTTGCAGGACGCGTGTAGCGTCGACCTGGTGACTACTGCCCAGCAAGCGATCAAGAAGAGTCCCACAAGAATACCTTTAGCCGCCATTTCCAATGCTCTCTCTCTCTCTCTTCTTCCCCACACTGAAAATATCAGGGCCTTTGAAGATCCTTTGCGGTCTGGGATGCGGGACTCTGTTGTGTAACGAGCCCCACCCACTCAACTGCACTACTGCGCCTGCGCAAGACTGTCACTAGGCAACGAAACAATGCTGATTCAGTAGCGCACCTCACATGCACACAATGGAACAAGGTGTTGACGACAGTGGCAGAGATCAAGACGCCGGAAATGGTGAGAATTTATTGGAGGCGGAGACTCGTGCGCCCTCCCTCCCCGGGTACCTACCATGGGAACAAGATCTCCAGATGGTATCTACATTTCTAGACAAGAAGGTACAGCAATCACTCGCCACGTTCCCAGACCCCCCTGAACGCTAATGCAGTTTGCTAAAACGCTAGCTACTAGCTATAGCTGGCTGTTGGACACGTGTGCGTATGGAGACCTCTGCCCAACATCACTCTAGAAATCTACATTGCATTTTTAGTGTACAGCTAGAACACACATTTTTAAGCTGTAGATAACAGTATAACACACTAGTTATAGCTAGCTATACGTTGTTTCGGTCCACAGGAGGACCTGAAGGACAGTTATCACGAGTACATGAGGCAGAACCCTGAGCTGAGGGCAATGCTAGCAGACTTCATGCAAGCACTCCTGATACAGAAACCCGATGACGTCTATGAGTTTGCTCGAGACTTCTTTGCTCCCTTTGCAAAAGACGCCGTACCAAAACCTTCTTACCCATCTCATCATGTTTGACCATCACAGTGTCTATTTTCGGATATTTTCGCGCATGCGTGTGAAAGCGCAAAGTAACGCTCCGGGTGAAATAAAACGCGGCATTGCACGGGGCGGCCGGAGGTGCTATCTAGAGGCGCAAAAGGACTGCTGGTGTGCAGAGAAGAGAGAGAGCGTGTTGGGTTCCATAGCCCCAAGAGATAGTTTACAGTAGAATAGAAAAATAACTAGTAGCGAGCACTTAGAACTATAGCTAATTCAGCT